CACCAGTGTGATCGCTTCTCCATGAGCACAGAGGGCAGATCCTGTCTAGAGCCAGGCGGCAGAGGCCCCCCAAGTGCCCCAAAGCCCCTGGCCCTGCGCAGATGTGCCTCCTCCCTCCTGTGGCCAGGGTGGCTTTCCAGTGTGGTTATCTAGCGACCCTGCTCTTCCTGTGGCCGAGATCTGACCCTCCTGCAGGGTGAGGAAACCGCGGTGGCAGGCAGCGCAGGGAGCAGGAGGCCTTGAAGGAGCCAGACGGCAGGTTGGAGACAGGTGGGTGTCGCTGTGGCTCGGGCAGGGCCTCCTCCAGTGAGCTGGCCCCGTGCATCAGGCTTCCTGAGCTGACAGGAGCCCACGGCTGTGCCTGCACGGACAGGCAGTGCAGAAACGCCCTCACCTGCAGGCTCTGTGGGTCACCAGGCACGGCGCTGTGGGGCTTCTAGCTGGCAAGGAGGGCAGCTCCAGGGCTCCCCTGGCCTTCCTGCTGGAAGCCCTGGTGTTCAGGTTAGGGTAGCTGGGCCGGCCCTCGTGGAGCAGGCAGGACGCCCCCGCACCAGGAGGTGTAGGTCTCCTCTGGCCGATCAGCGCCAGCGGCCTGGTCTCTGCCCGCTAGGGCCTGTGCAGTGCCCGGCCTGCCCACATGGACCCCACAGTGCTGCAGATACCTAAGCTTGGCACCGACTCACAGAATCTGAAAATCCAATCAGGGCCCCCGAACCCCCCGTGTGTCACCGCGATGCACGCACCTCCGAACACTGGAGAGTGAGCTTGCTGGGTTCAGTCTCACCTGTGAGGTCAGGGGCTGTATCTGCTCACGCCCAGCTGTGCCCAGCGTCCAGCACACAGCGGGGCAGTCGGACAGTGCGGGACGCTCTGTCCTGAGGAAGATGCCGCACACATGGAGGGGGCCTCCCACACTCGCCTGTCACACCGGGGAGGTGGGATCCTCGCTTCGCCCTGCCCTGCAGCTATGTGCTCTAGTTTCTCTAGGCAATGAGCGGTTCTCTAACTGTGGCCCACAGTCACCTGAGGGCCACGGAGTCCCCTTCTGAACGAGGTGTGACATCTGCCTGAGCACCAGGGCTCTGGTTAGTCCCGCGCTTCCTGCCACCCCGCCAAGGAACGGCCTCAACGAGGCTGGAAAACTGCACAAAATCCGGGCCTCTGAGCCCTTCCACCGCTCTGGCCGTGAACGTGCACCCAGCGCCGTCCCCCGCCTGAGCACGAGGGCTGGCGGAGGAGCGAGTGTGCGACTGCGTGAGCTGCTTACATGTGCACAGACTACAGAAGGGACCCGTCCTTCCCTGAGAGGACCGACAGATGTGCCGGTTGTCCCGCCGTGGGTAGCTGGCAGGTCTCCACGGTGAGCCAAGTGGGCCTGCCCCTCAAGGGACGTGGCTGGCGGTATTTTTCACCAAGGACGCAGTTCAACCTTTTAAGCAAAACTCAAGTTTGAAAACCTGCACCCAGTGGCATGAGCTCAGCAACTTCCCCGCTTAGAGGCGTCTTGGCTGAGAGGGTGGCGACATCACAGATGTGACGACTGGAGCAGCAGGATGAGCTGTGTCACGCTGGGGTTTGTGGGTTGTTTTCCCAGTGCCCAGCAGCGATGCATAAAAGCTGTCACAAGTGAATGGTCACTAAAGCCCAGGACAGACCAACAGTTCCAGTGAAGAAAGGAAAGGCGGGATAGCTTCAGTGTGGGTCAGCTTCCTCTGGGTGGAAGGCGCCACTCCCCGGCCTCAGGGCAGGCCAGGAAACATGCCCAGCTCTTTGCAGAGGTCGTCCAGTTTCCCACACTCACCTATGCGAGGCCGGACTTTCACGCAGACTTCCGCAGTTTACAACCAAAGCAGCACACACAGCTGGCTTCCCTTACGCCAGGGATTTGCAAGTAAGTAAAACACAGCGCTGCTCCTCCTGCTACCACATTTTGTTTTGCAAGATATATTTTTCCCACAGTTGTTACTTGAATTAACATGTCATGGGTTTACTGCTATTTTGAAACGAGTATTTATTTCTCAAATTTACTTTCTAGTTAGGAATTCCACTAGGGACTGAGACCAGAGCCCTCACCAGCAGGCCGCTGCTGGTGTCTCTGGCCACTTGTACGGCGGTGAGGGGTCCAAGACCACAGTGCGGTCTGGCTGCCCTCGGTGGCGCGTTTAGGAGGAGTCGCTGGGCTGAATGAGGGGCGCCAGTTTTTCCGCTGTGCATGAGGACAAGCTGCTCCTTGGCAAGCTGTTATACCCATCTGCACTCCAATATGCATTCCCATGTGTTGTTTTTTTTTTTTTAAGTAGAGCGGAGAGGCTTACCTTGCCTCACGGTTTCAGGGTATGTGTTCCCATTCATGCTGGCTCTGTGGGTCACCAGGCACGGCGCTGTGGGGCTTCTAGCTGGCAAGGAGGGCAGCTCCAGGGCTCCCCTGGCCTTCCTGCTGGAAGCCCTGGTGTTCAGGTTAGGGTAGCTGGGCCGGCCCTCGTGGAGCAGGCAGGACGCCCCCGCACCAGGAGGTGTAGGTCTCCTCTGGCCGATCAGCGCCAGCGGCCTGGTCTCTGCCTGCTAGGGCCTGTGCAGTGCCCGGCCTGCCCACATGGACCCCACAGTGCTGCAGATACCTAAGCTTGGCACCGACTCACCAAACCTGAAAATCTGACTCAGGGCCCCCAAAGCCCCCGTGTGTCACCGCGATGCACGCACCTCCTGGTCTTTGAGACTTGGGGCCCTGTGCCAATGTCCTGGGTGTGACACAGTGTGCTCTTGGGGTATCAGTTTGCACATCCCAATCTTCAGGAGGCTGAACACATTTTTTGAGACAGGGTCTTGCTATGTGGTTCAGGTTGGCCTTGAATTCACGGCAATCTTCCTGCCTCAGCCTCTTGAGTGCTGGGATGAAAGATGTGTGTGCCACCACGCCCAGCCCTCTGAGCATATCTTTGAATGTGGATTAGCCTAGGATGTTTGGCTCATTCTTTTTTCGTATGAGTTCAAACATAATCTCAACCATTTCAAAGCAAAAACTCAAGTGTTGCTTGAGCACAGGCGGATGACCTGGGTAGACCCAGCTTCCTGCAGGCGCCTCCAGCATCACGCAGCTTCTGCACACAGGATGCTGCCTCTGGCTCCGTCCATTCCAACACCCTCTGCAAGGGTCAGAGCTCTGAATGGGGTGCTTCGTCCTTCATTTCAATGGGTTTAAGCTGACAGGGCTCTTGATCTTCAGTACATTTGGTTTTCTGGGTCTACAAAGTATTATCTGAACATAAAAGTTTTTCTCATTTCTTCATTTTACCTTATGATGAAACGCTTATCTTAATGCATTTGCCATAAACGTCAAAACAACATTAAATAATAATGGTGCAAGCGGGCAGATGTGCCTATTCCTGATTTCAGTCTTCAGGGCTGACATGCTGTCTGGATGAACCTTATCAAATAGCTCAGCATTTTCCGAGGGCATTCTCCTCCTTAGTGAACCAACAGTTACAGAGGAAAACCGAAAGTTGCCACCAAAACACTGTTGGTGGGAGGTGCCAGCCCCAGGCGGGGCAGCTGAGTCCCCTGCCTTCCTGCATGAGCGCTGCTCTGCGCATGGGGTGCAAGCCAGATCCTGCTGAGAGCAGGCAGACACACACACAGTGGACGTCCTGCAGGGCCAGGCCCCCTGTGAATGTGACTGGGATGCTGAGCCCCGTGCTGAGGACACAATGGGACCCTCCGTCCTCCCCGCCTGCGGGGGCCCCTGGGCTGAGCCACCCTGTGGGGCCACTCAGGTGCAATTCCCCCTCAAGGGTTGGAGCTGCCTTCCTGTCATGAGGCTGGGGAACCTACAGTGGCGGTGTGAGGCGCTGGCCAGTCTCAGTCATCAGCCCCAGGGGTGGGCAGGTCACTGGGCATCTGTGACTAGGTGTCCGGAACTTAAGACCACCTGGGTGCCTACTGGGACTGCAGTATGTCTGTTAAATCCGTGAATTCTCGGAGGAAGGGGCATCTTGTCTGAGAAGGAGATGGGTAGCTGGCTACACATTCGCCAGGGCAGGCTCCCAACCTTGGCGTCCGTGTCTTGCTTTTTAGGAGAGGCCTGGGGCCACTCTTGCTGGTCCTCAACAGCCAACTGTGCGTTCTTCTTTCCAGCTTCTGATGCAGGGATGTCCTGTCAGCAGCCGGAAGCTGGCTTTGGGGGGATTCACACCACAGACTCAGCGAACACTCTGCAAGCCTCGGGGCACCTCAGCGAACACCCCCACCCCCACACCACCCCCACAGCCCTGGGGCCAATGCGCCTGAGCCCGCAGGATAGGGACCTGGGGGATGGGGAGTGTGGGGCAGGGGACCTGAGAGCAGGGTGGAGCCTGCTCGCCTGCTCTGCCTGCTGGATTGTACGGACACACAGACCCTCCTGCGCCGTGGCCTGGGACTGGCCTCCTCACCCTGGCTGACCGGGGCTGGATCCATGCCTGGCAGAGCCCCCACCACGTGACTGTCTGGATGACCTCAGTGCAGCCCAGGGCGACAGTGCTAGCGCCTGGGGTGGGGGCGGCTTTCATGCCTGTTCCCAGCAGTCTGCTCACCTGGCAGCCAGAGCGGGTCCCCTGTCACCCGCGGAACACTGCATCAGAGCCCTGTTCTGCCTGGGCAGCAGTCTGCCTAGCTCCCTGGGACAAGGCACACATGCCTGCATTCAGCCTCCAGTGCAGCTCCGGTGACAGGAGCCAGCCCCGGCCAAGGACACTACAGAGAACTCACTGAGGGGTTTCTAGAACTTTCCAGTGGTCAAAGTGTAACAGGGATCCAGAGTCTGGACCTGCAGATGCCCAGTGGGTAACCAAGGCAGGATGAGGCCTGGCACTCTGCTTTCATTTGATGTCTCCCTTCCCCTGCGGCTCTGGGTTTGGGCAGCTTCATCACCGCAGGAGGGTCTGTCACACACCGCTTACCAGCTGTCTACGAACCTAGAGCATGTTGGGTCCCTTCTGGACTGGGGACACCAAGGCAAGAGTAACTAGAGCAATTTTCAGGATTTAATTTCAGGGATTTGCAGGGACATCTAATGACCAGCTTTTTTTTTTTTTTTTGGTACCAGAAATCAAACACAGGACCTCGTGTTTACCAGGCAGGCGCTGTGCCGCAGAGATACATCCTGGCCCTAACCACCAGCTTTTACAATACCTAGGTCTAGACCCCCCTGTCCCGAACCTGCAGCCCCCTCCCATTCCAGGATGGCACTGTCTTCCAGACCCGCACGATGAGGCCACCCCCCAGGAGAGCAGCCAGGGAGCTGAGGGTGTCCCTCCTGCCACAGCAGCTCTCCTAGGACCTCCCAGAATCAGGGCGGAACACCAGCCAGCCAGATCCCAGGACCACCTAATCCTGCCAGCTATGCAAACCCCAAATGCACCTTCGTTCCCCTTTCCTGTACAACCCCAAGGCTTCTGTCAGCTGTGGAGGGCAGATCAGAGCTGCTCTGTGCTCCCCAGCATGGCCACGCTGGCTACAACTCCTTTCTTGCCCCGCCCCTGCTCTCTCCTTGACTGGGATTTTGGCATGGGTGGCTGAGCCTGGGCTGTGGGATGTAGGAACTGGGGATTTTACCCTGCAACGCCAGCAACAAAAGGATGGAGATGGTGAACACACTGGCCGCTGCAGCTCCCACCCCAGCCCTGTCCGCCCATGACGTCAGATCCAGACATGGTGGCCAAGACCCTCTCAGTCATCAGGGAGACACCAAAATGCCTCCTAGCAGCTCACCCCTCCCTGTTGCCCATGGACTGCTCTGGCTCCCCAACCTCTGGCAACTGTAGGGGCTGCCCTAGTGTGGCCCCCTCCTGGTGGGCTCCCCCCACCTCCTCGGGCCATCCCTTCCCTTCCTGCACTCACAGCCATCTGTGGCTGCTTCTCAGCTCACTGCAGTACCAGGTTGGGGAGAACAGGAGTGGCTGCTTGTGCAGTGACATGCCCTAGGAGGCTATGGCCACAGTAGCACTGCCGCCAGGCAAAGGGAAGGCCGCTGGAAAGCAGCTCGGGCTCTGCGTTGAGGTCGGAGGTGACATCAGCACCAGCACCAAGGATGAGGCTGGGGAGGAGGACACAGCAGCCTCCTGGCCAGGGGCCCCCACATGGTGGCCGCCTGCCTCTGAGCTGTGGTCACATGCAGGGGATCACTCTGGTGCAGCCCTCCAAGCCAGAGAGCACCAATCCTGCTTCCAGGCAATACTGAAAAGTACACGTTTAATATCAAAAGCCATTTCGAGTATCACCGAGAGAGACTCCTGGAGAGAGTGCTCTAGGATGTTCCTGTGGAGTGACCTGGCCTCCTGGCCGCGTCCCAGGTCCCAGGGCGGCCTGACCCGCCTAGCCACTAGACTTGGCGATGAGCTTCTCCAGCAGGCTCATCATGCGCTCCTGCAGCTGCAGGCTCTGCACCTGCAGGATGTTCTGCTGGTCCAGCACACGGCGCACCTCGCGGCACGTCTCCTCCATGGCACGGCTCAGCCGCCGCTGTTCCTCCAGCATGGCCTCCAGCAGCCGCAACTTCTTCCTCTGCAGGTGGCCACTCTGTGCCTTGCGCTTCTTCACGGGACGCTCCTCTGACCTGTAGGATAGCAATCGCTGAGGATGAACTGGCCACGGCCTGGACCCTCCCGAGCACCCGACCCATCAGCTGGGGACACTGAGGCCCCAAGGCGCCAAGCCTGTGCCTGTGAGGTGAGAAGAAGGGGACCACGGGCACCGGCAGCCCTGGGACCTGCAGGCACCCTGGTGACAACCCAGACGCTGTGGCTGGGGAGCAGCCTGGGTGCTGAGTGAGCCTGAACCACACGGGGCCCAGGTGTGGAGGGCCTCCCCAGGGGGGCCAGGGTGGCAGAAGGAGGCCTCTGGGGAGCAGAGACACCCTCCGGTGGGACTGGGCAGGTGCGCACACAGGTGTCAGGTGGAGGGCCTGGGCCTGGGCCTTCCATCGCCCAGCTCATGGAGACCACTGCACCCCGGGGCGGGGAGGCAGGAGCACGGCTCATGGGGGTGGCAGCTTAGACAGCTGGCCTGTGGCCTCCACAGCATCTCCAGAGCCCATCCGACCCCACCCGACCCCACCCTGTGGCCCTGCCTGGGCCCTGCGCTCAGAGCTTTGGGTGACCAACCAGCCTTAGGGGTCACTGCCCTGTGCAGGGCCCTAGCAGCGGAGTCTGGGAACCAGGCCTGTCATCCCAGGAACAGCTGGCCCACACCTCAGGCTCCTGCTGACGCAGGCTGGCTGAGCAAAGGGGTGTCTGTCTGGGATCATGGATGAGAACTCTCCAGGGAAGGGGTGCTGAGGGAGCCCTTCCCACCCCACGGCCCCTCAGACAGACTTGAAGACTGGGGCACAGAGACAGACCATTACTCAAAGCCACATTCTTCCTATTCTTTTCACCTGGCCAACTCCTAGTTTACCTCGAAAGCCCATACTCAATGTCCCTTCTTCTGAAGTGCCTGTTCTGGGCTCCCTGTCCCCACACCACTGGCTGTCTGTCCTGCCTGCAGTCTGATGCCCAGGCACAGCAGTATGAAGCCTAGAGTGACAGGGGGATAGGCAGGACCTGTGTGAGGTGTGGGCAAGCAGGGAGGCACATGTGGGCCAGGCCCTGTGTCTTCTCTACTGACACTCCCAACCCTGTCCCAGGAAGATTCTGATTGATCCCCATTTCACAGGTGGGAGGCTGAGGCCAGAGAGGTCAAGGAACTTCCCATGCAGCTAAGCAGTGGAGCTGGGAGACCAGTATGGCCTGTAGTCTGAGGCTGGCCTGGGCCTGGGGGCCAGCAATTGGCCTGGCCACTTGGGTGGGCAGGGCAGGGCTGGGCAGGGCAGGGCAGGGCAGGGCAGGGCGGGCAAGGCCCCAGACAGGAGGAGGAGAGCGAGCGCACGCACACTACCTGAACTTAAGGGACAGTAAGCTGGAGGAGCTGTCGGAGCGATCGTCCTCGAAGCGGCCTTCATAGGAGCACTGGGTATACGGTAAGTACAGAGGGGTGGACTTAGCAGACGGCGACAGAGACGCCTCGGTCTGGGACGTGGAGGGCCCCGGCTGCTGGCCGTCCGGCACTTTGCCCTCAGAGGCCTCGGGGACCTTGGCCAGAATCCTATCAATGGCTAGGTAATAGGGCCAGTCCGGCGGGACCGACTCGCTATCTGTCATGCATTTTAATTTCCTGAAACGAGAGACACAAGAGCCAAGGGTGAGAAACAGCTGGTCCCAGCCCGTCCGCCCGGCCCCTCAGCAGAGGGGCTCACAGGGGCTCGGGGAACCCCAGGGAGGGCACGGGCAAGAGCCACTTGCGGCCAGCCAGGCTCCAGGTCCCAGCAGCGGTGGACTCAGAGCAGCGAGGCTCCAGGATGTGCACAGCCTCTGGTGCGGAGAAAGCACGCAGGCTGCAGGCGGCTCAGTGGTCAGCGCTGTCTAGCAGGCTCAAGGCCCTGGCAGGGAGGGAAGGGGCACACGCCCCAAATACAGGAAGGGCGGCCGTGGGTGCTGGAACCTCGGGTTGGCCCCTGTGGTTTCTCTTAGCTTTTCTGTAGTTTCTAAACTCTCTGCAATGAATGCATACTGCTTCCTACACCAGTTACCCAGCAAAAAGAAGTTACTCTGATAAACTTACAACAGAGACATAAGATACCACCAGCTAACAGCCACAGCTTTCTAGAGAGGATGCCTCAGGGACAGAGAATTGCAGGAGCAGGCTGCAGCATCCACAGCACAGAGACTCTTATCTCATCACCACTGTGCTGTACGACCTTGGGCAGGTTCATTAACCTCTCTGAGCCTCCATTTCTGCATCAGTAAAATGGGGATGAAGGAGGAAGCCCCTCACAAGGCTGAAGAGGAGATTTAATGAAACAGTGCCTGGCAAGCAGCAGGCTGGCCTCCAGCATCACTTGTGGTTGGAGGGACCTGGAAGTTGCATTGGGTCCTAGCTTGGTAGTGTTACTGTCACCCGCTCAGCCCTAGAATCTGCAGTTGCCCAGAGGCGACAGGGCTGGGCCTGCTGGGCTCCTCTGCACTCTGAACGGAGTGGCCCTGACCTGGGCCCTCCCTGCCAGCCTGCCATCTTCTCGTGCAGCAGGTCCTGCCTCAAGAGGGGCCCAAGCCTCTAGAGATGAGGGCCAGGGAGATAGGCCCCAGGGCGGCAGGGCAGCTTGGGCCAGCAGGGTTGGGTTGGGTTGGGGGACCTCTGCCCCATTAGACCCAGCAGCTCCTGAAGCCCAGAGCTCCCTCCCTGCCTGCCAACACGTGTCCCATGGGACCAGCTCACACCCTCAGGGCTGAATGCCTGTCTCCCCATGGTGCTCCCTGCCAGCAGTGGTCCAGGCCCACTGGGCATCAAAGGTAATAAGCCGGCGGAGTGAGTGATCCCCAGCAAGCAGGCACAGCCAGTAAGGAGGGGCTGCTGCTTGGGCTGTGGGTAGTGCCAAGCGAAATGTCCTCTAGAGAGCCAGGGACAGGTCACACAGGGCAGCCCCGGGCTGCTCTGTCTTTCCAACAGTGGGCACCTAATCCACCTGTAGAAGGGAAGGTGAGCTGCCACCTGGTGTCCACCAGCCTCCACCAGGGCCCTCCGCAGTACCTGCTTTTTCTGCCACCTCAAGCCAGCCCTATCCTTGGAGACAGGGCCACTATGCCCAGCCTGAGAGGCCCCACGTGCTATTCTAGTGACCATGCTCCACAGAACCAGGCACCCTCGCACACTTCCTTAGCCAGACAACCTTAATATGTAAAAAGGTCTTGTGAAAAAACAATAAAAGTATCTGTAGTAGAGAGGGGCAGGGTGGGGAAATAAAGACCTGCCCACCCGGTGCAAGCTTCGGCCTGTGGAGGTCCGTGTGGCAAGACCTTTTGCAGTTCTGGGCCACAGCTTCCCTCTCGGTGAGCAAGGACTGACAACAGCAGCCAAGGGGAGACAAGGAGGGCATTTGCTTCGCAAGCTGAGAGTGCTGGGCACCCTGGCCTGACTGCAGCCCTCATCTCCTGGCCTCCAAGGCTCACACCCGGCCAGGAGTGGAGACAGAGCCCTCCCCACCAGACACAGAGGGAGGCTTTCAGGATGAATAATGAATAACTCAGCCAGACACCAATCAGAGCAGGCTGGGCCTCACTCTGAATTACTGAGTGAGGGAGGCTGGGTTTCAGCGGTGCGGCCTCCCCCGCCTCTGGAGCCCTTTGCTCACCGGATGTTTGAATGGGGCCAGGGGCCAGGGCAGGCCAGGCCAAGCCGCCATCTTCAAGTCCACTTCTGTTGATGCCAGACTCACATCTCAGCCCTAACATCAGGAACAGAGGCTCAATGTAACATCATCTACACTAAAGGACTCCAGGCAGCGGGTTCTGACTCCAGGCCATGGTCAGAGACAGGCCTTAGATGGGGCCAGGCTTGGGACCTGCTCCTCTAGGGCCCAGAAAGTTAAGTCAGCACAACTCAAATGGAGCTGCAAGGTCTGTCCAGGCCTTGCTGGGTGCTCTGGGCTCCCATGGTAGCCAGGAACCAGGGTTGTGGTGCAACTTCCTCTGCTACGCTGGGCCAGCCCTCACTTGTGAGTATATGGGTCTTGGTGCTCCCCTGGGATGCAGCAGGGAAGCCTGTGGAGCACCCTCTGTCTCTAGCCTCCCGTCTGCACCAGCCCACATGCCTGTACCCTGGAACTGCCGTGAGCCTCCCAGGACAGGGTGCCCTACCATGGCACCCCAGGCCACCCATGGGTTGATGCTCTCAGCCACTGTCTCCCCTGTGGCCTGCAGCTCCTGGTGTGACCTGCCTCACACCCACGGCCCAGCCCCTCACCCCACACTGTGACCTTCACGCTACACAAGACTCCTCATACCTATAAGCCCACACCCCACCTGTCTGTGAGCCCCGTGCAGTGGTGGGGTGCTGGGCGTTTAGGGCCACAGTCACTCCTCCTGATTTCTTCCAGGAGCCCCTTGTGCTAAGCCAGCTAACCTGGGATGTGTGGAGCCAGAGACAGAGTCAGACCTGGGCTCCCCACTTCCTCCCACGAACAAGCACAAGCACTGCCCACAGGCAAGCACCGATCGGACAACCTGAGGTCTCAGTATCTGCCCTAAATGCCCCTCTCCTTGGCCCTGAGCTGGGCACATGGCATGAGCTTGAAGTCCTAAGGGTCAGGGCCAGATATGCCCAGGAACCAAGCTTCCTTCTCATTCTGGCCTCAGTTCCCCTATCTGTACAGAGGCTTCTGACTCCCCGCTGACAAGCTGCGGTTCCCGGGGGTGGGATGCAAGGTGTAGATCAGAGGCGCTTCGTGCACTGGGCGCTGCCGCAGCAGTGTCGTGAGCTCAGCGCATAGGTCCGGTGTGTGTCTCTGGAGCCATAGCCCAGCAACCTGAAGTCAACAGCAGTTCCTGCCACCTCAGGAGTCCCCCCACCAGTTTCTTGTGTTTGCTGGGCCTGTTTCCCCATTTGCCCAAGGGGAGGCTGCAGGAACGGTTCCTGATGCGGTCTGTCCGTATGGGGCCCTGGCCCGGTGGGGGGCCAGCACACCTGGCGCATGCCTTTCACCCCCTCGCCCACCACCACAGCACCCACCTGTACTGGAAGGTCATGTTGGTGATTTTGATCTTGATCTCCTCGCCTAGCCGGCGCTCGCCCGTCATCTCGAAGAGCTTGCTGGCCATCTTCTCGTACACCTTGGCATTGCGCTTGGTCTGCTTGAGCTCGTCGAAGAACTCCTCCCAGACAAGCATGAGACCACGCATCTCGGCGTCCGTCCAGTTGCGGGCCCGCCGGTGCTTCTCCGTCTGAGGAGACACAAGGTAGCTGGGCACTTCGGCCGCCGCCATGCTGGAGGCACCTGCGGGGTTAAGGACGGCGCTCAGGCGGGGCCTCGGGCCCAGCCCAGGCACCATGGGCGGGAGGCACCACGCTAGCTTGCTTGAGGCAGCTCCGCGCTCAAAATGGGGCCTACATCTGACAGGCAGGAATTTAGTTAAAAGCTTTTAAACGGGAAACGTCATTTTGATGTCACGTTTCCATAGCAACAGAGCAACTGCATAAGCTACAACAACAGAAACCTTTTAACTGAAAGCACAGGAATCAGGGCCACACTGATGGGCCATCAATATTGCAGCGAGCACTGGGCCCAAACCCGCTGTCGGCCCCAGCCTGACTCCTTCCTGCCAGCCCATCGGGCCTCAGCTGCCTGGGCCACATGCATAGAGGGGCTTCCATGGTGCCAGCCGGGTCAGAGGTAGGGGCGAGGGTGGCCCATGGGCCGTGGGGGTGGCACAGGAGGACAGAGTGGTCCCTGGGGGATGGGGCAGGGGAGACAGGGCAGGCAGGCGGGCAGGCAGGCAGGCAGGTTGAGGCCCCATGATGACTGGACCAGGGGGCTGCACGGACTCCTTGGTGAAGGCTGGGCCCCAGGTTTCAGGGGACAGCATGAGGCCCCCTCCCACCTTTGTCCTGTGCTACTCTCGCTGTACCCCCAAACGTGCTGGCTCCACTCCTGGGTTCACTGAGGACCCAGGCTGACCACAGCCAGCCCCTGCTCAGTGGTGCCTGCTAGGGGACTTGGGCACTGACTTTCAGTACAGGCTGGGGACAGGGGGACAGCACCAGGGCCAAAGGCAAGCTATAGGTGGAGACAGGAAAACGGGTCAGAGGGTGGCACTGGGAGGGCCAGCCAGACCAGGGTGGCAAGGTGGACACGGTAGGAGGGTGCAAGCCAGACCTCTGTGGCAGGGCAAAGGTGAGCTTGAGGGCAAAGCTGGGGCTGAGGGACTGAAATGCCAGCAGGGCTGGTGGGGACCTCGGCCGGAGGAGTTGGGGGCAGGCGAGCTGAGGTGCTATGAGGGCTGCAGAGGGAGAGGGAGAGCGCCACCCCAGGGCACAGCCAGCCAGCATTTAAGACGTAAAGATCAAACAAGGCTGTACAGAGCCCAAGGACCCAGGCTGGACAGACCAGAAGGGACTCAGCGCCCCACTATTCTGGCATCTGCAGCCTGCTGCTCCCTTGAGGGTGGTCTTGCCCAGCCCCCACACCCAGGCTGAAACTCCCTGGTCAGCAGGGGACAGTGGGTGCTTCTAGTCTTCCTTGGCCTGACAAACACGGGGAGCTGAGCACCACATGACCTCTGTGAAGAGCTCCCATGGTACCCCGTGGGGGGCCTAGGCCCCAGCGTGAGAGGGCCCCACGCTGTCATCAGGCTCCCTGTCCCCTGTGGGGAAGTTCCCGTGCCCAGCAGCCCCTGGAGGGGGTGCTGTGCCGCTCCATGGGTCCCAGCTCAGGCAAACTGAACCCCTTTCTCTGAGCGCCTGGACCACCGTCCTCACTGGCAGCTGTGCAGCACCAGCAGTCTGTGGCTGGGGCTCTGAACTTCTGCTGAGGGTCCCCTACCCTCCCCACTCACTGTCCTTGTCCCACTGCTGGCCTATGGGCTTAATGTCCCCTGAATGCCCCCGAGCCCCACTCCCCAAGAAGCCCTGCTCCTCAGGCACAGGCTCTAAATGGTGGGAGGCTAGGGAGCTGTCCCTCTGTCCCACCCCAGCTGTGATTCCGGGGGCAGAGGCAGGGTAGCTGCTTGCCCACCATACAGGGAAGAAGGCAAGCACAGCCCAGGGCTCCACTGACTCACAGCACGGCCTCCCTCACCACTGGCCCTCAGCCTCCCTCCCGCATCTCTGCAGTGGGAGTGAAGACCTGGCTGGAGGATCGTGAATCACCCAGTGCGGTGCTGGCTGAGGGGCCCTGCAGAGATGGTGGTGTCCTGACTCCCAATCCAGCCCCTCCCAAGATTGCCCTTGGAGGCTTTAGAGCTCGAGGGGCACCTACCCCACTGCTTGCTTGAATTCTGGTGGTCATGACGCAGAGCCACTCTCTAGGAAGAACCCTACGGGGAAGGGTGCCAAACTTTCCTTCTTGGGCTGGGGTGCCCAGTGTGCCCTCTGGGGTGCCTTCTAACACAAGAACCCTTGTCTGGGTCTCCCCAAGATGAACTGGGCTAGCCAACTAGTTAGGCCACACCCGCAGGTGTCTGTCCCTCTAGGGGAGGAGCTCCATACCTTGGCACAGCTGCATGGCCTGCTGGGACCCGCAGTCACTGTGGGAGTGGGCGCCCGGCAGCACCTGCAGGGAGAGGGGCAGTCAGGCCTCAGTAGGAGCACCCTCGGGAGGCCCAGGCATGGCGCCAGGGTCCAGCCTGGTCCTGCTGCACAGAGGGCAGCCTGTGCTCTCTGGGGAGGGTGCTGCCCTACTGCAGGAAACTGGGCCTAACTGGGTAGGCAGTACAGGGCTTGGCCTCTGGAGAAAGCATGGAGGGGAAGTTAGGCCCCTGCAGCCATGAGCTGAGCCTGTACCAGTGGGCAGGGGGATTTGGAGGCTGGAGAACCAAGACCTTGGCCACTGCTAGAAACAGGCAGTGTGTGTAACAGGGATGGTGCAGTGTGATAGCAGCCTGGTTGGGAGGCAGTAGGGCCCAGGTTGTAGGAGGCAGAGCTGCCACAGAATGGAGGACAGGAAGGGCTACTGTCTCAGTAGGGGAGCAATGGGTCAGGTTCCGCCTCAGGACTGGTCTGTACCAGTGGGTCAGCGACTGGACTGCCTAGTCCAGCAGGGAGGGCAGGCAGACTGTGCCCAGCTTGTGTGCTGGGCATTGACATCTTCCCAGGCCACTTGCTATAGTCCTCTGCCCTTGGTCAGACCCCCACCTTGAGCTGTCACCAGAAGCCCATGGCTCGACTGCTCTGTCCCCACTGGACCACAGGGAGGGAGCCCACTAAAGGGCTGAGCCACCCAAGCAGATGGGGAGTGGGCTGAGGGGCTGAGCGGACTAGATGCCTGAGCACTCCAGGCAGGTGGCAGACTCCAGAGCCAGCTGCCTCTGCCCAACCACAGGCGCCTGGACCAGATGGGGTTCCTGAGGCTGCCGTGTTCCTGGGCTCCGTCCCCTGGCTCCCTGGCCTGCTGGCTGCATGAGACTGTAGGGGAACCTCATCACTTCTGTGTGCCTCCAGGAAGCCTGGAGCTGAGCTGTGGCCCTGGTACTCACCTTACCCAGCCGCCTCCTCGTCACTGTGCAGGGGTGGAAGTGTCAGGCTCCTCACTCAGGGACTAGCTCAGAATGCTTTTCAGAGCCAAGTGGTCACGGCTGGAACAAACACCACTGCAGGCACTGAGCACGAGCCCAGCAAGGGGCAGGAGAGGTACCCCTGGCACCTCCTGGCAAGGAAGAAAGTGGCAGCAACAGGTGCTTGCCCTCTGTTGTGCAGCTGGAGTGTGCAGGCGTGCTGTGGGTAGCCCTGCCAAGGGGCACCTTCCACTGGGACTGGGTCTTGTTTCTGGAAACACCAGCTACACTTGCCAGGTGTGCAAGGGCCTGGCTGTCCACACCTAAACCAGGGAAGAAGAGGTGCTCCATTTCCCTGAAGTGACCAGAACACAGGCAGCGCTGAAGGGCAAAGCCATTGGGCCCTGGAGTTGCCACCAATGAGGAGATAGATTCAGGCAGTTGAAGTGACCCCCTAGCCCCCAACAATGCTTAGAGCAACTGAGAGGGCAGCAAAACCTCATGGGACGTCCTCCAGGGCCTCCAGCCAAGTGCTCACCACCCCGTGCAGAGAAAGAGGACCTGAGCCCCAAGAAGGCCCCGGTCTGACTGTCTTGGTCCTCGCCTTCTCTCCAGGCACCGGCCACAGGGCTGGCTCTGCTTTGGGAACAGTGGCTAGAGCAGCTAGGCGGGCCGTCAGTAACACTCACACCTGCCCCCACAGCCTGAGGTGGCGGCTTCTGCAGGTTGGTGGGCGGAGCACTGCGCCCCAGGATCACTACCATACAGACCACCAAGCCTTGGGAGGGCACAGTGAGCTGGAAGGAAGTAGCCCTGCTGAGCTGACCAGGGGACTTCTTGGAGAAGATATGCCACAAAGGAAGGGCTGACAAGCTGAAAAGGATGGGGCAGGCAGTGCAGACACAGTGGCGAAGCAGGAGCGGGGAAGGCCAGCTGTGCTGGGGACAGTGAAGTCCAGCTGGGCCAAGGGCTTGGCTGTTAATCGTCCGTGAAGCAGAAGGGCCAGCAGATCTTCGAGGGCTCTCCCAGTGAAGACACAACCCTCTCCACCTTTCCGGAGCCCTGAGCCACTGTGGAAGCAGGGGAGGCTCCCGAGGGGAGCTTGCAACACCACCAACCATCAGCGCTCTCACAGTCCATGCCTGCAGAGCAGCAAGGCACCCACACAAGATGTTTGCAGGGAGCACCCACTAGGCCAGGGCCTGAGCCCAGCCCTCTGCACCTGCTCGCGCTGCCTGGCCCACAGTGTCAGAGGACTGTGGGCAGCAGCAGCCTCACTGGACAGAAGGGAAATGGTTCTTGGTAAGCAGAGCAAGCTCCACACAGCAACAACAGATGGTTTGATTATTCCTTTAATTTGAATATACAACATGTGCAGCAGTTAAAAAAATTTAAATATACATCTTATGCCAGTCCTTCCTCTTGGAAGTAGACAGTCAGGGCTGGGCGGGGCTCCAGGACATGCCCATCACAGCCACAGCCCATAGCCTGCTTGCTTACAGCCTGGATGGAGGCCCCCAGGTCAGAGCTACACCCCACAGGCAGATTTCCGCTGCCCATGACCCACCCACCGTGTGCAGTGGAAGATCTGCTCCCTGAAACACTTGGGGGCAGGGCTCCTGAAATGGCATTAAAACATGACAGGCACACAAGGAAGATGGTCCTGAACCCTCCAGGTACCTTCCGTGAACACAAGGCTCTCCGAGTCCCTCCTTCCCCATGCACAGCTCCAGGCCAGACAAGGGACAGTCCTTTTCTCTTGTGCCACCCCAAGCAGCTCTCTAGGTCTTCCTGGTCCCATACGTCACTCCAGGGGACACCGAGTTCACCCCAGCTAGCAGCTCTGGTCCCTGCACACAGCACAGAGAGGGAGGGACAAGCCCACAGGAGGAGGCTGACAGGGAAGGACACTCGCAGGTAGCAAGAGGAACTAATTCTACCTCATAAGCACAGACAGCCAACCCCACAATGCCAGGTAGCCGCCAAGAAACAGGCAGTTATTGCTATGTGACCCACCCACAGGGTGAGCACTAGGCCGAGACACTGTGGCTCCGGGGAGGAGCTCCTTGGTGGGTACATTCTGGGTGTCTGGGGTGTTTCCATTCTACTCCTCCTCCTGATGGGTCCACGTGAAGAGAAATTGCGAGTATGATAAAGGGCACCTGGAACAGTAAAGTCACCTCTGTGTCAGTGGGGCCAGCAGTGGAAGGGAGGCACAACTTGGAGAAGAAACATGCTTCAGTGCATTGCCAAGTAATTCTACCCTGGTTTCACTAAAATCTTTCCTGATAGTACCAGCAAGAAAACAAAAATCCTACCCTGCCTCCCCACAAAAACTTGATAATCAAAGTGACTTTTCTGATAAAATTTGGGAATCCGCAGCATTGGAGGAATTTGATGGAGTCTTGAACCCGTGTGTGCAGAGTGGGTCAGGAGGACAGCTTTTCCATGGGACTTTTCTGAGCAGGGTCCCCTTCTTATCTAGTCCCACTCTCAGGTGCTCCAGTCAGGTGGCAACTTCATGCAGCTTCCAGCAAGATTGGACACAGGCGTTTCCGGAGGGCTTGTGTGTCTGACTTGAGGTGTGTGTGTGTGTGTGTGTATGTGTGCATGTGTAAATCCAAGTGTAGGTATGCACACATGCACACACATACACACATGGACAGACCTCTTACAAACTTGTGTGTTCTGGAGAACACAGATCTTTGGGTTGGTGCCTATGGCCAGGGTTGGGTTTCAGCCCCTACGCTAAGATCATACGGTGAACAAGAAGCGGCCAATTAAACTCTACGCTGAGGCCAGTGATAAGAATTCCAAGGGGAATGGCTCCAAATTTCACATTCACAGTGTTATTTCTTACAATGTAAACATCTAGCCAGGAACACTGTCTGGCCTGCAACACATCGGTCTCAGAGCTGCTGGGATGACCAGGGGGTGGAGTGGCAGAAGTTTCCCACAGTTCCCAAACACTTCTAGCAGCTTCCTAGGGGAGAACTGGGATGAGAAATAGGGGCCCCAAATCAATAAGGGACAATCAGTGACTTTCTCACTTCTTGTTAAAATCCAGTAGTTTCCCTACAGTCTTCTCCCAAACTGGATCCATTTCTACTGTCTGAGTTGCTGACTACAAGGATAAGTTGGTCCTGGCTTGTTGAAGCCTCTGCTGGGGCTGGCTGGAAAAGCTTCATGCTAGCCACAAGGGGCTCCTCCATAGCAGGAAAGGACAGAGGGAGCTCAGGGTCTCAAGGCGGCACTGCAGACTGACACATTGCTAGCTAACACAAGCCGAAAGAGCTCTCCTCCTTGGGAGACTGGAGTCAGCTCCGAGCACTCTGCACCGACTGTGTGCAACCGAGACACTGCCCCAGCCAACCAGCACAGCAGTCACCCAGCCAGCGGGCTGGCCTGGGTGCGGGGAGCAGAGTACCAGCTCTGCTGCACAGCAGGCATTGCTCTGAACCAAGGCAGTGAGCACAACCAGGGATCTCTGCCGTCCAGGCTCACTTCCATTTAAACCATGTGGCCATTTGGGCCTGGAAACCTGAAGCAAGTCCTGGGATCCTGGGCCTAGGGTAGAAGTGGAGCTGTCTCCAGGCCATAGGTGACCAGCCACAGGCCTTCTCCTGCTCACCATCCCATCTCCATTCAACCAAGAGTGAGCCTCATCCCTGCACTCTGTGGACACAGATGTGCACTCTCGTAGGCTGAGGGAGGCACACATATGAGGGGGAGGAGAGCTGTTGGGGTTCATCTTCAATAGTCACCAAGACACTACATTTTGCTTTTGACCACAAGGAGCTCAGACAAAACACAGCTGTGACACCTAGGGCTGCAGCCAGGTACCCATCAGGGCCCCACTGTGCCCATGAGGCAAGGGGACAGTGCACCTAACACTGGCTGCTATGCAGACCAAGTCCTGGCTGGAGGATGGACTGGTGCTAGAGGTTGCCAGGCCTCTCACTGTGGGTGAACGTGAATGTTGTCTGTGCTCGATGAGGGGCCGTGCAGTGGGCATGGAGGAGAGCATCCTCCTCAGTCCCTAGGGCTGGGCCCTGGACATGATACCTCTTTCCACTCCAGCTACACAGGGACAATAGGAAAGGGGATGTGTGCACGGGAGGGGCCTGCCCAGCCAGCTCAGGCGGCTTCAGGAGGGGAGCGGCGCTAGAGGGCCCGTTCACATCCACAGATGCTGTCGCATGCAGCACAGGCCTTGCAAGTCACACACTGTACACGGGCATAGGAAGTGTTACATTAAAATTAATCTCTTTACTGGTATAATTAAATTTTAAGTCCTGAGAAGAAAACAGAAAGGGAGGCTGGTGCTGGGCGCCTAGCGCCCCCCAGCCTCACTTGCCACGCACCACAGCGTCCAGACATGGGTGCGGCAGGCACACCCCACCGTGGAGATGCAGGGAGAGCTCTGCAGCCTGCGGGAAGCATGTCTGCCTGTGGGACAGGGAGGCCAGGGCCACCTGTGAGAGCAAGGGCTCCTGCTCTGGACACAAGGGTACTGCAACCCTGCAACATGAACAGGAGAACACTAGGAGAGGGACAACACCTGCCAACCACATGGCCACCAGCACAGGACTCAGGCTCAACCCCAATCTGCTGCATGTCCCTTGCATAGCCCTCACTGCAAAGAGTACTTCTGTCACGGGGGCAGAAATGCACACACCACCTGGCCACTCATGTGATACCAACAGAAGCCTGCAGTGACCCAGGGGACCCCAGGGCTCACTCAAGCTCCCAGAGGCTCTGGCCCCAGTGGCCGCCTCCTCCAGGCCTCTGCCACCACAGATGCTCAGCAAGTGGTGACCTCGTGAACATTTCGCAAACAAGTTAGCAGCCGGTGGTATGGGCTTCCTGGTGCCGCGACCACCTCAAACACAGACTGGAAGGCCCTGCGGTCAAGCTCCTCCTCTATCTGGTGTCTGTAGAAGTCTGTGGCAACCAGGCAGAAAAGGTTCACATCCACCTGTTCCAGCTTGCCCATCCGGCTGATGACATGTGGAAGGCTGGCAGAGGGGTCAAGGAGAACACTGGAAGGCAGGGAAGATGACCTTAATCTCCTCCCACCCAACCCTACAAATGGCCCAAGGAGGCCAGGGCGATCAGGGCAGCAGAGGGCAGCCTGGAAAGTGCCAGCAACAATGGCCACATCCCACTGTCTCCCAGCTGCCAGCTGCCTCTGCCAGCTGCTCAGAGCACTCTGCGCTGCACCACTTACCTGGCTGGCTGCTCAGCGCAGGAAGGTAGAGCTGGCCTGGCTGTCCAGCTGCCCGGCTTCCCAGGCAGGCTGTGTGGGTCTGTGCTGTCAGCACAGCACAGCTGCGCTGCTCAGAGGCTTCTGTGGTCTGTCTGGGGGAGGCCAGCAAGAGGGGAACTCCTGGCCAGCAGTGCTGGCGGGTGGGGCTGGGTCTTTACTCACGCCTCTCCCCAGGAGGGCGAACACAGCACAATGACAAGAGCTAATGAGAAGCAGCATGTGGAACAACCCAGCAGTGCGCGTGGCAACCTGAGCAGATAGGCAACCACTGCCCTGCCTCCCCACTCCACCCCCAGCCCCCAACTCCTTGCATGCCTTGACCCTGGGCAGCCCTGCCTACCAATGGCTGAGCCTCCTGTTTTGTGTCCCTGTCAACCTTTTACACCCCTGGGGCTGGCAAATGCTGTCCTATCCTCATGGGGTTCTGCAGAGGGTAGGTTTCCAAGCTTTCACCACCACCTGAACCTGACACTGACACCAACCAAAGTGAGGACTGGTGCAGGCGGGAGCTAGCCTCCAGCAAGGACCCAGAAAGGATACATGGCCGACACCCAGGGGCTGGTGGATGCGCTGACGAAAAAGCAGGAGAGACTCCACATGGCCATGGCGACTGGGGTCCTCTGCGTGAAGTTGGACAGGGACAGCATGACCCAGTCCCGGACCATGGACGACTGCCCGGCACTGTGCAGTGTCTGGAACACCTGGGAAGGAACGTGGCACCTGAGCGGGTCAGGCAGCAGGAGGGATACCTGCGCTCCCAGGGCTACCAGTTCCTGGGAAGAAGCCTGGCCCTGTGGTAGAAGCCTGGGGTTTACCCCACCTTGGCCCCTGGCCCTGGCCCTGGCCTCGGCCCCCAGACACCTTTACCTTGTACACAACAGTGGCCATGAACTGTGGGTATGGCTGCTGGTTGGACAGAAACTCTCCAATGACCTTGTTCATGACGTCCTGGGGTGGGAAGAAGTCATCCAGGAACTGTGGCAGGATCCTTGCCACCACTCGGGCTTCACAGGGGAAGCCCTTTCTGATCCTGGAGAGAGCAGAGCAGGTCAGAGTCCCACCTGCCCCCAGCTCACCCAACCCTGTCTGGGCACGCTGGCGAGGAGTGGGGCTGGAGACTGAACCACCCTCAGGGATGTTCCAAGTGGGGCGCAGGCCAGAGCTGGGGTATAAAGTCTGAGCAAAAAGGCAAAACCTTGCTCTCCAGTCATCCCCTTCCTGGGGGGTAAGGACAGCCGTGCTGTGCACAGATGTGGGCAGTACTGCAGAGGGGATGGAGGCCAGGTAGAGGAATGAGCAGGAACAGCATGGGGCAGTGACTTTTCCACGTCCAGATGCTGCATGGCAGTTTCAACTCCACACATCTAATTCTAATCCTGATGCTGTCAACCAGGATTTCTTTCCTCTCAAACCTGGGCCTTATCTATGTTCTTGGTGATTTATCTTCCAACAGATCCTAAAATCCAGCCTGGGCAGCATCCTTTTTGATGCGGTAACAGTGACGAGCAACTACCCTATCTGTGTCCGCAAGACTTCGGCATATGACCAAGATGTGGGAAGTGGCCTCCCATGTGTGTGCCCAGCTGGCCTGCCCTCTCGGCTGGCCTGCCTGCTGCCTGGAAGGATTCAACTGAGGGTCCACCTGTGTGGCAGCCCGCACCTCCCTGAGGGCTCTGCTGAGCAGCTACTTGAGCTCATGGACAGCCCCTCTGGTGGTTGAAGGATGGCTGCAAAGCTCATTCTCCAATTCAATATGGAAACAGACAGCTGTGCAGAGGACCCCTCTGGCCAGAGGGCACAGGCCAGATCCCTGAGTGTGCTCTTGAGACAGCCAAGTGGCTTCCCACTGGCCAGACTGCATGGGCAGAGCAGTGGGACAGGTCGAAGACCTATCGTATTTCTGAGACCAAATGGTCTGAGGGCAAGTACAGGGCCTCATCCTCGAAAAGTACAACGCTCTCCAAAGCTGGCATGCAAAGCCCCATCGTGTCACAGCCTCGCTCTTTCTGGGCTGTCCCCACACAGCTTCCGAGTGCCACATGTGCCTGGCTCACAAAATGTAGCACGGCAAAGGACGTTTCTACCACTGACTACTCAAGTTCCTAGGCTACACCCTCGGACTCCAGGGGAGAAAGGAAGCAATGGGGCCGCCTTGGAGGTGGTCAGCACTACCCTCGTGTGGGGCCAGGCAGGATCAGGGTGTGGTGGGGAAGCATGGCGGGACACAGGGTGACTGGACATGTGGACATGCATGAGGGTCACTGCTGCTGGGTCTGGCTCGAAGGCAGGAATCAGCCACAGCATGGACTGCACATCTCACCTATCGAAGAGAACAGACACCCGCTCCATGGCAACGATCACAGATTCGCTATCTGGGGCTGCAGGGTTAGGATCTGAAGTTCTGCCTGGACTGGCTTTCTCCTTTCCTGAAACAGCAGTGCCAGAAGGTTACATGACTGGAACCCAAATAGCTCTGAGGATGGTTGCTTGTGTACAGGAATTTAACAGAGCTCTAGCAAGGGCTGGGAAGCAGGTGACTGAGCCTCTGGCAAGCCAGAATCCTGCACAGCCCCCACCGCTGGGCTGCAGGAATGCAGTAGGCAGGGCGGTTCGGACACCTATGCACCTAGGAGCCACCTCGACCAGGCCCCCTGCCCTGTGCTCTAGATTCTCTCACAAGGTGATAGGGCTGGCTCAGGTCCCACATCAAAGGACCTTTAGGGGGCTGGACAGAAGCTACGCCATGCGTACAGCTGACCACAGTGCCCTGCATGAGTGTGTGGCCCTCACAACTGCTCACCCGTGTACATGCAGGTGAGCATCAGGCCCAGGGCAGCCATGGCGCGGTGCGGGCTGTGCACATTCACTCTGTCCACACTCAGCTTGACCAGGGACTCTGCGTCCAGCCGGGAGAGCTGCTCGGAGAGGAGGAGGCGCTCCAGGCCTCGGAGGGTGCAGTGGTAGATGATGGAGGGAGTGGACTCCTCGCTGCCAGACAGCATCACCCCACACATCTGGGCAAGAAGAGAGGTTTGTCTGCACCTTTTCTGAAGTCCATAGGCCCCACCGGAGGATCCTACAAGGGAAGTCTGGCCAGGACCCACTCACCTGTATTATTGACGCTGAAAATTCAGGCCCCACGTCCAGGGGATAGTTCTCAATGAGATAGAAAGCGGTAGCACACATCACCAGCACATGCTGCTGGCTGTGCACATTTACGCAGCTGAAAAAGGGAGACCACCAAGCTCAGCTCACACAGCAGCCACTCCCTGTGCAGTGGGGATGGCATCCCAGGGGCCCAGCTCCTCTGTGAGCACAAAGGCCACACCACTCCCCAAGCCCTTGCACGCTGCCCTTTCTAGTCACACACCTGGCCCTCTCAGCTGGCACCTCTCCTGCGCCACAGCCTTGTGCAGGTCACCCTATTCCTGAGTTGGTGAGACCCGTGGAGTCCCTCAAGTCAGGCAAGTCCCCTCTGTCTCCTCAGGTGCCGACCCGGGCAGCACTTGCTACTTTGTGACCCTGAACTGTGGGACCTCTGGCTGGCCTGTGCTGAGCAGGGGGCCACTGTGGACAGAGGTAGCACGCCACCACCTCCACCAAGCAGATGAACCCACGTGAGGCTTCTCAGCCCCTCAGGGCCCTGTCTGTTTGCAATATCCACCTGCCAACTTTGGCCCCCTCCCAGTTCTCAGTGCCCCGCAACCCTGCATGCAACTGCTCTGGGCCATACTCCAGGGGACAGTGGCCAGCTGTCTGGCTGTCCTGTTCACCCCAAGCTCACCATCCAATAAGGACAAAGAACAAGAACATGCCACCTCTGTCCCAGACAAGTACCCTCCAGTGTGCCGCCTTCACTACTTGTGCCCCCCCAAAGTGCACACCTGCTGACACATCTGACCTGTGGGAACACAGCCCCTCATAGCAACGAAAGCTCACTCCATGGGGGCTGGGGATTTAGCTCAGCGGCACAGCGCCTGCCTGGCAAGCACAGGGTCGTGAATTTGATTCCCGGTACCAGAAAAAAAAAAAAAAAAAAAAAAAAAGAAAGCTCACTCCAACCCTCCTCTCCCTCTGCCTCTTGTTTCACTGGCCTCAGACACTACCCTCAGAAGGGTACCCATCAGGGTTCCTGCCTTCTATCAGGCCAGGGACCTGCTGTATGCACCTCGGCTCACTTGGAGACCCCTCACCCGCCCAGCATGGCCTACTCACTAGGCTGCCCCCTTGAGACTGGACAGGAGGTAGTCATTGATGACTGGGATGAGCTGCTTCGCGGTGTCGTCCAGGAGGTCACACTCCAGCACGTACAGGATGCCATGCAGGGCTCCGATCTGGCTGGGCAGGTGACTGCTCCTGAGGGTGCTTTCCAACAGGCGGCTGACTGGCTCTGCTACGGCCTTGTCCTGGGCACAAGCAGAGATGCAAGTTACCTAAGGTGGATGGGACAGCCTCCATTTCCCTGTACCAAACAGGGCTGTCCCCATGCTGCCATGGAGCTGGGGGCAGTACAGTTCTCACAGCTGGAGCCTGTAGAGCGCCCCAACCCCTTAGAAAAGGTGGCCCGAGGCCTCACTGGGTCTCACAAAAGCAGCAAGAGGCCACCAGTGACCCTGCCTCTGTGGGAGCCTGTGTTTCACTGTCTCTGTCCATTACTTCTTCTCATCTCCTCCGCATGCTGGCGCCATGGCACGGAGATGGCCCTGTGTCTTCCTGAGGACTGCCCCCCAACCCAGCCTCAGTCTGCTTTTGCAAGCACAATGCCAGGATTTGCTGCCAAGGGCAACACAGGCAAAGACAGCGGTACACTTGGGCATAGGATACTGTCTGCAGCCGAGCAGGACAGCAGAAGCCACACGGCAGCCAGTCATCTTCAGGAACAGTCAGGGCACAGAGCAGGGAGGGGGGCCCATCCGCCAGCCTGCCTTAGGATCCATTTATAAAATCATTACTCCTGACTTGATGTATCTGACATTTGCCTGGGGGATCTGAGTCTGGGCACAAAACCACAGCAAGCCAGCTTTGGAACCCCCCATGGAGAAGAATGGGCCTCCCACTAATTGGGCCGCTTGGCACTGCCCTGGCAGCACCCAGAGGGCACCTCTTTGAAGACTGTCCCCACAAGGCAAGTAGTGAGCACATTGTTCCTGCGCTCTGGGCGGCTCAGTCACCCATGGGGCCCAGGCTCAGGCCACCCACATGGACGATACCTGCTCTTGCCTCGACTCAGCAAGGACATTCTATGGTGAGTGGCTCAGAGGAGTGAGAGCTGGGCCCCGCTATGCCCTGTCACTGGGTCAGGCTGTGGATGAGGTTAGATGGGTGTACAAGGGGGACAGCTCAGCATCTGGTGGCTGGACTGTGGCAATGCGACCACCGCTATAGCACTGCTGCTGCTACTGGCACACGGAAGGGAGCCCTGGCAGGATCTTCATGCAGCTCCTGTCGGTGGCCCCCAATGCCTGGCATGTGGCAGGCAGCCTCTCCTGTGTGCACTGAAGAAGAGAACTCCACTGCTATCATGAAAACGGCTCCCAGGGGGCATGGGAATCAGAAACATTACAATTATGGAACCTACTATGTGACAAAGGGCAAATGGACACCAGTTCCAATAGTTGGAGTCACTCTTCTCTAACGGCAGTGCCAATATGCTATGCCACACTCTAGAGAGACGCGTGTCCCCGAGGTACACCCAGTGGCTGCCACACGGTGACGTGTGCCAGGACAGGGCCAACCTCTGGTAAGCCAGCAGCAGGTGAGGGGGATCTCATGGGGGCTTCCCCGACCCCAAAGGATGAGTGTCCTTGTCACAGGCCCAGGGAAGCTTGATCACCCCTTCCCTGTCAGTGCACAGCAGCCCTCCTCGGGCGTGGAACCTGCAGGCACCATGCTCTTAGACTTGCTGGCCTCAACGTGAATAGTGAACTTGCTGTTCATGAGTCACCCGGCCTAAGGTGTTTTCCATAACAGTATAAATGGACTAAGGCACCCGGATGCCGGGAACAGACTTCAGTACCCAGGCTGTGGGAGTGGATGTGCAGCATTACTGTGGGAGTCTCTGGAGGAGACTGTCGGCTGAGAAACAGGGGACCCGGAAAACATCCGAGGAGGAGAGTAAGGCTGCCAGGCCACAGGCAGACTGGAGAGGCCAGTCATGTTCCCACCATCTGTGCTGTCCCCAGGCCACCACACACCCACAGTCCTGAGAGGACAGTCAACTGTAATGACACAGAACCAGGCTTAGCCTCCACAGCATGACAGGGCACCCTGAGGGGTGGCCCCGCCAGGAGCTGAGTCTTCTCCAGCTGACCAGAGCTGCAGCTCCCATGTGCTGTGGGGTACAGCTCAGGATGTGTCTGGCTAACACAGGTCCCAACCAGAGCAGGACGGGGTGGCTTTGGCACAGGTGGCTTCCATACTGTCTCTCACTTACCATTCCAAGGACAGCAGCTGCCTTACAGGTGGCTGGCACCAGGTACTGGACAAGAATCTCATCCTCAGAAGGGTGTACCCGCCGCAGTTCCGTCAGCGTCGAATACATCATCTCGAATTGGTTGCGCTCAGTGAACAAGTCTGAGACGACAAGAAGCTGCACACACAGAAGGCAGAGACAGGAACGCAGAGAACCAGGGTGTGAGGAATGTGGCCTCCAGTGCCACTGGGGCAAGGCTTGTTCTAATTTCCATGGGGAACAGAAAATGGGAACTCACGGGAGCCCTGACTGGCAAAGACATCAATGTGAACCTGGAGATCTCAACCACAGGGCAGAAAACCAGCCCCTGGGTGTCTTGTGGAAGTCAAGTCTTGTGCAGGGTGAGCTGTGTAGGGACACCTGCCCACTGGCAGCCTCATGAGGAGTACTGCCTCGGATATACTACTAAATACTGGGCCCTCCCTGCATCATGGGGGACAGGCCCTGAAAACCCTGGGAAGAGAGAGATACTCGATCATTGGCTTTAGAAACAAAGGTCCTGATGTATCTTCTTTGCTCCATGCACTCCTTCTAGGAGGTCAGCTCTTTACCTCATACCTGACTATGGGGACTGGTTGGGTGCTCTGCAGGACTGACCTGGCAGCCAGGAATAGAGCCCGCAGCACCCAAACCAGCATCTGCAAGGGGTCCCTGGGATGCCAGCTACCCTAGACCTTTCGGTGGCTCACGGATCAGAAGGACTTCCTTAACAACACCAATCTGATATAGGCCTTTCCGCACCATTCTCTCCCAAGTGTACGATGTAACTAGAGGTTACTCGATGCTAACAGACCAAATGCCTAATAACAGATATCTGTATTTTATGTTCCCAAATATGTAAAATAAGACTCTTAATTTTTAAAAGTTATCACTATTTCAAAGTGTACTAAGCATTTACTTTGTAAAACTGCCTAGTTTTCACTTGCAGTCCTGTGAATACTGACAGCTCTAGTGCACACAGGCAAAGGCCTCAGGGTCTGCACTAGTTGCAGAGTGAAGTCCCCAAGACCCTCCTCTGGGACAGCTGCCTGACCTGGTGCTTTTCACCAGGTTGGGGCAGGAAGAGACAGACTACAAGAGAGCAAGCCTAGGGACCTGAGACAGTGATATGTCCCCAACCTCTCCTGTATTGTGCAGGGCTGCTGCAGCTGCTGCTGCTACAGTGTGGAAGTCGGAACTCCTCCAGCAGGTTCACTAACACTACTATACCATATCTGGGCATCCGTGAGCTTCCCACCTGGGTTCTCAGTGTGTGTGTGGCGTGTGCGAGTGGCACTCATACAGTGTGTACCTAGTATATGCAGGTGGGAATGTGTGGCAGTGTGTTGTGTGTCCGCGTGCTTGGGAATGTGTGGCGATGGTATGTATCTGGCACGCACATGCGTGGCATGAGGCTGGGCTGCACAGGCACATGCTCCCATGAGAGGGGAATGGGGAAGGCACACGTACAGAGCGAACCACTTCACTGATCAGGATGACCGGGGTCCTTCTGGCTGAGCTGGAAGGAAGGAGCCAGCGGCTGTACAACTCGAGCAGAAACTGCGAACAGGAGTGGATGTCGACTCCAGCCCGATGTTTCCTGCAGAACACACGACATGGATAGATCTCCACATACAGATGAGAAGGTCACTTCAGGAAACATCCCACTGGGAACATTTCAAATTGCTTCAAAAATCGAGGCCAAGCCAGGCATAGTGGTGCATGCCTGAAATCCTAGCACTCTGGTGGACGGAGGCAGGAAGATCCCAAATCTGAACCCAACCTGGGGAATTTAGTGAGACCTTATCTCAAAATAAAGAGAAAAAGGTCTGGGGATGCAGCTCAGTGTGAAGGCCTTGGATTCAACCCCCAGAACTAAAAGAAAAAATAAATCCATGAAGAGGTTGCTGCATACCTGGAGTTGATGGGAGATGTGGGTGGAGATGCAGGTACAGGGACGTCTGCCTCCTCCTCCTCCTCCTCGTCCCACTCCTCCTCTCTCAGGGGGGTGATGTTGTTCCCCAGCCACACAGAGTGAATGGACACCTGCCACAGACAGAGGACCCCACAGCTCACCATCGAGTTCTGGAGGGCAGGCATGGCCTGGGTCTGGACTGAGCCCGGACCAAGCACACCTGCTGCAGGAACAGCTTCCCATGAGAGCTGTCAGAACCATCAATGATGGGCCAGACTGCCACACACAGCTTCGTCCCCAGGCCCAAGGCCTGGAATGGCAACTGAGGGGCAAAGGAAAGCAGTGCCAAGGAAGAGCAACAGATTCCTAAGTGACTGCTGAATGTCGTTGCTGGAAACAGGCTGGCTTCCCACATGCCCCACCTGTCTAAGATGCTGTCTCAGAGAAGCCCTGAGGGTGCTGGTGAGGCACTGAGTCAGGAGCTGGTGGGTCGCAGGGGAGGGAGGAGAGGTGAGAGGAGACAGCAGTTGGCAGAAGGTCTCACCTGGCTGGTGGCTGCCACCCCGCAACATTTTATACACAACTATATAACTGCATATAAAATACCTTCAAATCTTTTTGGAATAAAGATTGTAAATACAAACGAAAGTAAAAGTTCCCTTTAGAAGTCCATTTAGGCTGGGCATAGTGACTGATGCACACCTATAGGCCAGCTACTCAGGAGGATAAGGCAGGAGGGTCACTAGTTTGAGGGCAGCTTGGGAACATAGTGAGACTCTCCTCTAAATAAAAAATAAAAAGGGGTGGGATGTAGCTTAGTGGTGAAGTGCTTGCTTAGCATGCATGAGGCCCTGAGTGCAATCCCTATTACCAGAAGAAAAGGAGAAAGACAGAAAGGAGGGAAGAACGGATGGCAAGTGGTGAGGCACTCATCCTCTCTCTTGGAGGTGAGCGGTGGCGCACACCTGAGGACAGCTGCACAACTCACCTGGCCCAGCTTGTAGCTCATGTTGCCCAACTCCCGCTCAGGGTTGGTCTGCAGCAGCAGCCTGTTGTGACTGATGAGGGTGCCTGTGAAGCAACGCAGCATGGCTGAGGCCCACCCAGGCAGGCCTGCTCCTCCTGCGAGTGCCCCATGGGTCTCACGTGTTGTGTTATGTTGGCAGGGCTGGCAGGCAAACAGCACCACTACTTTTTGTCCTAACAAACAGGATCCTGCCCAAGCTTATGAACCTGTGCCAGAAGGCCTGTCACCACCTCCTAGAAGCACTCCTAAAGTCATACACATGCCGGCCTCCCAGGCCCGCTCTCTGCCTCTGTGACAGCTATGCCACTGGTATCCACATTCACAGGCCATTCAGGTCACTGTCCCAGGAAACCCCTAGGACATGTAACACACCACACTTCCATGTAGAACCTTTTCCAAATCAAGCCTGTGAGATGCCTGAACTTGGTAACACCAACTTTTCAGAAACGAGGGGATCACCAACCCAAAACCTATGTATTATGAAAGAACAATCAAGAACATTCCCTTTCTCCAAGCCAGAACGACGAGCTCCAGCACCCATTGTGGAGCAGGTCAGTCAGTGTGGAGTGGGCTAGAATGGCCAGGGGTCAGTGTGGGGCCACCCAAGAATGCCATGTTTCTCAGGAGAACCAGAGATCCTGCTCAGTTAGACACACTTGACGTTTTCATGGGAGCAACCAGCCAGACTCTATATCCTCCATGGCTGCCTTGAGAACTCATCAGATCTGGTTGTACAGCGTCACTGGCAAGAGACAAGGCTTTGTGTTCACTCGCAGCTCTCACTTCCTCAATAGTAGACTGTCCTGGCATGGCTGGGACTCCTAGAGTACAGTTGGCACCCATGTGTGCCACGGCCTGGGCCTCCTGTCTCACAGTGTGCTGGCGAGAGCAGTGGTGCACTCATTCCAGCCCCCTCCTCCGTACCTGTAGTGGCAGGCGACAGAGAAGGGACAGGATCCCACGCCTGGTATGAGTGATGGGTGGCAATATTCTCCCGCTTGGAAACCATCGCTTGAATCTCCTGCTCTATAATCCCTCTGATCATGCTCAATTTCCTACCAAACCTAAAGCACAGAACAAAAGAAAAGAACATTTTGCTTCCTTCAAAATCTTACAGTAGAAGCTGCCAGCTTCCTCTCTGCTATGCCTAAAGAAACCGACCTGTATGATAACTCAGTTGACTCCTGTGGGTTGCTCCTGCCCTACCAGTCCCCAGGCACCCAGTGATCCCCACGTGATCTCAGCCCAAAAGTTCCAACTTCTCACTGGCATGGGGTCGGGTCACTTCGGATCTGCACCTCTATGGCCAGGGGAAGCTACTGGCCACTGGGGCAGGGAAAGGTACCTCACTGACCCCACAGTGGGACACAGCACACACAAGAACCAGGCCAACCTGGTATCGAGAGCTTTGAGGGGCTTGTTCCGGGGCTGCTGCTCCAAACAGCTCACTGCTGGGTTGCCAGCAACGGGCACAGTCATGGCACTGAGCACCAGGGAGGTGATGGCCTGCACGGCCAGCACGTGGATCTGGGTCCTCTCCGTGTCTTCCTGGAAGGACAGGTCACACACTGATGACATAAGACACCAAAACAGCCAGAACTGCTGCCCCTCACAAACAGTCTTCAGGCCCCATGGTCTCAGAGGGACACAGCTTCCCCACCAGTGTCATCTGCCCAAGCTCCCTCAGCACAGGCAGCATCACCAGATAACTATAACGAATCTGATGGGCAAAGCAAGGTCCCCCAAGGGCACAAAACTCCACGTGTGGATTACTTAGTAAGGAACTATCCTGAAAGTGCCTCACTTTAAAGGGCACTGCATATGATGACCTATGTATCTGCAGGCAGATTTAAGACAATCTCAATGATTTGGGGCATATGCCCACCCTTTGAACTGCTGTGTTTATAGATGTTCCCTCACGCCTTCTGCTAGAACTGAAGACTCTTGCCCCACACTTCTAACACCCTGGGCTCTGCTTTACAAGAACACAGTTGTTATTCATGTCATACAAACATAATGCAAATTAACACTTCCAGAAGAATAAACCTCTGCAAAGCAATTAAAAAAGGAAACTGCATCCATGTGCATGGCCTGGATTAACTGCCTTTTTTCATTTTAATTCAACCCACCCTCTTTTGGATACTAGAAAATAAACAGAACTCAAAGATATTTTCAAGAGAAATTACAATCATACTGATCCTTGAGGTAGAATACACCATAATCAAACACCCAACCACAGCAACCTCAGACCCCAGACCTCAGGGAGATTGGGCCCTGCTGGGGACATCAGGCAAGACATGATCTTTTAGATTTTTTTTTTTTTTTTTTGTGGTGGGGGTGGCACTGGGAATTAAACCCTGGAATTGCTAGGGTTCATCCCCAGCCTTTTAGAAATATTATTTTGAGACAGGGTCTTGAAAAGTTGCCCAGGCTGGCTTGACCTTGCCATCCTCCTGTCTCAGCTTCCCAAGTGGCTGAGATTACAGGTGCGCAGCAGCACATCTGGTGAGGCTTCTTTCTCAAGAATGCTTGCTGCCTTCCTTTTGCCAACTGCCAGAGAGTTAGCGCAACCAGAAGCAAGCTGCCAGGCAGCATGTCACGTCTTGGCCGCCTTACCTCAGGTGGGTTGTCCTCCTGCTCCATCACAAGGGGCTGGGTCACCAGGACACCGAGGAGGGTGGCCCAAGTTTCCTCAAACTGGGTTCGACTGGTCCACCCTGGGAATGCAAGTCTCTTGTCAGACAGTCCTGCCTGCTTCTCCAACTTGTGGGTGGTCACAGTAGCACACCAACAGGCTCTGTACCAAGGGTACCACACACAGAAACTCCTTTTTCAACCCTCCTGACAGTTCTATGAGAGAGAGAAGTGATTCCTTCCATCTCATCAGTGAGGACACTGTGTGCACACAAAAGCTGGCCACCTTCAACCCATGTGGTGGGAGAGGGACACAAGCACGCACAATGAGTTGTCAGAGTCATCCCCAAGTCTGACCAGACTCTGCTGATACAGCAGGGCTCGTGGACAGAACCAGAGCATGGTCTGCACTGTGTCTCAATGACACTGCAAGGTCAGAAGCACATGTTGTTGTCTCTTTACCATGTCTTAAGATGGACTGCAGTGTGGGTCCGGCAGGCACGGCCAACACTCAGCACAGCCCACTCGAGAAGCCATACTACGGTCTCCTCACGGAGCCAGCCTCAGAGGGGCATTTGGCACACAGCTGTTTCCAGGGTTGTGCTGAGGGTCCCACAGTGACCCGAGGAGAGTCAGGGCACTCACCTGAAAGCCACAAGTGGCAGGCAAAAGATAAGAGGAGGAAAAGGACAGCATCAAAAACCAGGCCCTCTCTGCTAGAGCAGGTATGGAGACAGGCCAATGCAGACACAGGAGAGAGAGACATTGAAAACTCACAGAAGGAAGGAAGACAAACTCGTGCAAAAGAAAGGCAGGCCCTGGGGAAAGCATAAGCAGCAGCTTGGGCTAAGTAGGCCAGAGGGTGACTTGGGAGGAGGCTACCTATAGGTGGACAGACATGCACCAGGTGGGACAGGGGAAAAAGAAGGAAGCCCCCCAAGGGAGCAGGCCGCTCAGGAAGGGCGACAGTGCATGAGGAAGAAGCTGAGGAAAGGTGTCTGCTGCTGGAAGCTTCTGGGTCAGAACAAGCACAGAGCCTGCAGAAGCCTGCAGGACTGAAGGTAGCCTAATGGTGGAGTCAGGGTGCCAGGACAATGTGCTTCTTCCATATAGGGGAAAGGATAGCAGTGAGAACATCAAACAGGTGGACAGAAAAGAACATTCTGGGAAAGTCCCTGCCACTATTCAGCCTATGTGGATAATAAAGGATGGAATCGGCTTCATGATATCAATCAGACACACACCTGTCCTGACTTCAAACTCACATGCATGCATGCAGATGGAAATTTCTCATAAGGAGCTCCACATGCACTGCAAAATGGACCCACACAGGTCTCTACAATGACCTACATCTGGCCTGGCATCACGTGAGGAGCCCAGCCCTGGGACTGGGGCCCTGTACAGCAGTGTCTCGGACCCCATGGAGCTTTGCCAGTACCTAGAGTGTTGATGCGGTAGATGAACTCCTTAAAGACTTCCTTCTCCTGCAGGAACTCCACGGGAATCTCGGGGAACACAGTGCCGAAGTCCCCTCCTGGCTTGGGGGACCACCCAAGTTTCCACACCTGAAGAGAAGAACAGAAAGCATGTCACCCAGTGGGATCAGAAAGGTCACTTTTCTAGGCAGGCCTCCCGCCAAGCCAGCCACTGCCATGGCTGCCTGGCTACCCTTTCCAGGAGGGGTCCGAACCCTTCCCAGGACCTTCCAGCCCTCCTCCTGACCCGCTCTCCAGACCAGGCCTCCACATTTCTGCAGTGCTTCCCTGGCCCCCACCAGGCCCTGCACTGCCAGTTCCTCGTGGGAGATGCTGGTCCAGGGATGCAGGCGTCAGATAGCACCCCACGCCCACAGATGTGTATCAAACCAAAGGCAGGTGCGAAATGAAGCTCAGCCTTGTATACACACGTCCACTTCTGTAAGCTTTCTCACCTAAGTACTCACACAAGCGTGGCCCACATAAGGTCCTCGAGGCTAACCCACTGCTGTGACAGTAACAGGACCAGTGAACGTCTAGTCACCTTGGCCACATCCCTCAATGAAGCCAAAGGGGCTCCAAGGTAGCCCAGGCTGAGAGCCCACTCAGGATCCCCACAGCCTGCTGGTGGTAGGGCAACCTCACCACAGGAAGCCACCCACCAACCCTGAGGAACCTCCAGACAAGCTTCATGGTGCTTCCACAGCCACCTCCCTGGCCAGGATGCTGCAGAGAGTGGCTGAGCCCACCGGAGTTTTCTCTATAGCACACAGCCTGTGCGACACAGCCCGGGGACTTCAGACAATGCAACATCTGGACTGGGCTTCCTCATGCATTTCCCGCACCCCTCCCCAGGATCTGCAAGGACTGCTCACGTACAGACGCCGCAGCCACACGGTTCCTGTGCTACAAGTACTGCCTGCTCCGTTGGGCTGCTTGCCCTCTCAGAATGGGCCTCTGCACCTTCACCCTTCACAGCAAGACCCTTGCCCCTTCCAGGTCCAAAGAGTACTTGTGGGGAACCAGTCAGACTGCTTCAAAGGTCACGGGCCTCTAAGGACACCCGAGGACGTGACCCTGCTTGTCTAACGCAGGCACAGTGGGACACAGTTACGTAGCCATGACTTAGCACAGCTAAACATTCATGTGCTGGTTACAGCACTATGTAAGAATGTAAATACGAGATAACAACCTGTATAAAAATTATACAAAAAAGACACAGGCAGCTCCTGTGCTCTTGCTCTGGCTCTCTGCTCTGCTCTGCTCCATGCTGCCTGCTGTTGTTGCTGATGTCTGGCACACACCTGTTCTTTAACCTTGGGGCCTCACCCATGAAAATCTCCCTAGGCCCCCCCTGAGTGGGCTGACAGTGCCCCTTCCTCAGTGTGCATGTCCCCAGGACCTCACATTTGTGTATGAGGCTGTGTCCCAGTGGCAGTTGTGGGTCTCTGCCGGGTGGCAGCAGTGGCCACCCTCGGGCCTGCTGAAGCAGCCCTTTCTGACCTGCCTGAGACTGTGCTCTGCTATCACTAGAGCAGGCCATGGGGTTCAGTAGTCTTCCTGGGGAGTGGTCATCCAGCCACCACCAACCCTCTTCACATGTTATCTGAAACAAAAGTCCTGGGCGATGGTATCTCTTTCTAACTCTTCTGAAGATAATTTCAGGGGAAGAATTACAAAAGTGCTTGTGCAGAAATGCATGAGTATCTCCAAAGGCAATTACTTTCGAAGAAAAATACGTGAGGCTATAATTTCTGGCCTAACACAAAACAGTCTAATTACTTCAGAATCACATCCAACATTCATCTATCAGTGGAGAGGAAATCTTATTTGATGTTGTGATGCCTCAGCTCATTTTGGAAAATCTGGCATTCTATTAACAGCTCTGCACAGTATGCCTATGGACACCAGACAGGCGTCACGCCATGTATGATGAGATGCTCTGGTCACTGCACGGGGCACCGCAGCTGTGGAGTTTGCATTAGGCTTGGGCTGTTCCAGCCAGGTACCACATGGTCTGGCACGAACAAGCTGACTCACCAGGGGTGGCACTCGAGTGTAGCTGTTGACGAGGGGGAGGCGGGCTAGGCTGATCACAATGTTCTTGAGTACCGCTGTGAGAAATGCTGGCATGTTGCTGTTTCTCTTGTGGCCCAAGGCCAGCACAGACTGCAGGGACTCCACCATCTCTGCCACCATTTCGCAGGCCGTAGTGATGTACTTGGGATCTGCACCAACAAGTATGTCAGTAGAGAACTCTGTCACATCCCAGCCCGCCCCTGCCCTGCACACGCTGTGAGGAGACATGGTCTACAACAGCTGCTCAGGTCACCTCACACTATGTATGGAAACCATGTCATCCTCCCCATTTCTACCAAAACAGTGGCCACAGTTGTGGGCCTGAGGTCTGGCCTCTGTCTCCAGGTTTCTCGCCTTCCCTCAGCAGACACTGGCACCAGTACAGTGTCCCTCGGATTCACAGGTCCTTCAGGACACCTCCCTGATCCAGCAGACCCCGGCTCTTCCAGGACCTGCACTTGTCCCTAGGCCAGAGTGCAGAGAACCATGCTGTAACCCTGGTTTACCATCTCCCCAAATCCAGGCTGCTCCACAGGCTGAACTCCCGAAGCACAGTGCTGAGAGAAATTCCTGGTTGAGAACCACTGTGCTCACCTGGCAGTTCCGAGGACAGGGGCTGATTCATATTCACAATGAGTCTCACACACAGTGTGGAACTAAAAACTTATTTCTTGAGTTGATAAATGTTTACTAGGTGGATCTCGTGTCTTGGGCATAAGATTCAACAGTCTAGGCAACTTCTTAGTTTAGAAAAATAATTCTTATTGGAGCTGAACTAAGCTAAGAAAAATAAGGTTGGTATTAATAATATTTATTGGCCAATCTTTACAAAGTATTAACATATGGAGGTGATAAAAAAACTGAACTCTTCCTCTGGCCAGGATTAATGAACTAGCTGAAACAGTTCCATGGAGAATGGGCACAATGATATCAGCCCAAACTCATACCCTCCGCCACCTGGCCCACTGTCCCGGCTCAGGCCCCTGAAATGCTGGCTACGGCCCAGCAGGACATCTCTGACAACCAAAAGCAGGAAACCAGCTCCTGAGCACTCACTGCAAGCCAGTGTGCATTCCAGGTTGGTTTACGTGCTGCATGTATTTAGGCCCTTCTTACCTTCACTGCAGAAGCACAGCATAAATAACCTGAGCTGCTGCTCTGCTAGACAACAGTCAGCCTGGGAGATAAATGTTTTCCTGCTCCTAAAGTATCAACAGAGACCATGAAATCACCACCTATAGGCTGCAGGGACTGTAGAGCTCCAGATAAAAATCCAAGGAACAGCATGGTGTGCTGAGCTGGCACTGCTACTGGGCCATTACACAATCTGAACTACAACTGGAAGAAAGAATATTGTGCCCAAGACTAAGGGTGGAGACACTGCCTGAGACCAGGCACTTCTGCACCTGTGATCACAAAGGTGTCTGCTAGAGCCATGCAGCATGGATCTGACTCCTGGTACCCAGGGAAGAGTGGTTCAGAAGAAGACAGGCAGGCCCACCTGTGGAGGGACATCTGCCACTCTGTGGGCCAAGCTGCCGCTCCTGGGGTAACAGTGCTAAAAGGCCTCAGGGGTATCAGGCTGGGAGGACAAGGAGTCACTCAGCCAGAATGTTTCCTTCCAAGCAGCCCTGTCGCCGCTGGGACAATGAAACAGCTACTCTAGATCAGGAAAGAAGCACATGAAAAGCTACCGATGGGCTGAGTATAGACCAGGCTTTCGTGATGGTGATTTCAACTTTTTTTTTGGTAAAAAGAACAAGAATTTTCTTTCAAAAATCTCCAAAAGAGATGGCAGAAAAATCGCATTTACTGTTGCCCACAGGAAATTTTACATTTAATGTATGTAATAAATTAGGTATAGCAATAAATGTGTGCCACTTATATATAGCTATTAACTCTGGGAAAAAAAAAAGAAGATGGCAGAAATAGACACTCAGGTTATGGTATACCATGTGGGTGCTTCCCATTAACTCCAAGTTCTTTCGTACTTCTATTTATTCACTAGACCAACATGTGCTGGTCATTTGCAAAAGGCCAAGCTTTAATTCTGGGAACACAGAAGCAACGCACATTCCCTGTCTTTAAGGAGCTCAGAGTCAATGCAGTCACATGGGAAGTGTTAAAGGAGGGCCACTTCCCAGGGGCGGAGGAGGGCAAGGATGGGGGAGGGGCTAGGGAACACAACAGCCCGGCTGGGTGGAAGGCTTAGACAGCCAAGGCCAGGGTCGAAGCAGTGGAAAGAGTGTCACCTCTTAAACTCAAGGATGAGCAACAGAGGTGGCCAACGTAAGCCAGTTTTAAGAGTCCACATTTCACACTTTTTAAGTCTGCTTTGTGAAATTTATTTCAAATCCAAAAGGATAAGGAAAACGAGTCCTGAGCCTTACTTCGTGTGTCTGCATTGACTTCTTCCTCTCGGATGGCCCTCAGGGTGCTCTTCTGACTTTCCAGACTGAGAAGCTGGTCTCCAGGCTGCACTGCAACTGAAACAAAGTAGAGTGCTGAGAACCTTGGTTAACCTTGGTTAATCATGAATGTGCAGGATTTGTGCTGCTATGCTTCGGTTTCCAAGTGTCCTGTCCGCCACCTCCACCCTCAAGGTTTTTATCAGACAGTCCTTGATTCATCACTGCTAAAAGCACCACTGTAAGCCCAAAGAAGCCTGGCTTTTAAAAATTAATCCTGGGATCTTCATTTTCAAGTTGACTACAAATGCACAGATGAAAACAATTTAAACAATGAAACATCAAAAGACCACTCTATAATGTCTAATTTGAAAATACAAAACTTCAAAATACCCTCTAACATGTAAACTATAATATCCAATTTTTTAAGCATTCTGGCTAATGACCCTCACTGAGGACACCCACTGTTCCTCGCAAAGAATGAGTCAGTTTAATTTTATAATATATTAGTACTACAATGCAGTATAGAAACAGCGTTTTGATGCTAACAGAAGACAAGCCATCTTTTGAATGTTATCTTACAATCATTTAAGACTAAAAACATGTCAACTAGGACCAGAGATCAGAGATATAAAACTTAGAGGAGTACTTTTTAGAAAGCTGAAACTACAAAATCTAAACAAATTAACTAGAAAAGTTAATTGGAATTAAATTCTACCATAGATGCCAAGATTCCAGAGGTGAAAGATGAGGCCTTCCAAAGATAAGGCTCACATCTATCTCACCCACCTCCTTGCCCCAAGTCCCAGCTGTGGTCCTGGAGCATTGGGGCCCAAAGGAACACTGTGTGGAGAGGCACTGCTCGTTACCTGTTCCTCTGGGCAGGGACACAGACTTACTGGCTTCCAAGATGAATCGCACGCAGTGGATAAGGGAACAGGCGTGGGTCACAAACTCAGTGGAGGAGACCACGCTCCAGAGACCCGGATGCTGCAGGGCCAGGCAGCAGCAGTCCAGCCCAGCCTGGAGGTCCAGACTCAGTGGAATCTGCTCGTGGATCAAATGCCATGACAGGGCCTAGAGGAAAGCACCATGTCAGAGGCCACTGGCTGTCCTTCCCATCTTGGTGCCTTCAGAAAGCAGAGCCATGCATGGCTGAGGGGGAACCTCTGCGCCAAAATCTCAGGGCCAGAGTCCAGAAGAGCTTGCTCTTCCAGCTCCCTGACATTATATCCTACCACTGCCCTCTCCATGACACTCATCCCACTCTGGCTGCCTCTTCCTCCTTTAGCATTGCAGGTTCCTCTGTGATTTTTGGTACTGGAACTCGAACTCATGACCTTGCGCTTGCCAAGCAGGCGTCGCACCACTGAGCTATATCCTTGGCCCTGCAGGCTCCTCTGGAACCCTCTTTCAGGTTATGTGGTCGCTGGCCAGAGGTTCCTCTCTGAGGCTTCTGCAGCTCAGGCTCATCTCTGTTGCAGCCATGAGGCTGAGGTTGGGAATGGGGTCTGGGAACAGCAGGACTAGGGATCAACTCTGGACTGGCTCGTCCCTGAGCCTCTCTAAGCTTTGCTGTGACATGAGAACACAGCCTGCCTCTTGGAGCTGTCATAGGAACCAACTATGATGGTGTACACAGACACACAGTTTGGTAGCTGTCGCTCTGCTGCAAGCCTGCATTTATTTTCTAGTTGTCCCCAGTGGGCCGAGCCTTGAAAGACAGGCCTGACTGAGAGGGATACTTCTTCAGTGCCCTGGAATGATGTAGGGGACCCTCCTCTCCTCAGTGGGAGGTGGCAGCTGCACAGTCAGGATGAGTAGCCCAGCTCGGACACTCGAGGGAGCCAGGCCAAGCCCTTTTCTAGCAGGCACAGAAAAAGGTAACATATTCCCCTATGGACCAAGTGCCTAGGTTTTCTGCCTGACTTAAAACACAGCATACTGTCCAGATGATTAAACTTAGCATCTGCACCAGGTCTGCAGTGCAGGGGTGAGAGGCTGTCCCACTGACCTCTTGAAGTTCCTGTGGGAGCAGTGTGGTCAGGAGTGAAGGCACCCAGTGACACAGGGGACGGGGCCCTGATGGCAGGTCTCCATGGTTGTGAGGATGGGGAGGAAGAGCCAACTGGACTGCTTGGGTCTCTTGGTTTTCAAATAGCTTGGCTTGCTCTCAGTGCCAGTCACAGAAACAGCGGGTTCTGGAGCTGCTCTTACCTCCAGGGTCATCACCACAAACTTCACTGTGTCTTTTTCCTTCTCAGGAGGAAGGCGCAAATGGGCAGGCACTTTGGACACCACCACCAGGTACTGTGCCAGGGATCGGGCCAGCGTGGTGAGGGACTGGTATAATGTGGTATCCCCTGTAAGACGAGAGACTACCATGGGTGGCTGCAACCCAGCACAGGCCTTTCCCAGCTGTGGTCCTGGAGCATCAGGCCCAAAGGAAGCCCCAAAGGAAGCCCCAAAGGAAGCCCCAAAGGAAGGGCTTCAAAAGCAGCCAAGCAATTCTGCGAGAACATGAGCAGAGCATCGGAGAGACTACCTCAGACACGGGCCGGAACATGGATCACAGCCTTCCAACGAGGTCTAACACAGACTTCCTGAAGGGCCTGCAACTATGTGCATGAGTGGCCACGTGGAAAGCACATGGCACAAAATTTGGAGCTAACAGCAGCAGTACTGTTTCTCAGTTACCTCCGTCAACACTTTCAGTGTTTTATATCAGTAGTTTAGATCAGAGTGCTTGATACAAAGCCCTGTGATGGCCTGAACACACTTCTTAAAAATAAGAGAAGTTCTTATTTAAATTACCAAATAGATCATTCAACTTGCTCCAGTAGGCTGTGGGCTCTGTGGACAGGAAAGGCTGGAAGACTTGATGGACAGCAGGAAGCTGCTGAACGATGCTGGTCACACGGTCCAGAGTCACCCCACGGGCTGCTTCAAACAGAGGGCTCTTCTGGCCAGCTGCAATTTCACTCAGGCTGAGGCTTAAGCACGGAGCCAACAGGCTTAGGTTGAACACCTGAAATCAGAGCAGTACAGGTCATACAAACAACAGACTGTAGTTTTCAATCAGGCAAGATACACAGTCAAGGCTAACATGAGCCATTTCTGAGATGATTCCTATGCCACAGGTTAAATATATGAATGAGTCCATTCAACATCTGCTCAGTAAATGTATATTTTATGCTCTTAGATCTGTTTGGGATAAAAATTTTAGCATGAGAAGTTTTAATTGATAAAAGCAGAGCATCAAGGCTAATATGTAGCCTGGCATGGTGGCGTATATCTGTAACTCCAGCACTTGGGAGGCTGAGGCAGGAGGATTGCCTTGAGTTCAAGGCCAGCCTGGGCTACATAGTGAGTTTAAAGCTAGCCCAAACTACATAGCAAGACCCTGTCTCAAAAAAACCAAAAAGAAAAAAGAAAAAAAAGACTAACATGCTATCCAAGTAATAAGCATGATAGCAAGCATTCCTACAGTTTGAGAAAGATGCACAAAAGCAGCTAGAATAAGGCAAAGTGGTATCTAAATGCTGAAACTTTGCTTGGAAAAAGAGGAGATGAGCTGGAGATATAGCTCAGTGGGCTCTTCTGGCCAGCTGCAATTTCACTGGCAAGTGCTAGGCCATGAGTTCGATTCCCAGCACCCCCCACCTCAAAAAAGAGCAATTCATTGGACAACTTGTATCATATTCTTACACCATCTTCTTCTTAGCCATTTAAGGACTTTTTTGCAGATAGAACACTGATTTTAGTTTAATATTCAGAAAAGCACATTTCATCATCAGTGCCCCAAACTGAATGTTCCTGCAGTTACAGCTGGAAGTTTTAAAGCTGTTAAAAGCCCACTTGGTGAAAGGGGAAACTCCAATAAACAGGAAGGAAGCAAATTTACCATTCAGTAAATAAGCTCCCACTGCATGGAGCTTAAGAAGAGCTGAACTTCAGCAAACCCACCTTGGCTCTCTAAGTCTTCTGCTGTCTCTTCAGAGTGTTTCCCGACTGCACCCAGCTGTGTTCATACCATACCCAGTGCTGCTCACTGAAAGACCCACCCACCACATGCTCTCAATCTTGGCCGCCCTCCTGTGCCTGGCTCACGATTCCCACTGGAACATCTCAAGGCCAGGCTAGAACACCACAAAGGCCAGGCAGCTCTTCCTCCTCAATGGTCTGAGGAGGACCCACAGGGCTGAGGGACACCTCAAAGAGGGGCCCACTCCTCACAGGACCTGCCCAGGGATTCTATGATGGGGACACCCATGCACCCACGGCCTCTGGGCTGCTCCGCTGTGTGCCCCTAATACCTGGGGCAGGGGGAGTCTCACTACATGCAGAGGGTTGGGGTTCCTCTTTTCTACTGAAGATTAGTTTCTAGAATACCATGACAAGGTACTGAAATCTTGCATGATGATGATGTGACACCTCACTTCACTACTGTGAGACAGCGACAAAAGACTGGTTGCCTGGCTACCACGTTTCCATTGATGCCTGAAAGGTTGAGTTAAAAACAACTCGTCTTTTGGAAGCCTAATGTGGTTGAAGAAACAGCCTGCTCCCATTTGGAGCAGTCCCCCAGCCCAGCGCTGCCCCCACCTTAATTAAAGCCCCCCTCAAGTCCCCATCATAGTAAAGACCTCCACATGCCGTCCCTGTCGGGATTAGTGCTCCCGCCTGTGGTACGTCAATCATAGGCAAAGGAGACAAATCCAACTGAGACAAGATATGCCACAGCGAGGCTCTCGCTGCCCCTACCGAGCTCATCATGAAAACACGCATGTCCTCAGCGGGGAGGCGATTCACCAGCTCTGCACCTTCCAGCAGCGCAGAATCTGACCTGGTCCAACACTGGGATCTGACAAGGCGGACATACCAGTCCTGGGCAGAAGAAGATGGAAAAGGGAGTGTGATCACGCAGGCATCTGAGTGCTTCTTATCCTGGTAACACTGGGCTCCTGGTCAGTTTACAGCTCACCAAACCATGGCCTCTTCCCAGCACTTGCCTTCCCTCCCTGGGTCCGTCCACAAGTCCATCCAAACTCAGCTGAGTCCCAAGGCTCAGTAGCCCCAGCTCAGCCCTCCTTGCCATAGCACCAAGCACCCTCATTGCGGTGTGTGCATGGTATGGCTCTCTGGAGGCTGCAGGTCTCTGAGACCTTGGTGCATCTGTCCATAGCACCCACCTGGTCCCTAACGCCAGGGTGTGAGTGGGGAAAACGACGGGCCAGTGCAGGGGCAGGGATGATCCATAGGAGGTAGACAGCATCAGGACAGGAAAGTGTGCCATGAGTGGAAGTGGGGATGTGAATGCAGTGGGGGCCAGGCTGTGCGGACCTCCCTTCACCCCATACCCCCTACCAGTCTCGCCACACCCCAGCAGCGAGGACCAGTCTTTGCTGACTTCTTACACTGCGGCCTCCTGACCCACAGCCCCACCAGCCAATCCAATGTGTCAGCGCTATCTTTCTCACTAGGACCTTTGTGGCTTCCAAATGTCTCCTCCTCAGTTCCCAGCCAGAGCTGCTGATGACCTGAGCCAAACATGAGCCCCACTGTACATTCCTGCATGCCACAGGACGACTGAGGTGTCAGTGTCTCCTGAGCATCGCATGCAAACCAACTTGATACTTACTTTGTCTGGACTCACTGTTTCCAGGGACATGTGCCCATCCCCGTCCAGCGGGTGGGAGGTGACTGGGGGCAAAGGGCTGAGTGAGTCTTGCACAGTGGAAAGACGGAACCTGTCCAGCAGGGAATAGAGCCTTTGGTGTCTGAAACACAAACACAAATGAAACTGCAGTGCAGTCACCTTCATCCTCGTCTCTGTGCTGCAAAGCAAGGTTCAGAGACACACGCCACCAGGAAGGAAGAGCAGCGGCTCCTCAAGGCAACTCATCTGAAATCCTCAACATTCCTGGTCAGGATTCAAATTCAAGCCCTCAGCTACTTTATACCATCATCATTTATACCTCACTGACATCTTCCAGAAATTTTTTTCACAGCATACACTGCAATAAGCAATACAAGGTATAATAGTTAATGTAGGAATTCTTAATACTGTGTAAGTAAAAGACATCATCTCTTGAAACGCAAGTGCACAAACTCTGTTCATTCTCTCAAAAGGATACAAGTTATACCATTATGAAAGATCACTTCAAAGAATCACCTAGTCTGGCACACAGTATCTACAATCTCAGCCCCCTAAGACTGCCTTCATGGCAGAACCATTGTCTCAACATCCGCTTTCCCCCAGGCAGCGAAGGAAAGGACAAAAGATGCTCTTAATTTATTTCACAGTCATGGAACTAGGTTCATATTACAGATGAAAGCATTTCTGATAAAGGCTTTGAAAGACATTCAAACAGAATTAGGGGCCTGGACAGCTATGAACAGACACAGTTTTAATAAGATATAGAAATAATTCTTGGATGTCAAGAATTGGGAAATGCTTTCAGACTCACCAACTCTTGAAGAGGCATTGGAATGTGCTTTGATTTTGCTACAGTAAAGCTGACAACTCAGATTCCCACTTGTTCCTAGGGCAGCGACAGGGGCAACAGCAGGACCTAAGAGCCCACGCCATGCAGCCAGGATGGCGCAGGCGTCCTCCACACCTGCCGCAGATGTGAGGCTACCAGTTGCTCTTTATTCTGATAAAATGAGGCTCCACTGTGTGAGATGCAGGAGGCCTTTTCAGGGTGACACTTCTGTAGGAAACTCCCCTACAAAGCAGGTCTATTTCTCAGCCTGTCAATCTGTTCCTACACAAGTCTAAGTCTTTATGTCCTGGGAAATCTGAACACCAGCATCACCGTTGCAGCATTACCTCTGTGCAAGGCCACTGCTCTGGAGGTGCTCCTGGATTCTGTTCAGTTCTTCCACTGGCAACTGCGCTGTACTGCTCTGAATAGACAGGAACACATCAGTCGGTTTAAAACACATAACGAAACAAAATAACCTTACACCACTTTGAAATGATAGACTGGTGTGTACAGCTCATGGGAACATAGGTAGATTAGAAGCAGGTGGATCAGACACATAGACTGACACTTTTATACACAGCCCTCACATTTCTACCAGGGGCCACAGCGAGACTGAGCCTACGCAGAAGCAAAATCAGGCAAACAATCTGCTTGCCCTGCTAAGCTTTAATGTACATCAAGGTAAGTGTTTCTGCTGTACCTGTAAGTTTGCAGCCAGCAGCATTTCTACCCGGCGGCAGGCCAGGGTGTCGACCCTGCGAGCTAGTGCACGGAAGGGGGTGCTCAGGAGCCTGTCCACGTAGAGTGTGAGCACGGCACCAGATTGGCTGAGGTGGATGCCTTCCAAGCACTGCAGTGTCTTCTTCAGAGTGGTTGGCTAGCATTCAAAGAGGAAAGACAGGAGCTGATTACTTGGGCAACTGGAAACCAGCACTTAGAAAGTCCTAGTACTTCATTTTTAAGGCACAGGAAACCAACTGGTGAGAATCAGCAGAATGAAGACTTACAGTGAAAAGGTTTTCACATCGAGACTGAATTGCCTGGATGAAAAGGCCACTGGCGGCAGAATTCCGATGGATGGCACTGATGAAGTCCTGCACTGGAGGCTCGTGGGAAAGACTGATCAGATCCTGAATGTGGTTTACGATGAGCCATGTTAAGTGCTCAGAGTCATGGAGGTTCTGACACTGGGAAAGATGCAATGCAACCCATTTTCAAGCAGACAGTAAACAGCCAGATAGTTAATGCCACAGAGAAAGCAGAGAGGGTAGAAAGGAGATACTGAAGAGGCGCAAAGCGCAACTGATAATGCCTGTCACTTCCGAACACAAGCTTCAGCAGAGGCCATGACTAGGTAAATGGCCAAAGGACAGAGGACCAAAAGAACATGAGCTCCACTCTGTGGAGCCGTCACGGAGTGGCCTGCGCATAGACCAGGTGTTACCACCAGCAGCCAGAGCAGGTAAGTGCCCTGGAGCCGACTGAGGGGCCTGAAGTACCAGTACGCACAGGAATGAGGGACATTTCCTGTCACAACAGTTGTCATACCTTCCAGCTCTAGTCTGGCCACTCTGTGACAGTTCAGTGGGGGAAAGTCCACTGCAACTGCAACAGTTTTCACAGAACTCTTGAATCCAAAAAGGATAAATGGAGCCCCTCAAACACTGAATGAAAGGAGTTTTAATTAAGATTTATAAGGAAATATGAAATGTCTATTTTTAAACACATGTAGTTTTTTCACCTTAATTCATAATCTTTGTAGGCAGAAACCAAAATGCAATCAATTCCTTGACAGCTGCTTAACACTGATTAGTACTTTTCATCTAGGATTACTTGACAGTATTAACTTATGAAGCTATCTCTTTTTCTTATAGTTCTACAAAACAGCATTATATAATCAATTCTCTAAAGTGGAACAAGATAGAAAAAAATGCTTCAAACGTTAACCAAAAAATGAATGTTAGTAAACTGCTGTCACCACAGAAACACTTCATGACCACACCTAGTTGATGTCACACCTTTTTCTGATTCAGACTATTTAACAGTTTGCTACGGAACAACAAACCAAGCTTGTAACAGACAACTGCGTGTGTTTCAACACAAGCATGGATATGGCATTCCATGTGAGCAAACTCAACTGCAAGTTATCTCTGAAAAATACAGTTACAGAACACTCTGTTTTCTTCTGTTTAAACATGTGATGCTACTTTTGTGATTACAAACACACAAGAAGTGATTTTTTTAAAATGGCATTCAAACAGGAATCCATTTTAAAACGTAACAATGAGTAATTAACACTTCTGGAAAAAAAAATTAAATCAGAAGCCCACTGTGATGAACATACTTAGCTTGCTTTCAAAATTATGTATCCTTTAAGTGCTTCCCTCAAATTAACCCAAAGGCCCAGCCTTATGTCTCCAGGCACAAAGCAGTTCCAGGGCACTGCTGACTAAATGACAGCTGAACAAATCTCTGGGGACCCTGGAGAAACCTGGGAGAGCAGGATCACACCTCATCCCCAATTACACACAGCGTGGATTTAACATCACTCCCACTGTTGTTGGGATTGTGGGCCAGTGTGGCCTCCAGATGGTCCACGCAGCATTGTTCACGTCTCCCGCCTCCCCCATCTCCATTTGGGAATCTGCAAACTTACAACATAGTCACAGAAGAGAATGAGGGCTCCTCTTCGCACAATTTCTCTATTGCACATTCCAAGTTGAGCTGTCGAATCACAGTCCTCCTCCTTGCTGGACACCTGGGGGCTGAGTGACTTCGTGCACGACAGACTGTGTCTCCTGCAGGGTGAAAGAGGCACTGAGGGTGTGTCTGGCACAGCTTAGAGTGTTGCACTTCAGTTTCACTCTCAACCTTGCCACAGCAGAATGGTGTGTATGTGACAAGTGTTCAGGTACCAGTTCTTGCTCCCAGGAAAAACTAAGGCACACTGAGGATGGTGCACCTGAAAGGCAAATCCACCTAAAAGGGTCACACCCTTAAGATTCCCTTCCTACAGAACTCAGCGGTGCAGCAGGGGAACTGGGGACTACAAAGGATAAGAAGGAAATGCTTGAAATGACGGTACTGTCCACTGCCTGAGTACAACCAGTACTAAAGGGCATTTTCCTCAAAATCATGTCAGTTGAAAAGCTATCAAGCAGAAAATCTGGTTTTCCGTCACCTGTGTGACTCACACTCCCAGCTACAGCGCCTCTATAGGACAGCAGGTGGTGTTTGCAACTCAACACTAGGAAGGTCCAATATCCACCCAAATTTAGCCCCAATTTGTAGCAGTGCAAGCCCCGCCCCAACCTCAGGACAGATGCTCCTGGCAAATGAATATTCCAAGCCCAGGCTGGCTCCATCTGTGGCATTCAGAAGGGGATGAGCTGGGAAGAGATGGCCACAGCAGGGGCAGGACCCTTACAGCCCACTCAATGTTGAGAAAGATGAAAGCAAATCATAAATCCATGGTACAGTCCAAAAAAGGTGGACAACAGAGCAGAGCCCACATGGGACTTCTGAAGCCACACTACCACCCAAGTGTGGGCTGAGACCAGCTGCCCTCTTGGGGCAAAGGTAAAAGAGAAGAGCAAGGAGCACTGGGTTTGTGTTGTGCATTAACTTGTGACACTTGGCAAGTTATTACCTTCCTGAAAAACAGAATGAACAAAGCCCTTAGAACAATGATCATGAACCTTTCAGAGCTTTCAGGGCTAACAAGTAATGCACCGGGCATGCATACTACTGTGGAGAAGGACATTCTTTGATTAGGAAGCACTGAGGACACACAATGATTTGTTTATTGTTGCAAAAATGAACTGAAACCTTTCACCTGAAGATAAGAGTGTATTTGAATTTTTAGTCTTGCCGTGCATTGTAAAAATTAATGGGAAGTAAGGACTGTGATTGTAATGGATTGATAACTAGTGGTCCACTTATAACCCCCAGCTGACCTGAGTAAGCGTGGTGCTGGGTGTAGGAGCCCCACCTGGGGATTGTTGCCAACAGCATAAGAGGCAGAATTGGAGAAGGATAATGCTTTAATTACTAAAATATTTGGTATCCGCCCATTTGTACTAGCCATGCCCTTGGTTCTGGCTCAATAAAAGGTGACTGAGATTGGTAATTGGGGCTGCAATCCAAGAGGCTGGAAGCCCCTGATCCCAGACTTTTGCCTCTGTTGTTTTTCTTGTCTCTTACTTTTTCTTACCATCCATGGGCACCTCGTTCTCAGGACCTGTCATTCTGGTTAGAGCAACATACTACAAGTTCTCCACCACTGCCTCAGAACAGCACCTGACACAGTGCTAATCTACATGTGGAAGGTCATTACCAGTGTATTAGTATTGCTTCTACTGTTACAGTAACTAAATCACTAACTCAAGTTACTGCTGGGAATATGTATGCGTGCACATGTGCACGTGTGTGTGTACCCATGTGCATGTGTATCACATGTGTACACGTGCATGTGTGCTAAACCAGACACAGATTCCACCTCTGTGGGGCTCGTGGTCTAATGGAAGTAACAGGTATTAGCCAAATCATCACATAAATAAAGTGCCCAACTATAGCCCTGACACTCGCCAACGACGTGGGCTGAAGGCTGGGTGAGAGCAGCCCCGCAGATGGAAGGGGTCTGAGCCAACAGCTGAGAAAAGGGGCTTTCTCATCTTTAGTGACATATGGGCAAAACCACAAACTCAACTGCAGTTCAACTCTAAAACACTGGCAATAAGTTAACAACTACAATAAGGTCAGCATCTGTGCCCAAAGCACCCTCACTAGCACCAACTCAAGAGACCCTCTTCAGTCTCACTATGCAGTTCAGGCTGGCCTTGAACTCACTCTGTAGCCCAGCCTGTGGCAGTGATTCCCTGCCTGCAATTACTGGCATGTGCCACCGCGCCTGGCCAAAGCAACATTCCACAAGCTCATCTGTGACACTCCTGTCCTCAGAAGCTGTCCCCACCCCCACACTTCCCACAGCTCTATCTCCTCCACAGCACTGTCCCAGACGCCTCTTCTTCTGTCAGCTTCTCTCCTTAACACGCACGCTGCAAATTTCAGACCAGCAGAGGTGGTGAAGAAGAATTCAATCAATAGCCACTTACATTTGCCATGTCTGAGTTCATGTGCACACTCTAGGTAAGTAGGCACACACACAAACTTTACACATGCTACATACACACTCTACACAGGTACACAAAACCCTACACATTGCACATACTCTACTCCACACCAACCCGTTTTTCTGGCTGCAACCTGAGAGTAATATGTCACTCAGGACACTTTTCCCTGAATACTTCAGCTGCAAGACAACAGTTCACAGAGCTCATGCACAAATTTCCAACTGCCTTGTAAGGCCCTTTTTGGTACGTTACCCCAGATCCAGGACAGAAGCACCAATCCTAGACATGCCTGTCCGATCTCTATTGCTGCATGTCTAATGCAATTCTGTTCTTCAGGACACTGAGGTTTCAGGGAAGCCAGTGGCCAACTAGGTACATCCCCAGCCCTTTTTAAAGGTTTCTTATTTTTGAGACAAAGTCCCACTAAGTCACTCAGGCCAGGCTTGAACATTCAATCCTCCTGCCTCTGCCTCCTAGAATGCTAGGATTACTGGCATGTACCACTGCACCTGCTTTCAGGGCGGCTTCTGGCCTTACTGACCTCTTGAACAAGCAGGGAGGGGCAGGGCTGGTAGGCTGGGACACCTCCTTCTGTCTTGCCCCACCAACAGATTCTACCCTGAGGTCCTGCAGCACAACTCAACCTTGCGTGTCCACTGGACAATCCTGGAAGCCTGTTAAAAACACAAGCTCCTAAAATCTCTAGTCCTTAGGCATGACAGTGGGTCAGAGGATAGCACTGGTCCTATGATGCCAAGGCATCTCTGCTGCCCGGTGTAATGCCTGGGCAGCATGACAACTTGGTGGACATGCAGATTCCCAGGCCTGGGTGAGCCACTGACTCACCAGCCTTACCCACATCAGCTCTGTGGCTGATTTACATTCAAACTTTAGAAGCACAGAACAAGGAGCCTCTGGTCTCCCATGCCCCTGCTCAGTCCTGAGGACAGGCCTAGGACATACTCTAAGCATGGCAAATGCTGTCTCCCAGGCTGAGCAGTTAGCACACAGGAGCCAGAAGCTATGTTTCTTTGTACCGCAGACCCCACTGCACGGAGCACAGAGCAGGGGCCATCATACTTCGCAGCGGGGATGCCAGCACCCAGCAGAGGCACTGACTCCATTGCTTTCTTCTTTTGGGAGCGGCTCCCTACCCAAACCCGCTCTGGACCCTCAGGCTCACAGTCTTCACTTCTTACTGCACTCTGATGTCCGAGCAAGTAAGCACCTGGATGCGCAAACTTGGAAACACTTTACCAAAACAGGGCCACCCACAACCAGAAACTTAATAAATCTTTTGAATGATAAAAAATATAGCATTTCCAAACAGTTTTGAAATTTGCTAAATAATTACTCCATTATCTAAGAATAACCAGAACCACATTTAACTCCTAATGAAGTTAAGACATTGCAAAATGTTTGGTTGTGGAACCAATTTTCATGCTAGACACTAGCAGGAGGGCTGCAACCCAACTTGAGACCCACAAGATGGAACTGTGTCAAACAGCTTGCCCAAGAAAACCACAGGGAGGCAGCGGCTGTGACACTGAATGCTTGTTTTGGACACATCTTCCCTCACAATAGTGCCCAAGAAAGATTAGTATGCAGCTGAAACCTTACAAAGCCCCATGAAGAATGAAGATGAAAACACCTCCACAGGCACCAAAGCTCAAGCTGCCTTGGGTGCGGAGGGCCATGCACCTACTTGGGCGTCTGCTGCACCTCTGCCCACCAGCGATGGTCGGTGTGGTTGACAAGCAGCAGGATCTGGCACCACAGCAGCACCAGGGCCGGGTGCGTGGGCACCATGGAGCGCACGCGTGCGTTTAGGCTCTCCAGTGTGTAGAAGCTGCCCTCACAGGTGTCGCTGGTGAAGAGTCTGGTCGCAGCTGCGGTGATCCTCCGGAACATCCCTAGAAGTACACAAAGCAGAGCTGATGGTGGGGAAATGTGCTGGTACTTGTCTGAGCCTAACCCCAGGTAGCTCTGTGAAAACTTTATGTTGAAAGATGCACAGGCAGCCCTTTCCTATGCTTCCACACTAAAGCCGATGGCACGTAAGAGAATTCACTTTCTCTGTCCTGAGTAGAGACAGGCATTGCACTCATCGCATGACCAGGAAGCAATGCGCATCCCCTCCCACCTTCTTCCCCAACTCAGACGGCTGCTAGGACCCCCCAAGCACCATGGGCATCACCTGGACACACTTGAGTGCTGCATAAAAAATTCAGCAAGACTGTGTGGAGCTTCACGCCCTCAGGGATATTTCATTTCATCTCTGGATTCAACACCCAAGACAACATGAACACTGTGGAGATGGGTGTTACACTGTATTACTTAGGGATCGTAGCAAGAAAGGCTCTGTACACATTCAGCCCAGTTTAGTTTTCTGCAATACTGGTGAATGAACCCAGGGAGTGCTAAGCTATATCATTAGCCCTTTTTATTTTTTATTTTTATTTTTATTTTTTTTGGTTTTTCTCCGATACCGGGAACCGAACTCACGACCTTGCGCTTGCCAGGCAGGTGCTTTGCCGCTGAGCTAAATCCCCAGCCCCAGCCCTTTTTATTTTTGAGACAGGGTCTCATTACACTGCCTTACTTGTCCTTGTACTGGTGATCCTCCTGCCTCAGCCTCTCAAGTAGCTAAGATTACAGGCATGTGCTGCCATACCTGGATAAAAATGTATTCTGCAAGTATTTTTGAAGGTAGTTGGTGGAACCTGTAAATGTAGAACTGTGGACCCAGAGGCTAACTGAATTTCTTCCCCCTCCCTCCAGCCACCCCATCTGGTTCTAAACTGGTCCATCTTCGAGCAAGACAGGGATACTGATTACCCCCAATGTTGTATACTGGAGGAAAGGTATCCTTCTTGGTTGTTCTGTTAATGTTGGCTCTGATTTGAAAAGGCAACTCTGGGATAAGTTTCCCCTGGTCGAACAAGAGGGGCAGCACATAAACAGAGATCAAGGTTACTCCTCCGACTAGGTCCTCTTGTAAGAATCAACATCTGTAACAGACAACTATTCTACTGAGTACAATAAACTGCCTTTGTTTAAGCAATGGTTAAACACAAATTACCAACTTTACATGCTCAGTGTACCTCACTTTTATAAAAATACAAGATGATTTATTTCAACCCTATCTCAAGACCAAACAAATGTCTGCCACCTCCTGTCTGTAGCTAAACATGTGGCCATGCTGATGGAGGAGAGAGAAACAGACAATAACACCCCCTCAGCGCCCATCCGCAAACACCAGACCAATGAGACAGTGTCCACAAATGCTCGAGCAAGGTCCGTGTGCCCCAATGAGCCACACTCCTCCACAGTGTCCTGGCCTGTTCTGAAAGGAGCTACCTCAAGGACATTAGCCACTCTCAGGTCTCCAGCAACTCGTGTGGCTACAAGCCAGCCAGAGAAGACCTGATGGCCCCTCACGGTTTCTACTGGTCAGCACTGAATCTGGAGGAAATGAAGAGGGGGAGGTCGGGGTGAGGGGACAGCGAGCACCTAAACCACTGGACAAGCAGCAGGTCACAGTAAGTCTGTTCTTACCCAAAGGAGACTGAGAAGTCTCCTCTGCTCTCAAGTCCAGGCCAATCAAAGCCAAAAGGTTCAAATGACCGATACAGTAAGAACCACCTGGTATTTACAAACAAGGCAACATTTTCTTGACTTTAAAGTTGCTACAGTGGTCAGTGAAGCAAAAACCCAAAAATCTTCAAAAACAGAAAAAGAAAATTCTTCCAATATTGGTAAATAAGAAGGCTCAAAACTATCATCTATTATCAACATTAAATTCTGGTGTGGGGGCTGGGGATTTAGCTCAGCGGCAAAGCGCCTGCCTGGCAAGCGCAAGGTCGTGAGTTCGGTTCCTGGTACCGGAGAAAAAACCAAAAAAACAAAAAACAAAAAACAAAAACAAAAAAAATTCTGGTGTGGCCCACAGTGACAGCATCTTACCATCTCTAAGTCTTGGTGAACAAAGCAAGGCTGGAAATGGTGATTAGTTCCTAATATAAAGGCGTGCACATGAACTGTGTATAAAAACCCAACCATAGCGAGGGTCACCTGACTGCAAAAGTGCCCTGCCACATCTCTCTTGTTTCTGGTTTGGCTTTGGTGGAAGTTATCTCTAAAACTGGAACTGAGAGGCCTTTATACCTGGCCCAAATCATCAATTCTAGCTGCTCCTCATCCTTCTCCTGGAAAGTAACCATCCTCCTCCTCAGAGAAATGCCACCCAATCCTTCCCTGGCCCAGGCTGGCCAGAACACTGGGGGCTCATGGCCACCACCCACCATTAGGGTCAGGCCAGTCACACTCAGACTTTGGGTTGAGATCACAGCCATCAGGAGGGCTCCTTCTGTTCTGGGAAAGGAGCCCAGCAGAGAGCAAAGCCAACACAGAGGACAGAGCGGGATGTGGAAGAAGCATGCCCACCACAGGTGAAGCACCAGGCACAATACACTTGAGCCAACTAGCCAGCCGCAACCCTCCCCCGCCCTGGGTGCTCGCCTGAGCACACACACTGCTTCCCACTTTGGTTCAGGCGGAAGTCTCATCCCTGCCACCGAGGACTACTGAATGCAGGAACCACAGTGTGGTACATCACTTTAGATAACTCTAGACGTCACCCATTCACACTATTCTGTTAAAGGTGAGACAGCTCACTTCCGCTGCCTTCAAATCTTTAAAATGGAAAAAAACCCTCAGGTTAATTCACCTTTTTCCCAATTTTTAAAAATTGTGGTAAAATACATATAGCATGAAATTTATCATCTTAGTCACTTCTAAGGATACAGTACTGGCAGTAAATACACTTGTAATATTGTACAACCATCACCACCACCCATCTCTATCATTCTTGACATCTTGTAAAACGGAAACTCTGCACCCACTAAACAGTAACTTTCCATCCCTCCTCTCTCTGACCCCTGGCACCACCATTCTTTCTGCCTCTATGATTGTTACAGTTTATTTATTTATTTATTTATTTATTTATTTATTTATTTATTTTGGTTTTTTTCCAGTACCGGGAACCGAACTCACGACCTTGCGCTTGCCAGGCAGGCACTTTGCCGCTGAGCTAAATCCCCAGCCCCTATTTATTTATTTATTTATTGGTTTTTTTCTCCCAGTACCTGGAATCAAACTCATGACCTCGCACTTGCCAGGCAGGCGCTGTGCCACTGAGCTAAATCCTCAGCCCCTGACTGTTACAGTTTAGAACTAAACTGTCCCTACACATCTCTTGTGTTCAGAGGTGGGGCTTTTGGAAGGTGCCTGGATCATGTGGGTTCTACACTGATCTGCGGATTCATCCACAGATGTTCACAGCAGAATGTGCAGTCAGGAGGTGAGGCCTTGTTGGAGGTGGTTGCTGGGGTGAGACCTGGAAGGGTGTATTCTTGTCCCTAGCTCCTTCTTTCTCATTCTGCTTCAGGGGTTGAGCAGCTTTTCTCTTCTGGGCCCTTTCACTATGCTGTTTATGCCTTGGGCCCAAACACGAGCTGAACTCTCAGAAACCAAGAGCCAAAACAAGCCTTTCCTTCATGTTGTGGATGTCAGGTTTTTGTCCCAGGCATGCAAAAATGACTAATACAATGATTCTGAGTACTGTTTCATGCAAATGCAGTCATATAGTATTTGTCCTTCTGAGTTCAGCTTATTTTACTCAAGACTCATCCATATATTGTAGCCTGTGCTAAGATCTTCCTTTTTCAGGCTGAAAAACAGAGTAAAACCTTGGATTGCAAGTAACTTGTTCTCCAAGTGTTCTGCAATATAAGCAAACATTTCTATCAAATTTTAACTTGATAAAAAATGATGTCCTGCAATACAAGTAGTACGTGACACTGAACATCACATTATCACAACTGAGCCAGTAGTCCTCTCTCTTGCTCTCTCTCTCCTCTGTGGGATTGTGGGTGACCATCTCCCAAAAGCAAGAGATTATGGAAGAGATCTTGTCTGCAGAGGAGGAAAAAAAGTTGGAGGAGTCTCTTACTACAGTACAAAATTTTGTAGGAAAGTACCACCCAAATAAGGCAGTAGCAACAGTGACTGATGAATCTGTTTAATGATAATGAAATGTCCTATTTCCATGAAATGCTCAAAAGAAGGCAAAAGCAAGTGGGACAGATTCCTTATCAAAGCTGCATGAAAAGAAAAAGATTCTATCAAGCCAATCAATAGCAGTGATTGTGTCAGTGATAGTAAAGGTGTCCCACATAATAACCCTCCCCCTCTTGTCTCCCTCACACCAGCCTTGAAGGTTTTGCAGGCGAGTGCAGATTAATTTACTCTGCTTTTATTTTGTATTTTATTATTCTGTATTACATTACAGTATTTTAATTAATCTTTTTTTGGCAGTACCGAGGATTGAACTCAAGACCTTGAGCTTGACAGAAGGCGCTTATGCCACTGAGCTATATCCCCAGCCCCTTTTTAATCTTTTTGAGACAGGGTTTCACTGTGCAGTTCAGGCTGGCCTTGAATTCACTTCATAGCCCAGGGTGGCCTCAAACTTGCAGGGATTCTCCTGCCTCTGCCTCCCAAGTGCTGGGATTACAGGCGTGCATCACCATACCTAACTACAGTATAGTATTGTAATCACTCTTATATGAATATTTTTGGGCTGTAGAACGAATCACCTGAGCTTTCATTATTTCTTATCCAGAAAAATGCTTTGATACACAAGTGTTTTGGATTATAAACATGCTTCTGGAATGAATTATGCCCACAAACCCAGTATTGTATCTTGCATATGTACAAGGTTTTGCTTATCTGTTAGTCCACTGAAGAACTCCTGAGCTGCTTCCACAGATTGGCTACTGTGAATAATGAATGCTGCTATGAACACTAGCACAGATTTTCCAGCCACACTACTTTCCATTCTTCCCGGGAAGCAGCCTGACAGAGACCTGCTGAGCTGCTTACTCTTTTCCCCACAGGACACACTGTCCAACAGCAAAGCATGTAGAGCAGAGCTTCTGCCCCAAGCATACAGTGCAGGACAGGGATACCATGGATGCAGCCAATTCACCTACCAGACTTGAAGATGTGGATGAGGCACATGAGCAGTGTGCCTAGCTCTTGGCAGTAGAAAGTATGCTGCTGTTCACTCATTTCCACCTTCAGCTGCTTTGTAACAATGTCCTCTAAAAGGATCCCAACCAGTTGTAATAGAAACCTTCCAAGAAAATGAGAGGAATGACAGTGAGTGAAGCGACTATTATGCAGCACATGTGCCAAGTATACACGGGACATACAGAGTAAGTCAGGAAGAGCAGAGACACAGGCAAGGCACACTGGGCGTCTGCTAATCCTCTGCAGGTACTGAACGCGCCACTGGCTTTGGCAACTTGCTTCAGTTGAAGCACTGAGGGCCACAGGCCACACATAGGTACTGGGCAGGCTCCACATTCATCTCTCCCAGCAACCCTGGGCAGCTCTCCTGATGGCAACCAGGACAGCCAACCAAAAGGTGCTGGGGCAGAGGGAGCAACTCAAGAAGCAGCTCTAATTTAGAGAAGCTTGGGTTGGGGACAGACTCTTGTCCACAAAGCAGCATTTCCAAGTGCTCAATCTTGCTCACTTCCTCAAACTCATAGGTTTGAGGAAGAAGACAGAGCTGATGGTACGTAGCAGGTACGTAGCAGGCACTACCCTCCTTGGCAGGGGAAGCTCTTGATCACTGACAGCATACAGCCCTTCAGCACACGATGAGCATAAACACGAGTTCAACTTTTAGGGCTTTCTAGGGGTTTGAACTTCTACAGGCAATACACAACCTTACTGCCTGCATAGAAAGTGGACCACGCCCTGCCCAGCACAGGTTGAGCCACTCTGTCAAGTCTTTAATGAGGACAAAATGGATTGTGACACAGCCTGAAGAGAGGCACAGAGCTAGGGTCCCAGGTAAGGTGGCTGGACTAAAACATAGCAACACACATTTCCTCAGCTTGCGCACAAAGCCAGGGCTAGACCAGCACTTAGTCCAGACACACTGATCAGCAGACACAATGCATCTTCCCAAGGATACTGGCTGTAGGATCAGATACAGAGCGCACCTCGAGAATGTTTCTTCAGGCGAATTCCTCAATTGTTTCCCTTCACTGTGTTCTTCTGGTGTCGAATTACTACTCCCATCTCTCAGCCTGCTAATTGTTGAACAGGAGATTAAATATGGAGAGAAGGAGAGCTCCTGAATGCGAGAGAGAACAATATCCTCAGTTGACTGGGAAATGAGGACCCTCAGGATGGCTAGGATTCCAGAGATCCACAGCTGGACAGTGCTCACAGAGGCCTAAAGGAGACAAAGTAAGTTACAGCTACAGAAAGAAAGAAATACTACATTTCCCCCAATTGCCAATTTTATAAAAGAAAATCACCCAGTTTCACCATTCCATCAATAAATCCCTACACCACTGCTTCTCCTGGTGTGGCCCTGCAGCAAGGCAGCAAATGCCGATCCTCTACCACACCCTCCACAGCAACTCTGTCTGCAGGAGCCCGCCCATGGTTTGGGGGCCTTGGGAGACTCACCAGCGTGCTTGGAGTGACGAACATACTGCGCAAAAGCATGTCCACTGGGCGGAGGGAGGAAGGGGCCAGAATCTCAAACAAAGTGTTTAGCACTCCAAGGGCTTCATGTGAGTCAATATGCATCTGTGGGATTGAACATCACAGATGTTCCGAGGTGAGCCTACACTGGAAACGCCAGCCCCATGTCCCCAGGCAGAAGGTCACAGTCACCATTACCACCTTCTAAGTTCAGCATCGAAATGAGCCACTTTTCAGGACAGCTTGCTAGCAGCTACTTTTTCTCCATGATGGCAATCTTTCCAACTTAGATTTTAACCCAAATAATACTTGTTTCGGTGAAAAGGTCAAATACACCAAAGTATGAAATGAATCATCTAGAAGTGGCCATTCTGATGCAGCTGCTGACAGCACTTTGGGACCCAGATTTCATGCATATTTTCCTATAGGCGTATGTGGGATGTGACACATGCTGCTTCTTTTTTTGGTACCAGAACTTGCACTCAGGACCTTGCACTTGCCAGGTAAGTGCTTGTGCTGCTGAGCTATATCCCTGGCCCACTTCTTTCTGTTTTTTCCCTGGACCTGACCACCACCTTGCCCATTAGTAACAAACATTAACACATGGGCGTAGGTCTCTATTTCCTTTTTCCCATGTTTCTAGCCCACCGCCCACACACACAGAGAGAGAGGCTTCTGTTCTGTTCTGTTCTGAGAAGGCACACTAGGCATGCATCTGCTTCTCTTGCTTTAGAGTGCAGTGAACACCCAAGTGCCACATGTGGCTGGAGCGAGCGCACCAAGGGCACTTGCTCACTGACGATGAGCTCTCGGAGCTGGCAGCTGACCTGCTGCTGGGAGCAGCCTCTGGTCCCAAGAGAAGGGCCCCTGAGGCAATGTCTGAAAGGAAGGGTGTGTTCTTGTCCCTGGCTCCTCCCTGCACTCCTGGCTGCTGCCGGCCCAGCACCTTCTCCTCACAAGGCTCCTCTGCCTGCTACTTCCGCCTTGGAGCCAGACAATTAAGGATGGAAACCATAAGCCAATATAAACCTCTCCTCCTTTACACCACAGCATCAGGTATCTTGTCCCAGCCATGGGAAAGGTGACTAATACACAAGTAAGGGGCTGGGGACTTAGCTCAGTGGTACAACACTCATCCAGCAAGCAGAAAGCCCTGGGTTCAGTCCTCAGCACCAAAAGATTAAAAAGCAAAAGAAAATTCACAAGGCAACTGGTCTAAATTCTACCATTACTTTTAATGAATACAAAACATTCCCAACTAAATTTATGTATCAACCATGCCCCTGCTGATGATGGGCACTGACTGATGTACATCCCTATAACGACTCTGATTCAATGATGAGTAACTACACAGTGATTTTCCAAATGATAAGGGAAAACCTAGAAAGCTAAAGATCAAACAAAATACCTTCAGGACCAGAATGAAGGACATGGTGTAATAAAACAGGAAAATACCCAAACTGTGGAGTGAGACTGGGGCAACCTCACTCCTAGCACTCTCGAGCTGTGTGACTTCTGAGCCTTGCTTTCCCCAGACAACCCCGACCTGGAGGTTACTGCAGGAATAAAGGGAATCATCTGCCCTATGACCGCGCAGAGCACTATCAAAGGAGAATACATTACAATCTGAGGAAAAGCTGTTCATCAATCCCCTTTGACTGGGATTTTAATCTACCCTGAAATAAGTCATAATTACTGTAAGAAATGAGCCAGGACTGCGGTGACAAACCTGCTGCTTGGCAAGCATGGGCAGGATGATGTCAGCGACTTGCCGAGACAGCCGCTTCCACTTGTCCTCATTCTCCTTGTGGCACTGCTGCAGGACAAGGATGAACATCTCCAGCACCTGCAAGAGCCCAAGTTTGTGCACACCAACGAAGCCTTCTGGCCTGGCGCACCCTGCCGTCCCTACACATGTTCGCCCCTCACGTTGGTCCCAGGCAGCTGCAAAGCTCTGGGATCCAAGCAGAGGTGGCACCCCCACAACCAATGTGAGGACAGAGGAAGCGGACACAGTCCTAACCCGAGCACATGTGAATGGAGGAACCATAAGAACACGCAAGCGGAGACCAGCAATTTCTCTAATTTCTCTTGCTCAGGGTAACCCATGCTCAGTGTTATTGCCATGGAATTTACAAGACTTCATGATCAGGGGAAAGGCACAAGATGAAAAGCATCTGCATTAACTTTTGGGGAAACTCAAATACAGCCTGACTAACCTATCCTGCAGGTGCCTTCACACTTTTGTGTGCATCAACTCCACATGTTCTCTGAGGTGTCTCCTACTGTCCCTGGCATGGCACTCGCTTTAGACAGACATGGGGCCACCCACTGCTTAATTGTATAAGCACAGCATCCTGGCCCTGGCTGAGCTGCTGTAACAGTGGAAAGCAGGGGCTGCAATGAGCCTACGTGGCCCTGAAACGCGCCATGCTATCAGCTGGTGGTTTAACGTGACACACTGGCTCACTAAGTGCAGCTGCTTGCTCTCAAAATGCTGTATGGTACTTGAAATGCTACTGTAATCAGGGAATTAAGCATTAAGTATTTCATTAAGTATTACATAGATTGATCAAAACATGAGTACACAAGTATGGTTTCCCTGAGAAAGCTTACGGTTTCATAAAGATTCAAAGATAGCAAAAAGAACGTAGAAAAGTAAGTGAGGCTTGTGCAACGGCACAGGTTTACACAGAAACCAAGAAAGCTGAGCTGGAGCTGTCTCCAAATGTCTTCAAATTTCTGCACCCCTTATGGAAAACAATCAAAAGTCTGCTTAGAGAACAAGACCCTGTCCCTGTCAAAATAGCAGGAAGTTAAAAAAAAAAGTCTTTAAATTATTTCAGACTTGAGTCTTGTATTATTTCTCAGAATTCTCCCAAAGCAATGTTATTCATTAACTGATTCTTGGCCCTTGCTTTGGAAAAGGCCCAGCCTCACTATCTGGAAAAGTGTCAGGACTGTCAGCCAGGCAGCAGGTACAGTCTGGGCTGACCTGGCTTTAAAGACACACCCGACTGCTGCAGCAGGCTGTTATCATTGAAAGCTCTTAAAGCTTCACTGTCACAGGCCTACTGTACCCCCTAACACCAGGCTCTCCCCAGGTGTCAGTGCTATCACCCACTGCTGAGCATAGGCTGGACCACACAGCATTCCTTCCCATGTCCAGGGACAATGGAGAGTCCTTGAGCATCACCACACTTCCCTCCTACCTGATGGTATTGGATGAGTCGCAACAGCATTGACACCACCACCTCCTTCTGGGTTTCAAGCTCCTTCCCTGCATCAGCTTTGTTTGTTCCTCTTAACACAAAAAGGTCATGGACTATGGGCTGCAAAGCTGGGATTGCTGTGGGTATAAGAGCATGCTAATAAGATCTTATGAGAAAACAATGTTTGCTAGATGGGTCTGAACACCTCCAAAACACTTTCATGAAATAAAGAAAACCATAACCCATACTTGTTTGTGATAAAGGATGAAGTTTATCAATGGGTGTTGTGAAATCATCATAATACCACTGGGCAAGCTCAAGGTTCTTCCTCTGAACACTGAGAGTTCTGTGAAGATTTCTTATAAAAAAGGATCGGGCCAGGCATGGAAGCGTACACCTGAAATCCCAGCACTTAGGAGGCTGAGGCAGGAGGATTGCCATGAGTTCAAGGCCAGCCAGAGCCATGTTGTGAGTTGGAGGCTAGCCTGGACTACATATTGAGACTTTGTCTCAAAAAAGTAGAATAAATAAATAAATGAAAGAATGAATGAATGAGTGACGGCATGTAGCCAAGGGTAGAGAGCTTGCTAAACAAACATACATGAGGCCCCAGGACCATAAAAAAACCCCAAAACAAAAAACAAAACACGAAAAGAAAAAGAAGTCTAGAATTTCTATAATGTAACATCACTTCTGATAAAAGGTGATTCAAATTCGAGAGTCAATTTGAGACCAGGGATTTAGCTCAGTGGCATAGTGACTGCCTGGCAAGGGTGAGGTCATGAGTTTGATTCCTGGTACACAAAAAAAAAGAAAAAAATCAAGAGTCAATTTAAAAATAATAAAGTTTTCAAATAATCAAATTAGCAACATCCATTCATAAACAATTTGATTTACCTAAAAAGACAATGGATACTTTTCCTATAGAATACATTTAGTTATAGTTTAGAAATGTTTTAGGTGAACTTACTCTCTCCTTAGGATAGAAGGTTTTCCCTAGGTCTTATATTGGTCCAAAACAGAAGTCAAACTAATTTCACTGGTCTACCATAACCACTATAACCACATGAGTTTAACTGGTCCATAGACCCTCAGTTTATACACACACACACACACTCACCCGCATTCTGACCCTCGGTGACACCCCATATACTCTCTTGCCCCTGAGGACATTTACACTCAGGTAAACTTGCTGATCTCCCGCCCAGTAAGCAAGCACGCTGACAGACAGTACTGGGTTTGGCTGCCTCCGAGCTCTCTGTCCAAAAGATCCTCTAAATCCAGGAAAACCTAGTTTTCTATATTTGACATTTGTATTTTCAACTAAACACTCTGACCTGAACGCTAGGATTTCAGCCTTCAGTACTTCTGCTGAGGCACCCTCCTACTGAAGCCCTACCCTGTCTCTCAGCACTGCTCTCCCCATGCTCTCCAGGCAGATGCAGAGGCAGACACAGCAAGGGGACTCTGCTTGGAGTGGCATGGTAGAGGCTTTCTCCTGTCTGTGGGCCTGTTATGGTTTGTGTCTGGGTGTCCCCCCAAAGCCTCATGCAGTCATGGGGCAGGTTCTTAGAGTTTGATTGATTATGGGTGTGAGAGCTGCACCGGCCCTGGGGTGGAGAGTTTGCATATGTAAGGGAGAGCAAGAGGCTGCTTGGGGCTATTTCCTGGCTTTTGTGCTTCTGGCCATTTTCCTCCCTTGTGTGGGTGCTTGTTGCTTTGCTGTGTTCTGCCGCCATGAGCTGTAGCTCTCTGCCATGTGCCACTCTGCCTTGTAATCTGCCAAGTGTGGACTGAAACCTCCACAAACTGTAAGCGAAATAAACCTTTCCTTCCTTCATTTGGGGCGTCAGGTATTTTGTCCCAGCAACGAGAGAAAAGTAACCAAGACAGGGCCCCTAAGGTCTGAAGATGCATCCCTACCAAGGAGCAAAAGCTTAGATTCCTGGTGTCTTAGTTAACTTTCCTCTCATGGCTGAGACAAAATACCTGACACCTAAGGATAAAGGAGGAAAGACTGACTTTAGCTCATAGTTTGTAGAGATTTCAGTCCATCATCAGCTGGTTCCAAGGAAAGGTAGCACATGGCAAAGGGGCAACAGTTTATGACGGTGGAAGACAGCAGAAACAACAAGAGCAAAAAGGAAATGGCTGCACCTTGTTCCAGAATTTGGTACCAGAGAAGTGGTGTCATTGCTGACTGTACCTCACCATGTGGTTCAGTAGCCTTTGGAAATGACTTGTGGAGAGTTTGGAAATGCTAGCTGAAAAAGTAGGCAGAACACCTAGGCTGTTCTGTATGGAAGATTCTGATTTGAGCCCAGAAGACCAGAAGGCAGATACAAATTCTGCCAGTAAAGACCAGGCTCAGGAGACTTCTGTTGCGAAGAAAGACTGCCTTGGCTGCTGGGACTCCAGACGATGTGTGTTATGGTTTAGCAGAAAGTTTGTCTGCATTTTTCTTGTGTCCAGAGACTTTGCCTGAGACTGCAATTAAGGGTGGCAGAGTAATTAATCTGGCAGAAGAAATTTCAAGGCAGTCTGGAGTTGAGGCACTGGCATAGCTACTGTTGGGGGCTTTTAGCCAGATTTATGTTGAGAATCAAGAGCAAAGAGCGCAGCAGAATGACTCAAAACATTGTGAGTTTGGTCAGAGAGGAAGCTCCAGTAAAGCTATGGACTACAAAGATAGAGCACAGGAGATCCTGATTGCTGAGAAGGAACAGGAGAATAGAAAAGGTGGCCTGAGGGCATCAAAAGAAGTAGCAAGTTTCCACTCTTTGCCACCTCAAATTGCAAAAAGTGAAAGGTTCTGCTTTGTGAAGAAAGCCACAGAGCCTATGTTCCAGAATGGCAGCAGCATAGAGAATCTGTTCCTCAGATTTGGATTAAGAGTGCTCAGTGATCCAGGCACTTGACAAGAGAGAGGGAAACTTGGCCACTGCTCCTTCTGGCAGCAGACCCTGGCATCATCCATGTGGTGCTGATTTTGGATGCATGGAAAACAGAAGATATGTACAATCAGGAAGGCTTTCACTCAGATTTCAGAAGGCCTGGGAGGCCAGGCAGTGTGTCCCTGAAAGGGCAGTGTATGGGGCTGGGGATACAGCTCAGCAGCACAAGCACCTGCCTGGCAAGTACAAGGTCCTGATTTCGATTCCCAGTACCAAAAAAATTAAAATAAATAAATAAATAAAAGAAAGGGCAGTGTATGAAGCTGTGAAGCCAACGGAGCAGTGGAGACCCCAGAAGTCTGGAGAAGCCAGGAATGTGGATCATCTGAGGAAAACTGCAAAGAGGGAGTAGAGCTTGCCCAAGACAGAAGCCATGGGAGCTACAACCACCAGCCGAACCATAGCAGTGGAACAACCCAAGCCCTTTGGAGTTCACATCTTGCCAGAGACTGGATGCTGCACACAGAACTACCCGACTTAATGTTTGCCCTGCTGGATTCTGGACTTGCTTTGTTTCCATTCCTTTGTATCCCCTTGCTTATAACTTCTAGAATGGAAATGTCTATCTTGTGTCATTGAATGTTGGAAGCATTTAACTTTCCTTTCATTTGTACAGCTGATTGCAGCTAACAGTTTGCCTTAAATCTCAGAGGAGACTTGGGATTTGTACTTTTCAGCAGTGCTAAATGTGTTAGAACCTTGGCAACTCTTGGAGGTGAACTAAATGCCTTTTGCATAAAGAGATGTGCATGAGTCTTTGGGGGCCAAAGGGCAAAATGTTATGGTTTGTGTCTAGATATCCCCACAAAGCCTCATACTGCCATGGGGAAAAGCTTCTAGAATTTGTGATTGATTTATGGTCCAACGCTGGAATTAAGGGTGTGAATGCTACATCTTCCCTAGGGTGGGTAGCATACAATATAAGGATGGGAAAGAGCTTGCTCTCACCTCTCACTTTTTGCTTTTACTATCCTCTGCCACCACGAACTGTTGCCCTCTGCCATGTGGCACCCCGCCTTGGAGCCAGCCAAGCATGGACTGAAACCTCTACAAACTGTGAGCTAAATAAACTTTCCCCTTTTAAAGTTGGGTGTTAGGTATTTTGTCTCAGCAATGACAGAAAAATAACTAAGGCACCTGACAAAAGAGCAGGGATGGGCCAACAGGGAAATGCTAGACAATGAGTTCTAAAGGGCCCAAGATTTACACTGTATTCTTAACTTGCACCTCCTCTTGCTCCCACAGGTTAGGACGAAGTTAACTGAGTAGCTGACCACTTGCTGGTGTTCTGATTGATGATCCTGTGAAATAACGAGGCAAAACAACCCCAAATCAAAGTTCAATCATACCCTCCTATACCACTGGAAAACCAGTAAAAATGTAAAATAAGGCATGTTGGATTTAAAAATTTTGTTGGGCTGAGGTGTAGCTCAGTGGTAGTCCTTGCTTAGCATGCCTAAAGCCCTGGATTTGACCCCCAGCCTTACAAAAAAAAAATAAGTAAAAATTTGAAAACTTAAAAGATTTTCTGTTTCATATAAATAGCAACATTTCTATTTATTTGTCTATACTTACTGTTTTTTATATCTTACCTCCTAATTTAATCATATACTCCTACAAGTATACAGCATGGTCTTTTCCTAAACATCTTTAACTATGTCCATCAGCACACATATGGACATGAACATGCATACACGTGTGCATACACACACAGCTCCATGCAGCACAGAGCCAGCATTCAGGGTTGAATGTGGGTGAAAGAAGAGTAACACTCTCGGGCACATCATGTCACTGGAGGCAGGGGAAGTGTAGTCCCTTACCATGTGTTACAGCCTTCCTCCCGCTGGCCATGATGCCATCGCAGAGCTGGATGATTTTAGGAATTCCAATGATCTGCTTTGAATGGTAGCGTTCATAAGACAGTAACACCAGGAAGAAAAAGATGTTTGGAATAATTGCCTCTGATTCCCTGGAAACAAAGACAACCAGTTAGCCGTTTCTTTTATAATTATGATACATGATCAACATAAATAACATAGAATAACTCAAGACTCAACTTTGAAACACAGAGTGTCCTAAGCTAAAGCAGCCCAGCAACCTAACTTAATCCCACCACAAGGACAGCCAGGGTCTGAGAGGTCACATGGCAGCAGCTGGTGGGCAACTGGTAACATCAGAGGCTCAGCAAGTACAATCTTCTTACTTCCCCATCTGCCTTTTCACTCTTAAAGAAACAGACTCAAGGGAGAAAACAGTACCTTGCCCAAAACTACATCAGGGCATCTTATGTAATTAGAAAACAGCTAGACCCCTGGGAAGTTAATAAACACTCCTCCTCCATTTACCCACAAACTACTTAAGACTTTCAGAAACTTGGGATTTTATTTTTAATTACTGTACTTACAAACCTGTACCAGGCATGACAAGATGTACTAAACCCTTAATGCCTAGCAAGGAAAAGCTGCAGTCAATGTATGTAAAGTGTATAATCACTCTCAATAAAGACATTACTAAAAAAAGGTTTTTCCAACATTAGAAAAAGTGCTCCATCAGGTAAGAGTCATTTACAAATCTATTATATAACTTTAAGTGCTTTGACATGTGAAATGGAAACTGACAACATACATAACTATCAGGTGCAGAACTACTTCTATACCAGTACAGAAAAAGGTTTTGTTTTTTTTTTCCTGGTACCGGGAATTGAACTCACGACCTTGTGCTTGCCAGGCAGGCACTGTGCCGCTGAGCTAAATCCCCAGCTCTCCAGAAAAGGTTTTTCATTAATTTTAAGAGAAATAAAAAGTATATATACCCTATTACTCTAATTTTCATAAGGGGCAAAAAAACAAACCAAAAAACAGTCAAGATGTCTAATAGTCCTTTAAAGGAAACATTTATCTTAATAACCTAAACTTACACATACACTTACAGTAGGGATAAGAACTCGAAAACAGGGGCTGGGGATTTAGCTCAGCGGCAAAAAGCGCCTGCCTGGCAAGCGCAAGGTCGTGAGTTCGGTTCCCGGTACCGGAGAAAAACCAAAAAAAAAAAAAAAAAAAAAAGAACTCGAAAACAGCAACATGCTTACCTGAACTGGCCTACTTCAATGTATTCAAACTGCTTTAGCACAAATCCAATAAACACCTGCAGGCAGGAAAGTAAGTTTCACCTCAACAGTAAGATCAAAACATAAATACCAGCTTTCTTTTCTTCCTGCACATCTGTGTAAAATCTTACTAAGATTCCTGATTTGTTTACAACGAAGAACTCAAATCTACTCTCAAGTCATACACGGTAACTGCAGAGCACTTGAGCAATCCCTTCGAGACCAAGTTTACTAAACACTGTGGTAAAACCTCACTGGAAAAACAAATAAACTCCAGGAGACACCAAGTATCACCCCAATCACATCTGGGGGCCCATGAGCTCCAGGGAGGGGTGACCCGAGCAGCACAATGCCCAAGTCTTCTCCCTCCCACCCACACTTGGAGTCCTTCGTGACCCCAGAGGAGCAGTGGCAGTCGATGGCAAGAGAGCTGGTTTGTGTCACTGTTGCCCTGACAGGAAGTTCCCACAGATTAGACATGGGACTCACACCCACTGACCCTGAGCCCTGCACAGAGTACAATAGTTTGTCTGCTCCAGTCTCCCACCCTTGTTCATAGAACTGTCTTGTAATGCAGGGCAAGCAGGAAGCCAGAGTGCTCATGCCAAGAAAGCACCTTCCCCTGAGTGAGGGCAGTTGGGAGAGGGCTTTGCTGGTGTGAGGTAGAGGGCTGGGTCCTGGGGGGGCGGGGGCACTTGCTACAGTGAGGTCAGCTCGTATAGAGGGCACACGGGAATCTCAGCTGGCCCATGTCAAGAACTAAGTAGCGGATGGAGACTGTAGGATACCAGAAGGGAGCAACAAAAATTACTACACCTGTGAGAAAAGGATCCAGGGACCATGAGTCTACAAAGAATCTGGGAGAACCGCTGAGTCTGCTGATGAGTCTGTGCCGCAGTGGAGAGCTGTTTACTCTCTCTGCCTACTAAGAACAGCCCAGAAAGAAGCCACAGTCTGCAGCTATCCCACGAGCACACCAGCTTCTATCTCTGCCAACAGGACAAAAGACGACTGCTGTCTCCGACACACTACTACTGATGCAGCAATCAGCGCTCTGGCTTCCTTGGGGCACCCAGCCGTGGTCCCAGAAGCCCTCATCCCTGAACCCCTGGCCCAGCCCCAGCAGCCCAGGGCCACAGACCAGGCTTCTCCCCACGCCACTTCGAGTGCCAGAGGAGGTAACTGAAGAACAGTGGGCCACTTACACTGATTTGTTCCTGACAGCTTTCATAATGGAAGAAACCATGAAAGGGCAGGCCATGCCAAAGCTCCGCTATCATTCCTCTTCACTAGAAACAGGCCCCACCCCAGCCCACCTGTGGGGAAATCAGAGTTTCTCTGATTCGGCTGGGAATGGAGGCTGTAAGATGAGTAAAGACGTCAATAGGCTGTGAGGACAGGTAATATAGAATTGTCGTACTTCCATGTCAAGAACTCCTTTCTCACACAGATAGTTGCCTGAGATCATAGCCCAAAAATGAGTCCTACTTTGATGACCTAAGGTAACTTCAACCAATGAAGGCACCACCAGTCCCGCCTCCTGAAAGAGCATGACCAACTGTGAGGGGACAGGAACCCTCATGCAAGGCCACACAGCTCCCTGCGGGGGTTCCCAGGAGCACAGAGGTGAGCAAACTTTTTTAACTGCTTGAAACTGCAGACCCTAAGTAATGATATTTTTTTTAAGTCTCTGGATTTTGCAAAGCTTATACTGTACCTTACCATTTAAATTCAAATATATCTTGGAGTGGGGTGTGGGGGCTGTATAAGAAGACCTCTGGCAGGTGTTTAAAGGCCAATTCAAGGACAGCAAGAGACAGACATGAAGCTCCCAAGTCTTCTGCACCCATCAATCCCACGCAGGGGGAGAGAGGCAGCAACCACTGGGGGAAAGCAAACCTCACTGCTCTTCAAGGGAGCGGAAAGAGGAACATGACAAACCTGATCCGAGTCCAAAAGGCAGTAATTCACCCGTAACTGCACCAGCTGTGCCAGCAAATCCAAAACCTGCTTCTGCAACTGCACAGAGGTTGTTGTCGTGTACTGTTTCAAAGCTTTTATGACAAGAGGCTCAAATAAACGAATGTGGTTGTGAATAGCATTCTGTTAAAAAGAGAAAGAACCTGTTGGTGCATGTCCAGGCTTTAGGCTTTAGGCAAGCAATCTGGAATCTCAAGCAGCTGTGCTCACATGCTATGGTCCACGAGCTGCCACCAGGGCAAGCTACCTACCTTGTCTGCACGGTTCTTTGTAGCACTCGTGAGGTTTGTCTTGAGCTGGGAGGACACCTTCTGGAGCACATCAAACCATCTGCCAGAGGGGAAAAGAGGAAGTAGAGAACTTCCGTCAGTGATCTTCTTTGCATTCAGCCATCCTTCAGGTCACACCAATATCATGCTCACAGGACAGAGGTATGAGAAGGAACTGCAATTGCAAGGGCCTTCAGCACGGAGGGGCACGTGCCAAGATAATGAAACAATGTGGAATGTGCAGCTGCCCGACAGCCCAAGTCTGGCCACCTAGAGAAGGTGACTCAAGCCCAAGCTTTTCTGCTAAGGAGAACTCACTCCTCGAGTCCTGAAGACTTGAGCGAGGTAACAGCCATTGAAGACTGGCAATTACCATGTAGCTTTCTTGGGGAAAAAAATAAATGTTCACATCAATGATACCCTTTCCTTTCTATGAAATATATCTAGAATTACAGGACTAACACTGCTGAGTGTTGTGGCACATGCCAGTAGTCTAAGTTACTCAGGAGAATGAGGAGAGAGGATCTTTGATCCCTCAACATAGTGAGACCCAGCTCAAAAACAAACAAGCAAAAGTACCCAGTAACACATGCATGTGATCATACACACACTTGCCTATGTTCACCATACATAATTACAAAAAAATTTAAATAAGACAGTTCCTGAAACTTGTATATACAGTGTGTATAGACATTCCTAACTTAATGACTGAATTCTGGTCCAGCAACTAGGTTGTTAAATAGTCACTAAATAAGGAGTTGTGTATAGTGCGTACTTTACAATATTCAGAACAAAGAAGTAGTACAAGGAAACTCCAACTTGATGACTTTGGTTTGATTTGCGTAACTCTTACATGCAGTGCTGTAATGTGTAACAGAACATAGAGCCGCAGTACTACACAGTACAATCAGCACAAATTACAGTACTGTATCAACAAGGTAGACAGTACCAAAAAGATATTAAGGCTCAATAAACAAGATGTACAGAACTGTACCAAAAAGGGGTGGAAACTGTAAGTCCAAGTCCAAACAGTGTACCTTGGTCCTAAGTCCAAACAGTCAGTACCCACGTAAGACAATAAATCAGGAATGTCTGTATATCACCAACGTAACACCTAAAACATGGGTATTTTCCTTGATTCCTGACTTTCAAATATGAGTTCTTCCAAATTCCTGAATTACAGATATTTGATCACTATACTCATGAAAGAAAAAACAAAGATTCTGCTGATGTTACTATACAGAGTAGCAAGTCAAATCCTTGCTGATAATTACGGTAGTTAGGAGACACATAGGGCTGGGTGGCAGCTCAGGGGTAGAGTGCTCATTTAGCTTGTGTGAGGCCTTGGGCTTGATGAGGAAAGGAGGGGCGGGGAGGGAGAGGACTTTCTGTATTCCAGGCATCAAAACAACAAATTTACATGAAAAGGGACTTTTAGCCATAAAGGTTTTTTTAGGGGAGTGATTAAACTAGGGTTAAACCTAGGGCCTTCACACTCGGCTACATGCCCCTCCCCCCGAGACAGGATGTAAGTCACCTAGTTTGGGCTTAAACTTGCCATCCACCTGCCTCAGCTATCAATAGTGCTGGGACTATAAGCATCTTTTAGCTGTTAGTTTATAAAACACAAATAATATATCCAAGACTTTTCTATGCCCTTTGAATACTTATAAACACTAGCACCATTCTGCCACTTTGAAGGTGGCCTTTCATCTTATAGACCCAAAAAGTGCTACCAATATATACCATATTACTATAGAGGAAATAAGAAAATGCCACTTAAGAGCACTAGAAAATTAGTTAATACGTGAGGACAGTGTATGTCCCAGGTCTGGTTTGAGGGCGCTATGCGGAAGGAGCATGGGTGCTTCTCAGGCAGCTGCCACCCCTGAGATGCACACCCCCATGCTTAGCCCACTGGCTGGGCCAGGCACTCTGGGAAGGCAGGAGCTACACCTTCCTTATCTTTGCATCAACTATATTTCCCAGACTCTTCTGAATACTATGGACTATTGACAGATGCTAACATCTTGATTTTTTAACTCTTTTCCAAAGCATTCCCCCCTGGCTGTTTTGTGCCTCCAAAGGGGACCAACCCCACTGCAATGGTACCCTGAGGTGTCGTGCTCCTGCTCCGTCTGCACCATGTTCCTCAGGCTGGCATCCGCAAGGGCCTGCGTAAAGTGGGTGTAGGGGGCCATGAAGCAGTAGTGGTACAGGCCCGGCCTCACACTGGAAGAGCCAAGGCGCTGCGCTCGTCCTTGAGACTTGCTGGGGTTAGAAGATAAGCCATCAAACTGGGAGGCTAGGTTTGTCCCAAAGAGAGTCTTCAGCAGCTAGAGGGAAAGAATCAAAGCACCAATGGTTGATTAAGCGCAGTATGAGCGACACTTTAAGACACCCATGCAATTCTTGCTGTGACCTTACGAGACTGCAACTGTGGGGAAGAGTCTGGGTTTCCCTGGTGCTCTAGGTGAGAGAGGACTTCTGAAGACTGACCCCAGTAAGTAGCAAGGGCCCAGCACAGTTTCTAATGTCCTCTGGTCCCGACAGTGATGGTCCACAACTTCCTGGGATGGAGAACAATCCCCTAGTGGCCTAATCATGGAGCAACCAAGCGACACAGCCACCCACTCCCACTCATAGCTTCAGCTTCTAAAGGAGAAGCAACGTGTACTGGCTGGGCCTAGACAGTTTACCTGAAAAAGACAGTAAGACAGCACTCTCACCTGCTGGACACAAAGAGTAGCCATCATTGGTTCCCGGCTAAAGCAGGACTTCAGATACCCCAGGATCTCTTCAACACACTGGGGGAAGACAGTAAGATATTAAGGGACTCACACACAGCCCATCATGGTGTGAATCCAAGACAGAAATCAGGGACAAAAAAACAGCTTCATTTTAACTGCGTGAACATCAGAGGAAAAATCAAAGAAAGGTTTTCAATCTGTCATCTTGATGAGTCATAGTCAAAGGTCTTGAAATCCAAGCAGATGTATAAAAACCATTTTTTCACTCTTTTATTCCTTAACTAGATTATCAAGTATCTACTTCTTTCCATCCAATTCTGTCTTCAGGGCAGGAAGTCAGAAGTATGCCACCAAATGAAAAGCCCTGCCTCTGTAAAGCCCCTGGACCTGCCCAACTGACACGATACATAACTCAACCGAATGAATCCCAGAACAGGATTTATGGGAACACAAAAACACCTACCACTCAACAATGAAACTCACAGTGGGGCATCCAACGAAGATAGCAGGCAGACAAGGGAGGAAAACCCAATCCATAGTGAGGACTTTGACCCATCGGCCAGAAATTGCCCAGAACTAGCAAGATTTTAGAATTAGCCAAATACATTAAAGCAACTACTACAACTGTATCCAAAGAGAAGAGACAAGAAAAGACAGATCACACGTCTAGACAGAGGGGAAAAGGACAACGCTCAAGGTTTTACAGGAGAGGGGACAATTACTAAGTGTCAACACAGCAGAACGCTACCTAGCCTTTAATGAAAACTAACGCAGGCACCAGCTGGTACACGGGAAAGCACAAGGGACAGATGAGAAAAAACAACAGTACGATGATTAAAGCTAGGGAAACCTGTACGCAGATCAGATGACAAAGACTTAGCATCTGTACAGAATGTGTACAGGCTTTTCTGCTTGTCCCTATTCCCTAAACAACATAACATAACAACTCTGATCCATATTTACATTGTATTAAGCATCACGAGTCACCTCAAGATGACTCAGAGGACTTATGTGGATTATGTTTAAATACACCACTGCCCAGTGGGTTCTGCTAACTGAGGGTTGGGGAGCATCCTGGAACCACCCTGAGGGACACCCAGGGACTTGTGCACTGCCTTTCATCAGAAGACATGTATGTACCATGACTCCCTCTGAAACCTACTAGAACGACATGTCCTCAGGGTGGGGGGTGGCATATACAACAAAGCAGAGCTGGACGTGTTCCATCTGAGTGTGGTGCAGACACAAGTGTTTACCACATACCTCTTTTATTGTCTCTTCCAGACTTGAGAGTGGGAGAGAAAAACTACTACACTTAGAGCCAAAGAACAGGAGATCTTTCGCTGGTGGTGGTGGTGCATACCTGTAATCCCAGTACTTGGGAGGCTGAGGCAGGAGGATCATCGTGAGTTCAAGACCAGTCTGAGATAAAGTGAGCTCAAGGCCAGCCTGAACTGTATAGCAAGACCCTGCCTCAAAAAGACGAAAAAAAAAGACCAGGAGCTCCTGTCTCTGCTGCTTCCTGATGCACGGAAAGGGCCAGTCTCACACCCTCATGGACTTGGGTTTTGCCTTTTTTACCAAAGAAGCTCAAATGAGAAAATAAAGGGCTCTATAAGTACATTTTAAACCCAGTTTTCTAGAATAACCTGGGTCTAAATTGATACAAAGTAACAAACTAACACTGAAAACAGGGCACAAACAGAACCAAGCCCTACACACATTCCAGGGCTAGGATGTGACCGAGACTTGGGTGCCTGGCATGAGCATGTGCGCTCAGGGCCTGGTCCCCGTGAGCTCCTGCTGCTTGCAGGATGGACCTGGAGCACCAGGTCCCATCTGCAGGTTCCGCCAAGGCATACACTGGGTGTCGTGGCCACAGCTTGGGGAGGAGGCGAGACACAAACCTTCCCAATGTCCTGCAGCGTCGCCAGCTCTAGAATCTGGGAGAGAACGTCCAAGGCCGAGCGCAGGAACCCCCCAAACTTTTCAGTGCTGTTCTGAAGATCCAAGGTGACCTTGGCAAGGTGGAAGGAGAGAGCACACGGTTACTGGCACCGTCGTGGTCTGGTTATCTACAACAGAGACACAAATGTGGTGGGCTGCAGCGAGGTGCTTCTGCCACACAGTCCACGCACCCCCATATACTCCCCACTCTGGCCGCTTGCTTGCTCTGGGCACTGTGAAAATACTGGGGAGCCAGGCATAGTGGCGCACACCTGTAATCCCAGCACTTGGGAGGCTGAGGCAGGAGAATCATTGCAGAGTTCATGACCAGCCTGGGCTACAAAGTGAGCTCAAGGCCAGCCTGAACTGTGTAGTGAGACCCTGTCTCAAAAAAAAAAAAAAAAAAAATTCCGGGGAAAGGAAACTGTTCTTCCAGACAGCTACATAAGAAGGGTTATCTTAGGGCTGGGGATATAGCTCAGCGGCACAAGTGCTTGCCTGGCAAGTTCGAGGTCCCAAGTTCAATTCCCAGTACCAGGGGGCAAAAAAAAGGAGGTTATCTTTCAAGTTACGCTGACACCAGAAAAGAAACAATTCCTAACCTATGTCATAATGAGAAAAAACCATTAAGCATCCCTTACAACCAGTATGCACCAAGGTAAACATAAAGTCCTCCCTATATTCTCTGGGGTCCCTAAAAGAAACCATTACCAATTTTAGACACAGTCATTCAGTCTGGCTGCCAGAAAATATTAAGTCAGTCTTAGGACATATTAAATTAAGTTTCTAAAGGGCTCAGTTTAATTAAATTATACAGCAATTCCTCTATTTTATGGACTCAAAGGCTAGATTAGGACCAAAGACTAAATGCCTAAGAAAAAGAGTAAGGGGAGACTGCCTATGAATATAAGGACTGACAAACATCACAGTACTGAGAAATGAATGTGCTCCGTGGACGCCTATCTAACAACCCAGGATGAAAGAAGTGGACACAGAGCATGAAAACACAAGTGGATCTGAGTCACCCTGGTGCACCATTGACAGGCCCCAAGGGAGAGATCCAGGGGATGGATGCTGGGGTGATGTCATGTGGGGACCACAAGCCCTGGGAGGAAGGCACAGAGAAGAGGAAGGGGAGAGGAGTCACAGAGTTCTGGACAGAGCAGGGCACCCAGGAAGTCTCTTGTCTGTCCAGTGAGACCTAAGATGGGCAGCCCCAGGCTCAGGAGGAGGGGACTTGAACTCAGGTAGGGACAGGATGACAAGGGAACAACACTGGAGCATGAGAAGGGGCCCTAAATTAAAGACAGTATGAGAGGAAAACTGGAGAAAAACCCTTCCCATAGGGCACTGCAACATTCCCACCTCTATTTTGGCGCTGGCATGAGAAGCACACTCAAAATACAGGTCTAGATCTCTGATGAAGTGTGGCTGAAGTTTTTACCTTTCAAAATTATCAGTATCCTTCAGAAAAGAAGCCACATAAGGTTTATAAATGGTTCTGCTTCCAAAATGAGCCGTTACCCATTAGTACAAAAGAGGACATTTGCAGGTACATTTACCAAGAAATGTGCAAAAGCTATGCAAAATAATCTTTGAAGTTCTTTTAAAGAGCTTGAAATTTTATGTGCTGCGGGGGTACTGAAGGGTATTTTAAACAGGCCAACTTATTGTCTTCAAAACCAGTTCTCCCTATGTCAACCTATAAGTTAAATGTGATCCCACTGGGAAATATTCTCTGGCTTCTCTGAAAGTGCACTAGCCTGCTGTAATGTTCACATGCAAAAACGGACAGGAATATTGAAAAAATTTTTATAAGGTGGGGATACTGATCTCAAAAATATACTATTAAGCTATGATTAAGTAGTGTGCTTCCAACAGATGAACAGACTGATGGAACAAAATAAATGAAGCTACAGAACCATAAGCTAACATTTGAAGAAAGCAGAATTTTAAAACAGCCAGTGCAGAGTAATGGATTATTCAGCCAGCGGTATTGGAGACCACTGATTAGGCATTTGGAAGAAATCTGGACCCACACTATGTGTCTGACAAATGGCAGTTAATGGAAAATGATGAATAAAAGAAGTGAAATCTATCTACAACCAAAACAAGCCGCTCAAGCAGCTGCCATCCCCCAGACGTGCAGGCCAGCCTGGCTCAGGAGTCCCACAACGACAGGGACTGCCCCGGGCAAGGGCGGCTCCCCGGCGCTGCCATCTGAAACAGGCCCTTTGTAGCTGTGTACCTGCTTTCTCCTAAGGGTCTCCAATCTGGGCTGTGTTAGGCACCGGTGCACTTCCTTGCATGCCCATAGCACACAAATCCCTCTAACTTCCATCAGCCCACCTCCCTGTGACCCAGCTGTGTCCCTCAGGTGATACTGTGATGAGCCTCAGCTGTGAGGGCAACTAGATGCTGAGACTCCGAAAGCAGGATGGTCCAGGGAAACCCAGATACAACACCACAAAACCACAAAAGATTTCTCCCTTGGGATCGTTTCATAGGTGTACAACAACCATAAAGCAAGCTGAAAGACAAACCTGAAAAAACCAATTGTAATTCATATCTCAAAAGGCTAATTTAGCCAGGGGTGGTAGCACACACCTGTCATCCTGGCTATATGGGAGCTGAGGCAGGAGGATTTCAAGTTTAAAGCCAACCCAGGCAATGTAGTGAGATCCTATCTCAAAATAAAAATAAAAAGAGGTGGGGCTGGGGATATAGCTCAGCAGCAGTGCCCACCTGGCAAGCGCAAGGTCCTGAGTTTGATTCCCAGTGTAAAAAATAAAAAATAAAAATAAAAAGGGGTGGAGACATAGCTCAGGTGCTCAGTGGTTAAGATCTCAGCATGTAGGAGGCCCGGAGTGCAATCCCAGTACAGCAAAGGGGTGGGGGACTAACTTATTTATACATATATATGTATATACAGGCATATACACCCTTTGAATCATCAGAAAAACACCAGCAATCCACTAGGTCCATGTATATTTGCACGCATATTTAGAATGCAGCAGAGGCCAGTACCTTGTAGTTGGCGTGAGTAGCCTTCAGGACGTCATGCAACTTGAGGTATGAAGGAAGATGATAGAAACTCCCCAGAGATGAGGACTTACTGGCTGTGACTGGCCCTGAGGTATCAGATTGTCGAGAAACTAAAAATACATAAAAAATGAACTTTTAGATCCATGGAAAAACTTACCAAGTTTAAAAGAAATTAACTAGCAATACTGATTTTTAAAAGCATCCTGGAACAAATTAAAATCTTTCCTCACTTTCTGATTGATTAGAAGTAATGAGAAACAAGTAGAACCTAAGCCCTAAAAATGTACATAAGACAGCAAGGTGCAGCAGTGGAATGCAGCTCTGCATTGTTTCGGGGCCTCAGCTGCATGGTAAGGCATGGGCTGCCAATCCACCTCTGAGCCTAGGACTCCTCAGAGGAACATCGGGCTGATGTCCAGCAACATAGCCATGGCCTATTATGCATCCAAACAGTGATGTGAGCACCTCTTGGGAACTGTAAAGGGCACATATAATACTACTAGACTGACACTCAACATCACAGTGCTCAGCACAATGTACAATTCGTTTACTTCAGTTTTAAACATCTCTCACTTGGGGTGCTTGGTTCTTTAACTCATCAAAAGGTGATTAGTTGCATAATGATAAATTTGTAAAGAGTGAATCTTTTAAACAGGTAAATCTTCCTGCTGTGCTGTATAGCCTTAGAAAATAGCACCTTTTAAGAAGCCTTCATGTGTTGGTCAAAGGACAGAAAACTTTATTTAAAGATGGAGGAATGAGCTCAAGAGCCCTACTGCACAACAGCACAATAGTTACGTCAGGTTCCTGAAAGTGTTCTCAGAGGCCTCACTGTTAAGTAAGCAGTCTTAATCAGCCCCTCCACACTGCATACAGATTATCAAGAAGCGCCCCAGCACCCCCCAAAAGAGCATCAGGACAGTCAGGACTGGCAACTGTAGCCATGCTGATAGTCTAGGGCCCTCTGTTTTGCTGTTTCCCCAGATAAAGAAGCTGCTCTACACATCAGTGACTTTCTAGGCCTTCCCACCCCCATTGTCAACCCCGAGCTCTTCCAAATGTAAAGTTTCCACGTTCTTCTTCAGGATCTTAGTCAGTGCTTTCTCCCCACATCCACACCACCCCTTCCTAAAAATCAGGAGTCGCTGCAGCAACGTCTCTCCTGGAAGGATTAAAAGCAGGGAGGAACACTGGCAAGTGGAACCCTTGCCAGACACCCAGGAATGGGCTAGGTGTCTGTGAGTATACCCTGGGAAACTCCTCTGACCTGACTGCTGTGACAGGATTTCCACAGAGAACCATGCTGTCCCATCAGCTGTGACAAGGGCACAAGCTTAGGTCCTACACATGCCCAGGACAAATGCTGGCCCGTCCTCCCTCCCAATGCTACTGCCTACCTGCACTGGCCTCACTGCCCTTCTTAGGGCTCAATGGCGCAGAGGCTTGTTCTCCGGGTTCCTTTTCCTTACCCTTTCGCCGGATGGGACTTAGTGAAGGGGGGTTTGTCAGAGAAGGCAAAGCTGCCTAAAACAGAAAACAAACATGACATAAGTACAACCCACACAGAGACCGAAAACTAAAAGTATGATATGCAATTTTATATGCACTGAGAGGCACAAACTTAGGCAATTCATTTTGGTCTTGGAATCTCTATTTACAGAACCCAAACACCATACACAGATCATCGACTTTCACTCCCACAACAATCGTAGGTAGTAGGAATGGCCCAGAACTTCCTCACAGGTACATGGGAATGGGCTGGAGATGAAGAGGCCTCGGGGATTTGGGAGGCTAAGCCACTGGAGCCCCAGTCCCTCCAACAACAGGGAATCAGGCATCCCACATGGGCCATGGCTTGAACTGTTGAAGGCACAAACTTTCCAAGTTTGCAGATGAAGTGACTGGCTAGGGTCAGTGCTGAGGAGCAACTAGCTCCATGTGTTCACACAGCCATGCTTTCCAATCCCCAGGAGAGAACACAGAACATCCAGGCTCCCAGACAGAGGCAGCAGGCATGGGCCAGAGTGAAGAAGAGATGGCAGAGGGGCTCCAAGCCCCAGCTCTGCTGCTCACACTCTCCCTGACTTCAGCAAAGCGCTAGCTCAGTGTCTGGACCCACACCTCATCTTTAGAAACAAAGCCCTCAGGCCATGGCTGCTGGACATGACTAGGTCATGATGTGACAGTGGTCTTATAACACATGCCCTTGCATGTCCACTGCCTGAAGACGCAGTTGTTCAGTTCTGAGAATGTGGCCCCTGTCAGAAGTCAAGTATGTTGGCATTTGGACCGCAGACTTCCTGGATGCAGAACTGGGAGAACTAAGTTTCTGTTGTTTGTAAGCTCCCCAGCTGGTATCATTTTGTGATGGCAGCTCTGACTGACTGGTTGGTCACCTCACACCTCTGAGCCTACTCTGTAAAGATGCTGCAGGGGATAGATAGCTGCAGTCTGAAAAGTGGACAGCAGGGCTACAGACGGCAGATCATAGAAGAGCTGCATCCAGAAAAGAAAAGCAGATCAGTTCTGCCTGGAGCTGGGACAACCACAGCATACAGGGCTCCCTCTTGGATTTAAAACTGACTGTGGGCTGGGGATATAGCTCAGTGGTACAAGCACAAGGTCCTGAATTCAATGCCCAGTACCAAGGAAAAAAAAAAAACAAAAACCTGACCACTTGCCCAATTCTGTAGCATATTTTAAAAGTGAATCATACACTTGAATCGAATGGTTCATGAATTATTTCAATAATGCTATTTCAAAAAAACCCAAAAAGTCAGGCATGATGATGCAGGCCTAGAGTCCCAGCACTCTGAGAGGCTGAGGCAGGAAGATCACAAGTTAGAGCCCAGCCTGGGAACTTATCAAGCTAAGAGTCATCACAGATCTTGCATTTTACACTCTGGCTCCTCTTTCTCTATTAGATACTTTCCAAAAATACATCTCCACTGCCACGTACATGCACATCTATGTACACATGTCCTGTCCTCAGCGATTTAGTGAGACTCTGTCTCAAAATAAAAACATAATAATAATGCACTTAAGCCTTGGGTTCAAACCTTACTCCTGCAAAAATGAATTAATCAGGCCAATGCAGTGGTCCAAATGAGACCATCAGCCTGTGCCAGAATAGCACCGAGTAGAGAGGAAAGGGGGCATGTGATGGTGTGTACATGTACATGAAGAATAAGAACGCAGAGCTCTGAAGCCTCCATTTCCAGCCTGATAAGACACCAGGTGGGAAAGTGGACGGGAACAGCTGTAGGGATGCAGAGGAGAAGCTCAGTGTGGACCACTACACATGTCTGACACATCTGAGAATCAGCCACACAAGTGCCGTGCAGGTGCTGGCCATGCTGGACCACAGCTCCTCCTGGGAGCAGGCTTCCTGGTGAACAATGAACACACGCAGCCCTGGCCCTGAGCTGCCTTGTCCAGTCCTGGAGCCACTGCCCCACACAGATGTCTACATTTGCAGTCAATGACAACTAAGTAAGTTCCTAAGGTCCTTGGCCACACTTCAAGAACTCTGGAGCCGCTGGGGATTTAGCTCAGCGGCAAAAGCGCCTGCCTGGCAAGTGCAAGGTCGTGAGTTCAGTTCCCGGTACTGGAGAAAAACCAAAAAATAAAAAAATAAAATAAAATAAAGAACTCTGGAGCCACATGTGACCAATGTCCTGGCTGAGGTGGACACAGGACAATTCCATGATGGCACAGAGTCCCACTGGACAGGGCTGGCTCTCAGAGCAGAAGCAGAGAAGGCCCAAGGTCAGAACCTCTGAGGGGTGGCAGGAAAGGCTGATCAGGGCAGGGCTAGGGAGCAGCAGGGCGTCAGAGGAGACACTAGGCCCAGGGAAGCAAACAGGAGAGAAGGCTCAGACCAGGAAGGCTCAGATCAGAAGAGACAATGTGGGACAGCAAAGGGTCTGGGAAGGTATTACAGCTTAGACCCAGAATGTTCCCGAAAAGCCCACACACTGAAAGCTTGGGCCCAAGCCAGTGGTCCTGGCATATATGTGTGTATGTGTGTGAACATTATGAGGAGGGACCTAGCTAAAGGAAGTGGGGATGCTGCAGCCCCAGCCGACTTATCTTTCTGTTTCCTGGGCCCCATAGGTGAGCAGTTTCCTCCATGCTGTGCTTCTGCTGTGATGCTGTGCCTCACTTCAGACCCAAAGGCAATGGGGCCCAATGCCCACAGACTGAAGCCTCTGTGACCACAAGCCAAAGTCATCCTTTCCTCCTGATAAGTTGTTTATCTCAAGTATTTTGTCACAACAATGGAATGTTGATTAATAGAAGGCAAAAAAAATGGGCTGGAGAAGTACCCAGAGGATTCAAAGACATAACCCTGGAAGGGAGTGTGCTTTGGAGGGCAGTGAAGAAATCAGACCAGCAGGGGTTAAGGAATGGATGAGTGACACAGAGGACAGGACCCAGCTTCATGGAGCCAAACAGGCTTCAGCAAGAGGGGCCCCCAAGAGGGTGCACAATGCTAGGTGCTGGAGAAAAAGAAGTTTTCTCTGAAGGAGAAAAAGAAGTTATAAGAGAGCAGTTTAAAAATGGAAGGCACAGGAAGGGAAGAACCAGGTGAAGTGCCTGGTCTACCTTAAATGTACTGTGCACATAAGCATCAATCAGAGCGAGGCATGTCCCCTCAGAGACAACAGTTAACTACCGAGAGATCACACCCCTAGCATAAGCAGGCCTCACGTTTCCACCTTCAACACTGTATTCACACATAGGACAGTGAGTGAGGAAGAGCTGGCCTGCTAAGCAAGGCATCCCAGAACCCCAGCCCTCATCCCTGAACTACCCATAGACTGAAGCAGCAGCTGCCCTGAAGAAGCCATTACCTTGATTGCTGGCCCAGGAGCCACGTCATCCAGGACATGGGCACAGATATTGATCACCTTCAACAGGTGGGAAAAGAGCTGCTCCACCATGGGCACCAGGGTCCGGTCCCCTAGGGCAGGCCATACCTCCTCCTGTCTGGTGGTTGTGGGGCTGGCTTCTTCTTCAGAGGCCCATGAACTTCTGAGAGATTTGGGGGCACTGGCTGTAATACAAGCAGACATATTACTCCCACCTCCACAGGTGGGAAATGGAACTTCCTGGCAGACATAAGTCACTTAGTCCCCTCTATGCTGGCAGTCTACAGGACATCTGGACCTAGAGCTCACAGACACCTCAAATTCAGCAGGAAAGTGACCCCTCCAATCTGCATTCCCTATTTCCATGAACATCACCACCATACACTGGCCCAGGATGTGGCTGATCCTCCCAACTGAGGCTCAGGTAGAAGTCAGGCCTGGTGATTCCGCCTCTTCCAGTCTCTCAGCCTCTTCCTTCCAACCCCAAAGCTGCTCTCAGGACCGGGACTTCTACACCAACCGCCAGCCCTCCAGCAACTGGGTGCCCTTTCTCAAACAAACCTGTTAGCTCCCTTCATGAAATTGGCCAACACAGCCCCACTGCCTAAGAAAGAACACTGGACCCATCCCCATCTAATTTCCAAGGACTCTGCTCTCCTTGCTGGCCACATTTTCACTATCATCCCCATCCTTAGGTGACATCCATGACTTCCACACCCCCATAGCGCAAACTTCTCACATCTCCAGGCTTTTGCACATGTCACACCCACCTGGTGGGCCCTTTCCCACCAGCGCACAACTCTGCCCACACATTTGCAGTGGTTCACAGCTGCCCTGTGCTGCCACCAACCCCTGCCAATCTACAGCCAACGTGAGAATGGAACCTGCAAGGTACACCTACTCCTAATCCATGACAGAGCCTGGCATAGATAGGGCTCCGTTAAAACACACCCCCGGACTCAGCTGCCCCTGAAGGAACTAGCTACCCCTGGTGACGACTCAGAATATATCTCCTTCATGGGCCTGCGACCATCACCCTCATGAGGAAATCTTAGCTCAAGTTCTGGAGTCCCTGCTTTATCCCAGCACAAATACCTGCGAGTAAGTTTCCTGCCAAGATCAAGGCGTCTTGATGGGCAGAGATGTCCAGTGGGAACCAAGCCGAGGAGAGCAGGGTAAGAATAACAGTGGCCATCCCAACAGTGCAGCTCTTCCTGGACTCATCGGAAATGCTCAGGGGTGGTGCTCTGGAAGCAGACACGTGAAGGTCACACTAGGGAAGGGCCAAGGGAACAGCCTGTCCCTCTCAGAGCCATGAAGACATGTCATGAGACATTTTCCATAGCTCAGAAACTCATTTCACTATTTGTAGCCAGTTAGTACACAGCTCTATAGAAATCACTTGGGAAATAAAACAGGTTGTAAAGTTGATAAAATATCTTGGAATTACATGTTTATTGTGGTATATTCTTAACTTTCTTTGCATTCTGATTTAGCAAATATTACTCTACTGCCAAAAATTGCTCAGTTAACTCTAGTGCTGGACCTATGAGAAGTTGTGTTGGCTTAGTATTTGTGGAAAAAAGAAAGTGAACGTTCTAGGCCAAGGACACCGCCCCCGACAGGCAAATGTTAGCTGGCCATACACTGACACACACCACTCCTGCAGATCTATTTCCAAATGGGATGTGAGTCGGCCAAACTTTTTTCCATTGCCTGTCAAAATTGTTTTCAGTGCATACAGGAAGGATCACTCCTTAGAGTCAAACTATGTCCCAGTGCCTCACAGGCCATCTACGGGAGGAAAACTATTTTTAAGTACAAATCACAAATGGAAGCATAGTGGATGCTAAAGTCTAGGCCTATAGTTCCTCACAATTCCAAATGCCAGGTCACACTTGATTTTCAGTACGTAGTAATTTTGGAAAGAAACCATTTAGAAAAGTTCCTACCAGCTTAAGAAAATTCTCTTAATTGACCCCACAGATCATATCCTCAAATCCCCACAGATACTTGAGAGCCTGTGGCATTCATTACCACTTCCCAACAGTTCCTCTTTCTAGTTTTCTCACCTAATAGGGCAGAAGCAAATACTTATCAGATACTTTTTCCAAAAAGCCAAAGTGACAAAAGGCATAAAAAGAAAGCATGAAGGGATTCCAGTAACCACATCTGTATCACACCCATGCAGACAGACACAGGCTGAGGAGGATACATACCCACAATGCCAACCTAAGCTCCACACGCAAACTGGAAAGGCGGCTGAAAGAAGACACAAAGCTTCACAGCATCCAAACTACAGAAGAAAGGAATAAGAAGTTACTCCCAAACACCAACACCACTGAATATTGTTATAATGAGTATGTGTCACTTTACTAATCAGAAAATAGTTCTTTACTATTCCTTGGAATGAGCCAAGATTCTGTGGACAAAAGCACAGTTCCTGAGCAAGTGCCCAGAGTAAGAGCTGGGACACAGCATCTCCCACATGACCTCATACCGCCTGACTACACAGGCGCCCAGGACTTGGCCTCCATCAGCCCAGTCTGAAGGACCTACCGTAAGCGCACGTGTGGTGGCCGTGATCAGCTCATGAGAAACGGCGGCAATAACTCTTGAGAGGTTATTTTCCATGGTGATGTCTGTTATGCTTGGTAGTAAACTATACCCTCTATAGATTCTGTAAGAAAAACAGGAACACAACTCTTAAATCGTATGACATTTTTCAAAATCAGATGGCATTGTAAAGTTTAAGATGAAAGGCTAGAAGAAAGGAGAGCAGTCTTGGCTTTTACTTTAGCGAGACTAGAAATAACTTTGGTGCTTATTTGGGGGAAAGGCTGAGTCCCGCCCTCCTTTCCTCCCAGACACCAACTCCCTGCAGCACAGACTACACTGCCCTCACAGCCTGCCTGCCAGCCCACAGTCCTCTGCACCACAAGCACCTGAAGCCACCCTGACTCCCACACTGAAGAAATCCCTTTCGCCACAATCAAAGCCCCGAGGGACTCTTCCAATGGGCCATTGGTGTCACATGTCCATTTCTACTCCTATAATTTGAGGGGTCTTATTCACAGAGACAGCAACAAAACTGGAACATCTGGAAAATCTGATTTATCTTCTTCCCAGAGGTTCTAACAGAGTGGACTTAATGGTGGGAAATACAGTGGCACAACTGGTAACTGTGTCTACCATGCGGGAAAGCATAGCTAAGTGATAAGAGGTCAGTGGAAGTGTAGAACCAGGAGAATCTTCAAGGTGGTAATTAGCAAGCAACTGTAATACAATATTAGGCATCTCTGTTGGCAGCTGAGATTCATCTTCTGAAATAGCATTACAAATAACAAATTATCCTAGGTTTATCAAATTCCTGATCATGAGACACTTGCACACTGCTCCTTATCTTAAAGGAATATTTATGCTGGATCTTTTCAAAGGAAATAGCAGCTCAGAGGTTAAACAAAGCACAGTTTCTGAGCGAAAATATTAAGAAAGCCTAGAAATTAGTCCCGGTATAATTTTTAAAAGTGGTCATGACATGAGGAAGGATGAAATTTATTTAGGAATACTGACTGCAAAATTTGAAAAGCTGAATTCTAAATTCAGGAAAACACTATCCACTGATCATTAAAGCTTAAAAGTCATTTAGTCAAGATCTTAGAAAAAAATGGCCATTTAGCAGAAAGGAGGGTGTCACGTAACTCTTTTTTTAAAATAACATTGAAAGGATAGACTTAAAAGCATCACGGTCTTGTCACTTCTGTGGTCTTCTCTACACACTAACTTTCTGAAGCAACCTGCACCTTCATGAATGCAGTTCTGCTGTGCTTCTGGGAGAGCAAAAGAGACACCTCCTTGCGGCTGGCATCACTCCTCACGCTCCCACCACATGCTAGCACTACCCAGTCAGTATGCTGAATGGGGTGACAGGTCATATCCTCTCCACAGGGAACACAAATAAAGGGACAGTGCTCAGTGGACAAGTCTCCAGGTGACACAGGAGAGCCACACAAAAAATCTAGCTAGCAGGTTAAGGAATGTAATGTCTGACACAGTCACCGCAGTATGTCTGCAGCTGGACTTAAGCACAGATGTGACAGGGCGAATATTCAAGCCAGGAGATAGGACCCAGTCAAACATGCCGAGTAAAGCTGCGTTGGGGGAGGGAGGGAGAGCCTGGGAAGGCACAGAGGCACCCGGGCAGTGCGTACCTGGTGATGGAGCTCACGGAGAAGTGTGAAGGAGGCTGCGTCTCGTGCATGAGGAGCTTCAGGTGAACACTGCTTTGGTCTCTTGCCACGGCCACTACTGGATCAGCCTGTCCTTGGTCACACTTATAAAACAGCTTTGGGACAAGCCTACCGTGAAAGGAAGCCTGGTTTACTGGGAGGCACATGCCCTTCACCCTCACACCCTCATTCTGGGATGGCCAGGCCTAAGTCCTGTGGGCCACAGCAACGGAAGCTCTCATAGGAAGCATCCTGGGCAGGAGAGTAGAAGGACAGGGGTGGTTTGGTTCCTTTCTGGCGTTCTCTACATTCCAAAATGCTGGCAGCTGAACTGTGACAATTGGTTTTTTCTGGAGACTGCTGAGAGTGGAGTGGGTGAGAATGCACTCAGACTCAGGAACGCTTCCTGTCACCTCTTGGGCCCTCCTGCTCATTCGCCGCCCTCACACTGCTCACACTTCAGCCAAGACAGCCAGTGAGGAGAGGAAGAGTGGGTAAATACCTCACCAATGACGCCGCAGCAACGTGCCGCACCCTGGGGTCTTCGTCCCCCAGCAAGGAGATGACAACATTACTGAGCACTCGCTCTTGCAGTTTTAAAAGCTTTAGAGAGAAGGATAATAGAAATAAGGAATCTCTGCATTTGACTACAAGTAAAATATTTTGGAAAGATCAACATGATTTATTTTAAATTAATCATAAGGTAAGGTGTACTTTCATAAGGTAACGTGTAAAGCACCTAACAACACAATGACACTCAGAGATATCCTGTGCCACTGGGCAGCCCCTGACACCCCACACAGGTCCAGAACAGTAGGGCACAGTCTCCCCAAAGGAACTACTTACCCCTGTATAATGATGAGCCCCTCTGTGCAGGCTCTCTGCTTTTGCCTCCAAGAAGCTCACCAGCCTAACAAAAGAACACAGTCAACAGTGAAGTTACTCAGTCACTCAGCAAACGTTCAGAGCCAACCTGTGGTGCTCTGGCAGCTGGGACACAAACAGGCTCTGAGGCAGCACTTACAACAGAAAGACCAATGGACATAAACATAGATTCACATTTCTCTCCCAATTCCAAAACCAGTGAGACGGGAATGAGGACATGGCTTTTCTTCAAAGCCTTAGCAAGAAGGACAAAACCAAGAAGCACTCTCTGCACTTGAATACAGAGGTATTTTGGAAAGATCAGCATGGTTGATATGCTACCTGGGAGTTCTCTGAGAGCCCACAGAGCTGCATCAATGCCTGCTGTGGGTGAGCTCGCTGCAGAGCCCCCATCCACTGACCAGCTGCACCATGCTCAGTGGCCCTAACTGTAGGCTGGAGGCAAGAACTACCACTAACTCGCAGATGTACCAAGGGTGGAAGGAAATAATCCACAAGGCTTCTGGTGGCTTAAAAAAATAAAAGCAAAAGGAATAATAAAGGTGAATTTGCATTCAAAAAGAAAGTTTTAAAAGAAAACATCTCCAACGAAAACCTATTGTTAGTAACCAAAAAATGTACCACATCAAAATTGTTTTAAATTGCTGGTCAGGCATGGTGGTGCATGCCTGTAATCCCAGCACTCAGGAGTCTGAGATAGGAGGATTGCTGCAAGTTTGAGGCCAGCCTGGGCTACAAGTGAGTTCAACGCCAGCCTGAATTGTATAGTGAAAGCCTGTCTCAAAAAGACAAAAAAAGAAAAAAAATATTTAATTGCAACAAAATATGATCCAGCCATCTCTCCCTTATTAAATTCAGAATAACAGTGACTCTATACATTCCTTTTAAATGAGTAGAACTGACCAGGTGTGGTGGCAAACACCTGTAATCATAACATTCAGGAGGCTGAGGCAGGAGGACTGCCAAGAATTCAAGACCAGCCTGGGCTACATAGTTAATTCAAGGCTAGCCTAAACTACATGAGACCTTGCCTCAAAAAACCTAAAAAATAAAAACCAAGTAGAATTGATAAATGCTATATTGTTTTAAAAAGTTTAAGACAGGAGCTGGGAATATAGCTCAGTGGTAAAGCACTTGCCTAGCATTTGCTAGGCCCTGGGCTCCATACCTACATGAGAAAACTATAAAAATAAAAAACTTCTTTTAAAGTTTAAGACAAAAGTGGAAAAAAAAAAAAAAAAGAATTTCTTTTATCCCATCATCCAGAATACTTAAGACTGAGAAAAATCTATTTCTCTACCTCTATGAAAATTTTCTAGTTAAGCCAAAGGTCTGCAAAAAACCTCAAAAAGCAGTAAAAAAAAAAAAAAAAAAAAAAAAAAACACTAGGAAGGCAGAAATCATGTGCTCTACCTAAGCCACAGGTATCTGATAAGCAAGGACACTCCCTAAGCACCACTAACTGTGCCAAACAACAAGGGCCAGCTGGTCTGTGGGGCCCCTATTTTGGTGGACACTTGTCCAAGCTTCAGCTTCAGCTCGAGAGGCTGCAAGAACTTGACTCACTCACCTAAAGTCCATCTCTGCTAGTGTCTCCAGGAGCTCCGTCCTCACCAGCCAGTAGGAGCTGTCCCTCAGGGCCAGTAGGTCTACCAGCAGCTGCAGTCCCAAGTCACTGTAGCTGCTGTTGCACAGACTCATGACACAATGCTGCAAGTGGGCACAGCCAAGAGCAGGTTAGTCACGCAGCAGCGCCAGCATGTGTAAAGAAAGTGCTCTTTCACACGCACCTGCCCTGTGATTTTTATACTGCAAAAAAATGCTGCAGGCTCTCAAGAGACACCCACATATTTGACCTCACTAAATTCAAGTTTACACATAAATCCATCTGTTCACATAAAGTTGTTTCTTTTACCCTTTCAATTCTGCCTATGTCGTGGCTTCGTGTCCTAAACCACAACAATCAATTTGTGATTGCAAAATCAAATTTGGGACTATATATAATTGGCTGTCAGGGAAACCAAGCAGCACATCCCTAGCATCACTTTAAAACACCCAAAGTCAATGCAAGGGGCCCACCAAAATAGGGGCCCCATGCCTGTCCTAGGTCCTTTGCTGCGGTGTGCCCTGAGCCTCTGTGCACACAGAGCACTATCACACATGCACAGGGACACCGGCCAGCAGTGTGGCTGTGCTGCTAACACACTCCTTCTGCCAAGAACAGGCACATCCAACAGATTTGGCATAAAACTGCAACTGGAGACAATTACTATCAGCGGCCATGAAATTTTAAAAAGGGGAGATATCCCATAAATTTGAATTATCGGGTTGTTTTTAGTTTTGATTTTTATTGGCTAATTTTTACTGTTGTTGACTGTCTGTGACTTATGAGCATGCTGATAAAGGTTCTACGTGCTTTCATGTAAGGAACTGAGGCTCTTTCACTTAATATAAAAAACAGGTTGATTAAATAATCCTTACAGCTCACTTTAACTCTTCAGTACACAGAGTACTCATATGGAATACATGGGAAGACAGTATTTTCTTTAAATCAACTGATTTTACAGTTAGTAATAGCAAAGTATATTTTTAAATATCATTTTATTTTTTATATCATTTTGGTTTTTTTCAGTACTAAGATCAAATCCAGGGCTTACACACTGACCTATATACCCAACCCTTTAAAAAATTTTTTTTCTTTTTAGTTTTTGAGACAGGGTCTTGCTAAGTCACTAAGTTGCCCAGGCTGGGCTCAAACTTGTAATCCTCCTGCTTCAGCCCTCCAGATTTGAGATTTCAAACATGTACCACCCCACCTGGCTATCAATATACCCTTTAAGAGAAGGTATATTTCAAACAAGTATTTTGAGAATTAAAGCTTAAAGTTTACTAAGCTTTAACTTTACTGTCAGGGTTTGTTTCTAATGTTGAGTGATGAATACATAGATGTTAACTATTGTTATAGCTTTAGAATGGGTAAGAGTATTTCATACTAAGCTCCAACTGAATTGTCACAATGGTAAAATGTCCACTCATCAAACAAATGGCTGAGATCAAAGTTTGTGCTCACCCTCACAGCTGTACACGCCAACTTGCACGTCACAGAAGATTCATCCTTCAATGTTTTCTGAAGCAGAGGAATGCAGTCCGCTAGAGAAAATCTATTTCCTAAGCCAGAGAACAGGGAATAAACATCTTCACGTATAATTAAGTTTGGGAATGGTATCTGGAAAGGACATGAGTGAAAACTGGCCGTTACCTGTCAGCATCCTAATGGTGCCCAGCCAGTCCCCCACGTGGAAGCGGGATCTACTGAGGACAGAGGAGATGAGCATCCCACAGAGAATGGCAGTGGCTCCGCGGACCTGTGGGTCTCCATGGTCAATGTAGCTCAAAATGTCAGAGACATACTGCTGTTCTGTGGAGAGGAATTGCCCAACCACTGTACACTTCTCTACTGTCAACATTCTACCTCAAAATAAAAATGTAGTTCTCAGAAAAGGTGTATGGGGGGGGTTGCTTTCCAAATCTGAAATGGTTGGACTATAATAACCCTAAGTGCTAAAAATGTCTGGGAGTTCAAGAATTCTAGATCGATCATATTGCTGATACTCTTTAATACAAACTAGATTTTCTGATTATAATTCCAGGCTGTTGGACAATAATCAAAAATCCAAGATTTCATTTCAAAATAAAGATCAGAAAAACCTCAAAATACTACACATTTACCTAATGTAAACTCAAAAGCAAAATGTGCCCTCTTACCCACAGAAAAACACAAGGGAGAAAATAACTTCTACTCCACAATGACTGTAAGCACAGAGGCAGGGCTGTTGCTGCCCTGGCCAGTCTAAAGTAGTCCCCACCTATCTCTGCACATGGACACTGGCCTAGCCGAGTGCGACTCAGCAACTTTGGTGATGTGGTTTGTGCTATAGGGATAAACAGAGCATGTATTGGAATGGCCCTTATGGTCCCAGATTTCTATTGTTAGTTACATGCATTTCAGCTACAAACACAGCATCTAAAGGGAGTCCATGAACTCAAGAACACTACTATTTATGTGTCTGTGGAGAGCTACCACTCAGCTCAAATGTATAAAGTAACTTCAAGTATGCACTGCTCTAAAACTGAAATAGCTTGAAGTAGTTTCGAAAATAATGATTAAATCCAAGAGAAAGATGTGAACTCTGAACATACCAGGGTATTCCGTGGTGTCCAGAGGCATTTTATACAGTTTGCTGAAGAAAGATTCTGGATGAAGGGCCACAGCTGCCCCAACGCAGCTAAGGGCTAGGGCCTTCACACTGACCCTCACATCCCTGTCCGGAACCAGCACTGCAAAGAAACCACCGGGCCAGGTTCAACCTTTTCACATAAACAAAACTAGACCAAATAAACCACCTGCCCCTCTCATTTCTCCCCTTCTCCATCAGTCAGTACAAAGCAAAGCCCATCCCAACAACAAGGCGACAACAGGCCACAAACCTGATGTCCAAAACATCAAGTATTTCATCAACCCTGTACCTGCCCTTCCATGCTTACCATTTTTTCCCCCAGTTAGCAAAAATGAAGCAGATAAAAGGCGGACACAATGGACCAGAGGAGCAGAATCGTCATCAGTAGACTGTCCTATGTCACCTTTGATCCGGCAAGGCTGGAACACAGAGGCAGACACATTCGTGCTAGTTCGTTGGACAGACTGTTCCAGAGCAGCAACCGTGCCAGGTGTAGAGATAGCTATGCCTGTGTTTGCCAATGCACAGGAGCCCACAGCCAAGCACAGGCTGATGAGTCAGTGTTCATGCAGACAGAGGACCGTGGCAGAGACCAGCTCGTAAACAGGGAAGATGCACAGGACACAAGAGCAGAGAGCAGGCATTCAAAAAGGCTCCTCAGGGAGGCAAGGCAGGTGCCGTCTTCTACAGGTCAAGCAGCAACCATTCAGCAAAGTAAGGTGCATGGAAGCCCAAAGGTTAGAGGGAGCGGGCCTGCTTCAAGGTGGGTCTGGAAGGAACTGTCAAGAATGAAGCGCTGACTGATGGGATTAAACCAGTGTTGAACTGTTTAGAGCTTTCAGTGATACAAACAGCCTGCTGCAGCACGCGAACCACAGGTTCACTAAACTATGAAACACAGTTCTTGTCCTCAGGGAATTTAAACTTAAGCAGAAAGAGTACATCTGCAAACCGTAAACCAAATAAAAAGAGAGATTTAAAACTGTTCAGTGAAACAAGAAGAAACATTGCAAGGCTGTGCACAAGTGAAAACTGGATGGCCCAAGAAATCAGGCAAGGCAGCTCAGCACAGAGCAGGTATGTCAGAGGAGGGATGCGGCCCAGACTCCCAAAGGAGGCATAACCTAGACAATTTGCAGGATCAGAGAGTCCCTGGAGAGGCAGAAATGGGAAGGTCTGAAGATTGTTCAGCATTTCAAGGGGAGATAAACAGGGCTGGTGATGGGAAACCAATAAACCAGGTTGCCAGAAGCCAGTGATTTCAAACCCAGGAATGAGCTCAGCAACACAGAGCTGTCCTATGCCTAAGGAGCTCACCTTGTTCTCTTGATCGCCTGGTACAGCAGCTTCATCTCTTGATACAAACTTGTCTATACTGCTCTCAGAAGGCTGCCTGCTGTGACCCATACTTTCCAATAAATGTGCTTGCTGAAGGGCTTCAAAAGCAGAGAAATGAGATTAAGTGACAAATTTCAAATGAAAACATATATGCACATGGACACAAAATCAACAGTAGCACAGGATTTTAGATCAGGAAAAAGGATGATCATTCCCAAGACAGTCATTTTCAATTGTTATTTACAACTCAGAAAAGAAAGATATCAAAAGGTACGTTCTTAGAAGAGAAAGTCAGGTTGTTCAAGGTCAAAAAAAAAGACCATGCTGCAGCTCATCAGCTGGAGCCAACTTACCCAGAGAAGAGCTCCTGAAAGCATCCGAGGTGCCAGCAGGAAGGCTGCCTGGCACAGCCTCGTCCTCATCTGGCGGGGGGCCAACATGCATGCCTGAATACTGGCTGTCAGCACCATCTAACACCTAGTGGAACCAAGACAGCCATGAGCAATACAGAGTGCGTCAGACGCACAGAACACACAGACCACTTACTATGCACACGCAGATGCATATGGACACTGCCCAGAGTTTGTCAGCTCACACGTCCCTACTACATTATGAAAGCACTGATAGCTCCAAACTTACAAGGAATTTCAATCTGAAACTTCTACTTTTAGATAAAAATGAAAAGATCCAAACAAAAATCTTTTCTTCCTACGTAATTTTATAGTAAATTAGAATAAGAACCATAATTTTATACTCTATAATGTTTCCTATCTACTTGAAATCATCTGTGTAATAAACCTGAAAAAAAGTGAGCAATGGACTCTCAAAGGACTAGCAAATTATTACTGAAATAATTTGATATAGCATCATTTTAAAATTTGTTCCCAATTCCTCATTTAAAAAAAAAAAGCTACATGATCAAATGCAACCAAAAGGACATATCTTCTGCTCCTACCCTTCAGAGGGTTTACCCCCAGAAAGCTTAGCTATCAACAGGTTAAATTTAGTGAGCATTTTTACCACATTAATAAACCTTACTGACCAGCTACTGCACCCTGCACAGGACCAAGAATGCCTACATAACATCCCTCATCGGGTGGGAGAGAAATGTGGCTCCAGGCTACTAGCCAGCAGGTTGCAGAAGCCCCACTTGCCACTGGGTGTCTGCTGAGGGGCGTCCCCACCCCAGCTCTGCTGACTGCTCAGCAGCACTTGCTGCCATCCACCATGAACTTATCCACCTGATGTGATTACTAGTGTGTCCGTTATCCTGCATGCACATGTACAGGCAATCGAGCCCCTAAGGGGAAGACCTGACAGACTTCATTATCAGCTTCATGAAAGCAGAAGTTTGGCTATAAAGCCTTTGTTTCACCTTCCGCTTTTAGAACAATCTCACAACATAAAAGGCACTTGGTAAATTTAATAAGCAATTAGCGATTATATAAAGGATATGGAAAGGCTTCACAAACCAGAACAATCCACACCAATGGCAGGCAGATCAGGGCAAGATGCTTTGCTCTCTATGGTCCCTGAGCCCAGAGCTCCCTACCTACCATGTCCTGTCAAGCTGCTGTAACTGCACTGGAGCAGGAAGAGAACAAGCAAGGTGGGGCTAGAGCAGATTTTGCATTTATCTCCCTACATCTTGGAAATGCTTTGTACAATTTAAAAATTAGAAGCAAGTCAAGAAACAAACCCACACCATGTCCTTAAGAAAATACATTTAATGTTTACTACAAAAAAGCAAGCTTCTCTTTTTTTGGTGGTACTGGTGATAGAATGCATAACTTTTGCAGAGAGCTACTGCCTCCCACCCTCTGCATTGTTTTTTGAGACAGGGACTCCCTAAACTCCTGAGTAGCCTAAGCTGGCCTCAAACTTGTCATCCTCTTACCTCAGCTTCCCAGAGTGTCACATAACCTTTTGAAAGCAAAAACTGAGATGTAAAACCAATTCCATTTTCGAGTATATAACCAAAACAACTGAAGCAAGAAACAGGCCTGATGCCCATCAGCACAGAAGGAAAAAGAAAACACACTGGAATCTTATTCTACCATGAAGAATGCATCCATGTTGTCTGCAGGAAAACGGAGGAACTTGAGACATCATACTAAATGAAATGAGTCAGATATAGAGACTATATCCTTGGTATTAAAAAACCTAAATTATATATAAATGGGTGAATAAAATACGGGAGAGACGACAGGTAACAAGACAGACTCTTAAAGATGGGGTTGGAGTCACAAGGAAAAGAGAAGGGGTTAAAGGGACTGAAAATGATCAAGCTGTAGTACATGCATGTACCAATTCCCCCAACAAACATCTATCTTCTGCACTGCAAACACACACTGGTGAAATCTGGGTCTCAACAGCAGCACTGTTCACAAGCTATAGGATGCGATCAACTCAACCATCCACTGACAGATAAATGGATAAGCAAAATATGAGCCATACATAATGAAATATTATTCAGTCCTAAAAACTTAAGAAATTTCTGGCAGCTGCATGGTGACATATGACTGTAATCCCAGCTACTTAGGAGGCTCATACAGGAGGATCACAAGTTCAAGGCCAGCCTGAACAACTTGGCAAGACCTCATATCAAAATAAAAAATGGGCTGGGAATGTAGCACAGTGGTACAGTAGTTGCCTAATATGTAACTGTTAAAAAGGGCAGGGGCTACTGTTTAAGCATACTGTTAAAAAGGGTAGGGGGAATCCTGACCTGTGCTACATGAATACTACATGAATAACCCTTGAGGACCTTATGCTAGGTGAAACAAAGCAGGCACAGATGAACAAAGACCCTGTGATCCCTGAGGACCCTGGTCATCAAGCTCTTAAAGGAAAAGAACAATGGTTTTCAGGGGCTGCAAGAAGGGATGGAAGTTAGTATTCACAGGGACCAAGTTTCAGTTTAAGAGGAGGAAAAGACTTAGAGACCGATTGGTAGTGATAGTTCTATGATATTATTTAATACTGATACAGCAAAATTAAAAACTCCCAACCTGAACATTATCTAGGAGGAGCTCGTGTTCTCTAAAATTGAAGAATGAATTTTAGAAACAATGGAGGTTAAGAGCAGCATATATTTATTTATTTATTTATTT